TATGCAACAATGCAAATCGACTGGGACATACGTTATAAACAAAGGCTATTATATAATTCCCTTTTGGCGATTATTACACATTTAGAAATTATTAAACCATCGTTTTTAAGTTTTCGCCAACAGATTTATTGTGATTCTGAAACTCGTGCAAAACCTTGTTTGGGATCGTTTTTCGTTTCGCCAAGGCCGGACTGATTAAACTGGTTGAAAGACCTTTCTGAATTGTTTAGATGTAATGCTGATCATGGTGCGTTGAACTGTAAGAGCTGTTTTTTTTTATCTTATAAGTATAAAATCAACATAGGAAATGAATGATTTCCCTGGGATTTGTTGATTATTTTAATATCTAAAAAGATAAAGTTCATAAAGATAAACTGTCTGATTAATCAGAACTCATACATTTTCAGAATTACATTCGTAATAAGCAAACTAGACTATTATAACGGAAATACTAATAAGACAAGTAGATACAGGCGAGTGATGGGTTCCCGTTTGGGTCGACCCATAAACAGACCCGATGTTTACTATTAAAATTTATTCCGAAAATACTTAAAAGCTTTCGGTTTATTTTCAACCCTGAATATGGCATTTTATTATTACCTTGACTTAAATGAAACTGATCAAACAATTAACGATTATCGACCTTTTAGCGCCTTTAATTAATCCCCACGATATTTTTCTGTCTGTAACTTTATACACGTCTTCATCACTTCGGAATCAATTATAACGTTAAAACAATTTCAAATTCCGTGAAACGAAAACACCAAAAGTTCAACGTCCGCATTAAGGTCACGCTACCAAACATGATGTAATCAATTTCTTTCGCGCTGCCCCTCCCTCTAAGTCCATGTTAAGTCCCTTGGACGCTTTATTGATTTGTGCATTTGGAATAACATCCGATTTCTAACTGTTGATAGGCGTGATATAAACATTAAAAAAATAAAACTACTTTCTTACTTCGTTATTTATGCGTTGCTTTTTTGCAATATTGATGTTTTATCCAGCAAGTTCATGGAATAAACAAAGATTTAAAAGCTGAGCTTGATAAGGAAATATCCTCTATCTATAAGGAAATAGACTCTTAATGGATTCTGTGAAATCTAATCAAAGCTAAAAATGGGAAAAAATAGATTTCCCCCCAAATATTATTGTTTTTGCAACGAGGGTTATCTTATTTCGGTACCACGATTTATCAGAGTTAAAAAATAGCATGGATATTTTAAAAAATGTAAATAAAACCTCCAAAAATCATGTTTTTTAGAAATTTTATTATATATAAAAGTATTTTTTTAAACCAGCCTAGGTACTGCCATCAAACTTACCTACCATATACTCCCATAATCATATGGCCAAATGATAATATGAATTTACAGAGAATAATTTGGAAAATCTCTTGTACAATAAAGAAAACGGAAACTTTTAAAATATTGGGTTAGTTTACTGTCCGTAAATTTATGTTTGGCACCCAACAAACTTTAGGCTTATGATCGCTGCAGATATTCAAACTTAAGTTACATCATTTTCCAAATTGAGAAATACAAAATGAGTATTTCATCATTCTTTTGAGGCTCGTGACAACTCGTCGAATTCTCCATTTGGCTTTTAGCAGATTAGACCCGAGTATCGATAAGTCCACGAGAAGGTACTTCAAATTTTCATATCTTTTCACTCAGACGATTGTTGAGATAAGCGGTGTAAACGAGTAAACAGACAAAACTATATTACACACAAAAAAAGTATTTTTTTATGTTCTATGTCACTCCTGGCAAAACGAACTTGTGCTGCATTACTTCAAGTACAAAATTTTGATGGAAACAATCAACGATTGATGCTTTCCAACATTTGAGATTATTAATAGTCATTTGTATTGATTTTAGGAATTTGGCAGTTTATCAAATGCGTATTTGACTGTTTAAATTAAAATAGATTTTTCTTTTATTAATATTGACACAAGAATGCTAGGCAACATTATCATATCATTGAGCTTTTCAAGCCTACTACAGGATAAATTGATTTAAGAATTTTTAGTTTTCCCTACTCATTTTATGAAACATCGAAGATATAGATTTTCCAGTCTAGTTCAGGTGGTTGAACTGCTCGTTGCGTGTAGGCGTTTCGAGAAAAATTGAACGTGAAGAAATACATGAAAAAAAATTAAATTTCCTTAAAGTCTTCCCCAAGGCACGGCCTTGAACAGGTTAATCGGAACATCGCTGTAAAGTTTGCAACACATTAGCAAACAAATGGCAACATCCTAAGTCCTTGGCTTAATACACAGTCCACTGGATAACAAGTAAAAATGAAGAAGATAAATGCAACCTACACGTCCTCGTAACCGTTTGCGGTAAAACTGAAAAATAATTTTGACTCGGAACTGCTACTCGGCTTTTAATAGACACGTATATTTGTGAATATTTTTGGATCTATATCTTGTGAGTTCGGGTACGTGGGAGCCTATGTACACATACGAGTACCATGCCTAAACATTAATTGTCGTGGAAATAGTTACATACAATCTCACTCTTTTCCTCACTCCCTCTGAAGGTATAATTGTTATGTGCACAAAAGAGATAAAGGAAATAAAATAATAGAATAAAACACACATAAAATACATACGTCCCGGGGTCGAAACCAATGGTCCTGCATCGAACCCGACATATTTTTACGTAAATTGTAAACAAGCGGGTTGATATGACCTCTTCTATTGAGGAACCTCGGAAATAAACTATGCAACAAAATAAATTGCTCAAAATTGGAGATGTTCCCACTGAATGTGCACAAGCACAATAATCAATTCTATAATTAAAATAGTCGTAGAAGTAATAAACCTTTTAATCTAAAACCTGGATAAACAACCGCATAAAAATGGCCTTAAATGTCAATGTTAACGTGTGATTTATTTTTTAAAATTTTGCCATCATCATGAGAGCGGGAGAATGGGCGGGCGATGGAATGAGCCTGTTAGATTTATCCTTGGACTTGTACCGGCCTTGGCTGACCGAAATGTAAAAATGCTCCCTTCTACATCTTCCAATTATTTTTTTCGCAATGAGAACTCGTTGGCCAATAATTAATAGACCAGATAAAAAGAACAACAGACCCATCGGCCAAAAACACTGGTCAAAATTCTGACAAAAAAAACCAGGGTGCGCAAGAGAAACCCTTCCATCCCAAGATTGCAAATTTCTATTATTTTATACCTAATATATTACTGTCAAAGCCATATCAGGTTTTTTAAATTTCTGAGGCCCATTTCATAACGCTACCAATAGTGTAAGTTAAAATATCCAAATATACACAGTACATTCACTAATACTTTCTCTTTCATAATGGATAAGGCCTCGTTTATATACAAGTGATCTTATACTAACAAAAAACTACAAAGTACATGTCGCCTGGTTAGAGAGTAACCTGAATCAAACATTTATTTCAAGCAAAGCTTGGTGAATCAAACATGTTGCAATTGTTGCTTATTGCTGTTAACTACAAATTAAAAATTAGCAAATGGGCTCATTTTTAAGCCTGGATCAGTGATCTATCTATTATTCCATACACGTGAGGAAAATGAGCCGTATTGGAAAACACATAATTGTGGTGACGTTTTCTGGGCATGCAACATTTGTGTGAAATGACCGAGTATTGATTGCATTTTGAGCACCTACAATATTGGTATCACGACACCATGCATGCGACCAACTGTGTGGAACCGGCTACCACATCCCAGCCAATGCAATGTAGAGTTTGTTTTGCTTAAAGTGCCCCCTATTTATGTTAGTGGTCCTATCAGCGATTCAGATGCAGAAATGACCACTTAAGACAAAATTAATGTAGATTTTCTACGTCTAGTAACATTTTGTCGATCCACGCAATCAGTAATTTGTTCGTCCAGTAAATCTAAAGAGAAAAAAGCATATCTAAATAACTGCAGGAGAAAAGTAATCTAACCTTTGGAAGTTTACACTAATATTTTGATAATATAGGCGATCTGTGTCTTGTATTAATAGTAAAAATAAAGACATGTCTTACAAATATTTGTATTATTTTTTAAATATTTAAATTATTATTAATAATTTGTATTATTGTTTATGAAATGCAATACCTTGTGTATTTTTTTCTTGATTTTTTTTTCTTGAACTTTCGACTTTGCAACATGTACTCTTTTATTATGAAACGAAATTGTATAAATTACAAGCTACAACACTAATAGTATTAGTTTGTATTTCATTATGGAACATGGCCCTGAGGTACCTTTTGCATTACAGAAAAAAGGAAGTTACATCATCAGTTTGAAAAATTAACATAAGTTACTTCAGGAAAAAGACCTATTTATTTATATATTTATTTTTTTCGTATTTTATTTCATTTTGTTAATTTTATTATATTTATTTATAAATTCTGGAACACCTCCCTACGCTCTAGTCTCGTTTTCTTTGTATCTATTCAAAAATTATCACTGTACTAATCCAAATAAAATACAAAAAGTAAAACCAATAACAACAACCACGAAATAAAAGAGGACGATATTGAAATATTAAGGTTTCACGATGAAGACAAAAAGGTAAATCCTGCTATCATCCTCAAAGTGATAAATTCAGTAAACAAATTTCTTCAATAAACAGACATTCCAGTTTTATTAGCCAGGAAATTTCAATTAGCGAAGTTTTATTTGTCAATCTTCAATTTTAATCGGTACGAAATAACTCTCAATGTTTTTTCCTCTCTACAAATATTTTCAAGTGTTATTAAACTTCTAGTCAACACTTGTTAGTACGAATGGTCATCAAATTATCTATTGAATTATAATAATAAAGAGCTGCCGGCATAGCCCCCAGAAATTACTGTAGTTTTACTTTTAACAGGCTGAATAGAAAATAGCAATATTGTAGTACTTTGTCTATTTTTGTAATTTTCCATAACCAAATTTGTTTGAGTGAAAATATTGTGAGTGTTTATAAAATATCTATCATAAAAGCTTTTAACATGATTTTTATTTGTTTCAGATATAAATAAAACAAGAGCTCTTTGAAGATTTAAAAAAAGGAAAAACTCGCAAGGACAAAAATTCTAAAGGGTAATCTTCATTTTTACTCCCCCCGCCAGGTTTATAGATTTAAAAGAAACTAACATAATCAAAGGATATTTTTATAAAGATATTTGCGTAATGCGGCCTTGACAGTCTCACCACGTGTCACTTAACAGATGCGGACAAGCAGAAAATTTTATGCGTCAATTGGCATCACTTTACCATAATGGGTTCCATTCACACGCGAATCACAATACCATTTATTCTTTTAAAAAACCACTGGCGTTTAGTTTCCCCGTCTTAGATATGGTAAATATTGATTTTATTGAAATTCTGACGATGTCCCATTTCCAAGGCGAGATTTACACCAAACCTTTGTGTTCAAGTGAAAAAGCAGAAAAGTGGCAATGATTGGAACATTCACATTAATGGGCGAATATACAACATTAGAGTAGAGGACACCTGTTGGCTTTGACACAATGAACCAGTTCCATAATTTCACCTTCCATACTGCAAGAACAATATTTTTAAAAAATGTAAACGTTTATAGGTTATTCAAAGTTTCTTACAAGACGATGGCAGTTATTAAAACTACTTCAAAGGATGATTGTTCTTCAAAATAATGAATTTTTGAAATAGTACATTTTAAACCATCACAGGTTCCCCCTCTTAGTATAATTTTGGAATTTCACTTGTATTCATAATAAAATACTATAAAAATCGATTTATAATTATCTTATTATTTGGGTGTACCGTGGTTGACAAGTGGTTAGGCGTACGAATCATATTTACCAAACTAGCTGTTCTGAGTTCGAATATATATATTCGTACATGTTACAAATGAGATTACAAAACCTTTTTTGACACGCTAGCGCAGTACTCGGAGGACACATGCAATAAAAAGCTAGCAAATGCTGCCACTCGGAGTGAGGGATTAAGGGGCAAGGAGGTCTCTAGGTCATCGTGGATTAAGGCCTGGGTTCTCGGGATGGAATGTGTAGAGAGGGCTTCAGCAGTAGTGTTAGGATGGTGTGAAAATTTTGGAAACTGGAACGGATGAGTTCGATGACAAAAGGAATATTGAGGTCGTCGTGGATAGTGAGGTTATTAGAGATGTACTAAGGAGCTTTGACGATTTTTCTGAGGACTTTTGATTGGAAGGATAGACTGCGCTGAACGTTGGATGGCTTGGCACAACCCTCAGAGTTCCGTATGCCCTAAGTAGTCGCAGTACAGTATTTTATAAGGTTGGTTTAGGTCAAGTCAGATTTAGGTCCTAGAAGTCTTCGTACTTGTCCAAGTCTTCTGTTGAGTTGTCTCTTGTCTTGTATGGGGATTGCATGTCAATCTGCTGTCTAGGTATAGTATCGCCGGCATCTCTTTGTTGTTGATGTACAGGAGACTGTTTTTTCAATAGAACGTACACTGAGTACATGCTGCCTTACAGAATTCGAGTTAGAGGGCAAAATTGCGGTACCGTTCGCGAAGGTTGTAATGATGGAATTATTAAGGTAGACCAGAAGTACAAGTCATATAAAGATTAAACCTTTTTAATTGAGATTATTAAAAACTTATTAAAGTGGTTTGACCCCTCGCCACCCAACGAATAGCGCACAAATCTGTATGGCACAAATTACTTAGCTTTTAGAATACAATTGGATTCATGTTGAAAAATATTTCTGGACGATAGCTCACAAATACACTAGCAATGCCAGATGAAAAAGGTAGAAGGGATCAATTTTCATCATAGATGGTATATTTTTTCAAATTAAGCTTTAATTAATGGTTTTGTGATTGTTTGACATGGGCTTTTGTGGTATAGTTTACGTTTTTGTTTGATCTCTACTTTTGTACAGTGGAAATGATGAACAGTGTGTGTTAATGATATTTCTGTTGTAGAACAGTTTTTAGTTCTAATTTTTTCTAATCATTTGGTATATCGTATCAGGTTTTGCATGAAATTCAACACAAGCCAACTTTTAAATCGACCGAAAATGTGGCAAATCATTGGGTTCTTTACATCAACCAAATGAACTGAGAAAAAAATTAAATTTTGATTGGAATTTAACGAATCGAAATTTAATCGAACGTTTGAGAGAATTTTCTTGTTTTAAATCATCTCAATACTTTATTACCTTTGGGATAATATTTTAAAATGTTGGGAATGTGAGGATAATATAGGTTTTTGCTATAATTTCAACAGGGTAGCAAGCGATATTCGACTGGCGGTAAGGGAGATAAAGGAAATAAATTATCAATATAAGCCCGATAAGAAAAATCGTTTAACATTTACATTTTTTAAACAAGCAAAAATGTTCTTCTTGATTTTTGACGTTGTTATTACAAATTAGCATACCTTTCCGTTACCATAACCGATTCAGTTTTATCGTTTTATTTTCAAAAGTATGATAATTCAGTTTATAAGGATATAAAATTTATCATAATGCCTCTCCCTAGTAATTATAGGAAACTTATTTCCCTGTTTGCACGATGGTTTTTATATAATTATTTATTTTCTGAAAGAAGAGATATCCTTCCCAGGGACAAGAATCAAAAGGCAAGGTTCGTCCTATGAAACAAAATCAACCGTACCTTTCACCGTTGCCAAGGTTACGGAAAATGTAATTTGTATTTCCTACAGATGCCCTCTGGACTTGGTTGCAATTGGCATTGGCTGGATATTGTTGCGTGTATTGTTTGCTAAACCGGCGAGTAGGAAGTCAAGTCGGCCGGTGCTTTTTCAATTTTGCACCGACGGATGAATTAAAACAGTCTTCACAATCAGCCTTTTCAGGGTGATTTCAATATTGAAGAGGAAAAAAAAATGCGGAAGCTGGCAACTTCATAATGTCGCGATTACGACATCGAGATCAAGATCAGACAAGTTATCACGACTAACCACACGGACTTGATTTTTCCCCTCCACTTGTAAGAAAGGATTCGCAGAAATTTCTTATTCGATCAATTGAAATGCAGAAAAGGTCATGGCAAAGAGAAAAACTCAGTTAACAAATAATTTCGTCACGCTTGTTCATACTAATAAAAACAGTATGTAGCTAGCTCAAAGACTCAAACTGGTCTCAATAGTCAGTCACCAGCCTATGCGGCTTGACCTCCTGAGCAATCTTCTCATGACCTCGTGGTGACAGCGAAATAAGGTATGATCTCATATCTGCGGATTCCGCTGAGGACACGAGCATAAAGGGTTCATCTCTTATCTTAAATATATAGAGGTAATCGTTATTTAGTAAGTGTCCACTAAGAATTATTGTCGTTTTGTGAGTTACTTTACAGATAGTTTCAAGTCTATTATGTATTATTGGGCAAAACTTATTTGTATGAGATATTTTTGTCGTTTCTTGTCAATGTTCTTCCCAAAGAAATTGACTCTTCCTGGCCGATATAAATAATACTTAGCTCCTTAGTGCTACTATAAGTTCGACATCTAAAGGTGTCTAGCTACTTTAGCTGCACTAACTGCTGCTTCGTTTCTTATGCCGATTGTGAATCTTTTCTTTTAAGGAAAATAATTTTTTGCGGATGTGATGTAATGTTGTTATTTTTTGGGTTGCTCGATGGCTACCCTGCTATCAGTACTTATTAATGCCGATATTAAAGTACCACCTTCATCGGTCCACCGATTTAGCCAGTCTAGTGCTTTCAGTATGGCCCAAAGCATTGGCATGTAAAAGAATTACATCAAAACTAGTCAGTGAATGTATCCAAAATCTCCAAAACCTGGGAAAACACAACAACCTGATATCTTGGGTGCCAGGGTAGAGGGGAATTCTGGGAAGAAGTAGACCAACTGGCCAGAGGAGGATCTGCAAGACCATACATAAGCCCCGAACCTATCCTTGGGAAAACAAAAACAAACATAGAATCCTCCATCGTAGAATGGATCCAAATAAAACAAAGAGAGAAGTGGATAAACTCTAGCAGTGCTAGACATAGTAAACTTATGATGAAACAACCCTCACCAAAATTGGCAAAAACACTGCTGCAATTGGAGAGGGCAAAACTCAGAGGAGTGGTGGGACTACTAACCGGTCACTGGTATCTGAGAAAACATCTACACAACATGGGTATATACAATGATGATCCCCATGATTATGTAATGAAGAGGAGGAGACAGCCATTCATATCATCTTCGAATGCGAAACAACAGCTCAATGGAGGTTTAACCTAACGTACGAAAAAGACTCAGGGAACCAAATTGCAGAAATAACAGTTTATGACCTGATACTTCTAAGAAGAAGGATTGAGACTATTGACTGAACTATAATAAGCCTGAAAATAAGCCAGAAGGCTGCAGTGCCTGGGGAATACAAACCCCGCTTCCCAGTATCCTTTCCACCATACCATGGCCCAAAGCTCGGTTTGATTATTTGAGCAACAGTTGTCTAACTTAAAAATTAAAGATATGTTAATCAGTGATCGTAAACTGCCTTTTCTTCGCCTTCTTTTATGTCTATTGTTGATGTATGATGCCATTGATTTAGAGTAACGGAGATTCTACTGGCAGGGGTAGAAAGCATGATTGAGGTTTCCTTTTATTGGCATAGAATCTATCTGTTGAATTTTAATATGTTTGGGGACTATAGCAGCCAGGACATAAGGTGCTTAAAAGAAAATTGTTTTATAGCCTTTAATGATTCGCAGTGCGATCCTCCGTTGAACTTTTCATTTATCTTTGATTTTATTTCTTTTTAAGGGCTTCGCTCCATACTGGAGCTGCTTTGCGAGGATGGGCAAGATGGCACCAGTGCAAATACATATACAATACAATAATACTTCAAAGCCCAATCCTCAATATACTTTAGCAGATCGAAGTGCTGATCGATTGTGAAGCTTTAGTACATATAGCATCTTTGTTTCACCATTTTTGAACATGAAACTTGATTGTCCTATTTAGTTAATAAATTTTTTACTACTTTCAAACATTTAAAAAGTTTATTTTTTAATGTCTAAAATGGCATTTTAATTAATTCATTTCATGGTTTTTATATAAGGTGAATGTGTAACACTTCAAGCTTAATTGACTTTAGTGAATACGAAGGATGTGGACAATTATGTATTTAATTATTCAAGGGCCATTATTATTTGCATTTTTAAACAGTGCATCGATTGTTGAAAAAAAATTTACACGTCGCCTCACGAAAAAGCATCAAAAAGCCCAGTTATTTGTTTTCTATTTCTGCAAAGAAACCCGAGGGTAAGTTGTCGACGGGCACTCATCTAAAGCCAAGCTTAATCGATAAACCGGTCCCAGGGGCTAGGGGCTTTTTATTCTCTAAAACTAAACAAATAAAAATATTAAAAAATCCCATTGTCGCGTATTCAAAACAGAAAATTTTTTATGCATCTCCCTTGGGATGTTCATCTTTACGACAAAGTAGTTGAGCAGGTCCAAATTGTGAAAATATTGATCCCGAGTTCCCCCAACAGTATACAACGGGTAACTGAATCTTGATTCCATGGATCAACTGTTTCCTTCTTGGTGCTAGGACTTTTATATTGATTTTATAGCGATTTTTTCTATCTTATCAAAGATAGCAAGTTCCACCAGTAAAACCACGAATAAAATCGAAAAAGTGCCATACTTTTCTCTCTCATTCGTTCCAATTATAGATAAGCATAAATTAGATGAGCAAAATTACTATTTAAAAAATATATATATAAATTGTAAACCTATATATATAAGAACGTTTATAGAAGAACAATCATAAATAAAATTAACATTCTTTTCAAGAAGAAATAAACTTGCAAAACTGGTGCAGAAGGAAAAAAAACAGATAAGAAACTGCCGATAAAAGTCACACAATGGTGTAATAAATAAATGAATCTCGTTTCCTGCGTACACGAAGCATGACCGTCCGGTTGTCTTTGCAACATGAAACACTTTTCACTTTATGTTGATGGGGTAAAACAAAACAAAAAAAACTTTCAAAAAAATTAACAGCTAAGATAATATATAAAATATTCATCAGGGGGTGCCGTTAGGGACATTTTCTACCATGAGACACCTTTTACTTTATAAACGGTTTTCCTCATCAGGATCGTTAGGTGTTACACCCGTCGACCACTAGGAGTTGCTGGCCTCCAAGAAAAACGAGAAATTACCGTTCAAGGTTCAAATATTCAGACATATATTCCTCGGTTGTCTCATAAAGAAGAAATAAAAGGGTGGGAAGGCAGTCGCCCTTGTTCATCTCCATCCTTTTCCCCCCTACCAGAGTCAAGTCCCACCTCTGATCGCAGAAGAGAAGGTTGGATGAAAACCGTGTCACAAAGGAACATGAGAAGCTTCAAGAAAAAACAAAGTTTGTCGTCCATCCCCAACAATAAACACACTACAGAAATATACCTACCCTTGATTTCTTGGTTGGACTATATTTAAAATTGCGCCAACTCTTATTAATAAATTAAGGATGCAAGCCAAATCAGATTGCCATATGACTTCTTTGGTAGCCAGTATACATTTTATATAGAGGCTTCTTGTCCTTTCTGAAACCCTTGTTCGAATTAAACAATATATTTCTCAACATCTTACATTGATTAACTACCTCATACTACTAAATATACAGGGTGTATCAACTTTATAATCCACCAATTTAATTAGGAAAAGATTAACTTTAGCAAAAAATGGTTTGTACAAACACAAGTTAATTTTGGCTAGAAATCGGAAGAAGGTAACAGATTTAATATAACTTTCTCATTTAACTGGGAAATGTCACTATTGTTTTAAATGAAAACCCCATATTTTTATTGTACAATTCGATCCACTTTTACTGAAAGGAAAATTTTGATAGGATCTATCATTTTGAGTTATGCCCGACGGAAGATTGTTTTTTGTATCAAGATGGCCCTCTCCGTTTATTTTGAAAACGATTAGAATTAGCAAGTTAATGTTGGATAGTAATCGTCTCAGAATAGGGTAGGGTTATCCTAACAAAATTTTCCTTTCAATAAAAGTGGTATAAAATAAGCTCTAGAATCGAACTGTACAATAAAAATATGGGATTCTCATTTAAATAACAATGTTACTGTCATTTCCCAGCTAGATGAGAAAGTTAAGTTAATCTGTTACCACCGCACGATTCCTAGCCAAAATTAACTTGGGTTTATATAAGACCATTTTTTGCTATGTTAATCTTTTCCTAATTAAATTGGTGGACCATAAAGTTGATGCACCCTGTATGACGTGACAATTAGGATAAGATGAATTAATTATTTATTAACAACCAAATGTTTTCCATGTTAAAAAATGGACAATTTCTTTATGTTTTGTGGGTGTGAGACTAAGTAATTGAGAAAAAGAAGGAGAAAGTGGGAGAAAGAAAGAAAAAAGAAAGAGAGAGAAAGAAAGGGAGAGAGAGAAAGAAAATGAGAGAGAAAAATCTAAAACAAGGGAGAAAGGGAAAGAAAGGGGAAAGAATATGAAGTGCAGGAATAAGTATAAATAAAGAAAGAGTTCAAAATAACAAAGAAGAAATAAAGAGAATTAGAGAGAAAAGGGGAGAGTGAATAGATAATAAATGTTCCGTTTATTTCAGGTGATTAATTATAATGAGAAAATATCTGTATAACGGTAAAAACTGCAATCTCTGAGAAAATGTACAATAAGAAAAAGTTACCGGAAAAAGTTTATTAACATTATTTCTCTATTCTACGGTATCGAAATAAACCCTATCACAAATATTTATCAAAATCCTTGCCGTTTAAAAACAAAATTAATTCAGCCAGTACAAACTTCTAAAAGCCCTTGAAAAGTTATTTTATAATGAAGTGAAAAACAACTCCCCAGGGGGTTTAGTACGATTTTTTTTAACAGGGGTCAATAAAATTATCAAGAAATCAAATATATTATATAGGGTCGTTTCTTTTTAATGCTTAAAGGGGTCAAAGTGAATAAAAAAACCAAATTGTATAATTTTGTATTGTTCCCGGCTTAGAAATAGTTGCCTTTGAAACGAGACTCACGAGAATCAACATATCTTATTGCCTGGCCGATTTAACACAAAAATGACACAAGACCGATTTTCAATCTCCCCTGGCAAATCCCATATTGAAAGAAGAAAAAATATGAATTTCAACACACTTTGAACTCAAAATCCACCGAAAATGTTGCTGTTTTGTAAATAAAGCTAAAATAAATCCTCACTATTTTTTCGCATTTATTTTGTCTAAATTCTAAAAAGTACATTATTGTTATTGTAAGGATAGGTGATATTAAGGAAGAACGGAAAATATCTTGGAAAATAATACTACGGGAGTTAACATCTTATCAAATTTACGTACAAAACGTTATAATGAAGATAAAGAAAGTGGAAGATGGCAAAAATTCGTGTTCCATCTGCTTAAGTCCGGGGTAAACAAACAATTTAATGGTAGGGGGTAATTTATGCTTCAATGTTGCCTCTCCTGAACATCAGGCATACGAAGGGACCTTTTTTTCCCCAAACTTTCTGGTTCATAGACCAACAAAGGGGAGGCAAATGCACATCTACAAGGCTTTATGAAACCTATCTTCGATTTCTTCGATTCAAAATGAGGTACTGTTCTGTTTATAGGAAGGATTTAAAATTTCTTACTTGGGACAGTGCATATTTTATATTTATTACATGACTTCAATAGTTAAATGGATTGAAAATTCATGCCAAGACCTCTTGGAATGCATTATCACCCCTTTGAACTTGTCTTGAGGATTTGAATTTACAATCCTGTTTTGCAAATCACTTTTAATTAAAACAAGCACAGGGTGTTGACAATTAATTAAAACAGAATCGGGTTTTAAGCAAATTGCAACATTACCCTTTACATCAAAGAGTGGGTTAATTATGACAAAGCGTCAACATCAACAAGAATATAGATTTCTTCAGTTTTCCCTCAATAATTCAAAGAATCATTTCCCATTTAAAATGCGTTAATAAAAAAAAATTTCATAATAGATAAATCCATGTAATATAGCACAGCTATATATTTTATTAATTATTATTACACAGCATTTTGAAGACATGCTAACATTGGTTCTTTTCTAAATTTTATTTTCAGATCTCAAAAAAACCTTTTTGATAGAACAGAAACAGAAAAAATGTTGACCAACTTGGCGAGTTACCTTCTGGGGTATGGGGACTCTGCACCGGCTCCTCAGGAGCCACAATCATCTTCGCCTGAGTCGAAAGATGATGACATAAGACTGAAGGTCAGCGAGACTGAGGAGGACGAATGGTTAATGGTGGACACCTTGGGTAAGCGATTACTAATGGGTTTTTTAACACTTATTTTAATTATAAAATATTTTCAGAGGGTGCAAGAAGTAGGCGGTCTTCAACTGCCTCTCTCCCTTGCTTCCCCATGGAGGAGTCATGGTTTGTGACTCCTCCGCCTTGTTTTACTTCGACGGGTCCTGTGATGGTGGAGACCTCACCACTTGAAAACTTGCTCATAGAACATCCTAGTATGAGCGTATACCACCATAGGAGTTTAGCTCAGCCACAGAGAGAGGCATTGGCGGTTAGGCCTAGAAGTCTCTCCCCTGTCCAACGAGTCTCTCCGGCAGTAACGCAAAGGCAAAGAGCGCCCTTCCAGTTGAAGCAGATGGTGAACATGCAAGTTCAGGCCTTCACAGCTCAAAAGGTATTTAAAATCAGATTCCTATATTGAAACAAAATTCATGTTAGAAAACTTATAAAAATTGTCATTTCATTTCAATCAATTGTGCTTTGCCTACAGAAGGAGAAATTCAAGGAAAGCCTTGCATTGAAAGCAAAGCAATTGGAGAGAAATAATAAAGTGAGAGACGGAAACAAGAAAAACAAGAGGCACAGGAGAACCGATCTCCAAAGGAACCACTCTGGGGTCAACAACAACAGGAAGTGCTGCTAATTATTTTGCAAAAACAAAAAATTAACACACAAAAAAATTGCAAAAATAATTGCACCCCCAAAAAAATAAATAAATACAAGTCAAGGGAGATAATATAAAGCATACCTCCAAGCTTTCTCACATGATGTTCATTTTATGCTATCATCCAAGGCTTCCTTGTGCACTAGAAGTTTACAATTTTTTTTAAATGAATGTTTTTTAAAGTTTATTTAAATGTATTATTATTAATTATAGTTATACATATAAAATTATTTATAGCAAGTTAATGACAGAGAAATGAATTTTAATAACCTACGATATATTTACTAGCACTCTGTCATGTTTTATAAACTCATTTGAAATTACATCCTCTATTTACTGGGGCATTTGATATTTGATTATAATAATCAATATGTACATAAATTGTATTAAAGGTAACATAAGTACCGCATATCTTTATGAGAACCAATAATTCTATCAAACAAATTTGTAATGATCTTTATGATAATCCACAGTCTTTCATTTGTTTCAAATTGTCTAGGGATTTCTAGTGTGATAAAAAGATCACTATAAAAAAATTAAAATAAAATAATGCAAAAACCATTATTTGTAAATTACTACTACAACTTATTATTATTTAATGTACCATTTATTTGTTTGTAAGTAAAAACAAATTACCGTACCTTGTATTTAAATTGACAAAAAAAAAATTATATATAAATATATGTAAATATGTTAACTTCTTTAATCCATTAATTATTTCTTTTTAAAAAATGTAACTTTTATTAGTTATGAGTTGGAAATATATATAAAAGTATACGTTTATTTAATCTGTTTAATGGATATAGATAGAAATATAAATAACTATTATTTGAAACTTATATTTAACATGATAGGAAGTTATATTTGGTTGGGTTTTATTAGACCAAATGAAATTTTCTAAATGAATATAACAGTCTACCTATTTGTAATATCTCTTCAATTACGCCAAAAGAATATTGTTGTATAACTTATTACAGTCAATGAATTTTCACAAAAGTGCCTTTCAAGAGGCTACATTACGTAAACTCATTTTATCTGTCCTTTTTAGAATGTTGTGCATTATGTTATGTATGTATTTTTTCAAAGTTCAAAATAATGTGTTTGCTTGCCTAACAATCGTGTGTAAATTAGTGTTGTGAAGAAAAAAAAAGCCTAATTTTATTATTTAGCACCAAAAACACCATACATATTGTTGAATGCATTACAATTTAAAACCATGAGTGTTCAAAGTCTATATATTTCTACAATCAATTTATAAAATTAATTTATTTTCTTATTATTGAACTGTGACAAATTAATGTTTGTTTGGAATAGATTGTGGTAAATAAGTTGAATGGTAGAAACTGAAAATGGAAGTTTTCATGATTGTAAAAATACAGCCAAATAAAACAATAAAAAAAGGCCTGAGACTAAATGGTGTGTTTATTTTAACAATCTTAAAAATCTTAAATGTTTATACTTTATTTAAAAAAAAAGCATTTCATGTTTTGGCTGTTAAAATCTTATATAGTCAGCAAGCAATGTATGATAATGTTTCTAGCAATCTCTTTAAAAATTACAAAAATAATTAAAAAAAGAAATAAAATATTAGCTGTGAGGTCATAAATTGACTTAGGAATGTAAAAAATGAAAGTGTATTCAATATTATCGTAATGAAATAGTGTTGTATGTTTGTTAGATTCGAATGATTGTATTTATGTATGATGTGAATCGTTTTTCTTTTAGATAAATGTGTGTTTTAATGTACCAAGACAATGCAGTAGAATTGATCTCATAATTATGCAGTAAGCCATGTATTATTACTATTGAATGTTTAAAAAAACACCATGAATACAAAACTCAAAATTCTTCAAATCATATTACCAATAATTGTGCTGAGTCATAAATATTTTACTGTGAGCTAAAGTATGAAGAATTAGTAAAGTTGAGTCGATGTTAAAAAAAGAAAAAAAAAAAAAAGAGTCCTGCCAGTTCAAATGATGAAATGTGTATTAATTGTAATAAATACCAGTCAGCTAATTTTCTTTAACAAACTCTTTAACCATACAAATAAAAAATGAAGTTCTATTTTGTTACAATTCAAACGTTATGTAGGGTACAAAAATGGGTTATAAAAACACTGCCCTTACAATTGCTTTTGTAAAGGCAAAAATGTACCAATAACTCGTCAAAAAAATTGTTAAATTAAAAAAAGTGTTGACACACAAGTTACTTTATTGTCTAAATAAACCCACATCTATCACATATTTGCATAATTTGTACAAAAGATTTATCTGTATTTAATAGGTCTGCGGTTGAAATTTAACATCAATCTGCTGGAGCAGGGGTTGGCACAACTCATTGGGCATGGGGAATAAAAGACAACTTTCCATTTATAAAATTTTTAAAAATACATACACTAACATCGTCTCTATTCTTCACACAGCTATGATTTTGATAAATAAACTATCAAATATTACTTTCATTAATAAAAATGTAATACACACTATCAACACGACACACAATAATGACACATCTACACGGAAAACAAACACTATAAGCCCTGAAGATGAACTCAATAAAGATCGAAATGTTGGCACGATAAAGAAAATGTTTATTAAACCTACGTCACACCAGACCGCATCTCACGATCTCCAAATAATAATAAATATATATTTATGGCACTTAAATTTTATTTTTGTTTGAAATTTTGCTGACTCCTGTGTTGGGGGTTAAAACAGTCTTCTTGTGAAGAGAAATTAATAACACTTAATAATAACATTATATATAACACCTAATTGACAATAATTATTATCATTTAATTTTATAAAACCCATTTCTTACCTTATTCATTTTCAGTTCAATAATCCCTTGTGATGCACCTAAAACAGAAAAATTAACATTATAATGTACATTAAAATTTATTTGTCTTACAAATAGTTCTAGGTTATATAAATTCATGTTCAACACTGAGGTAAAATTATTATTAAATATTGATTGTTTCTAGGTTTGTTAAGTAGGTTGCACGTTTCTTAATATGCGGACACCGCCATCATTCCTGCCCTTAACAAACATATGATCATTTGAATTTATATGCTAGAAAAAGTACAGTAAAAAGTAAAAAAAAGGCTTTTATTTTACAATACAATTATCTATCATATGAATATCATCCTGATATGCCGATGTTTGAAAAGATCGTTTCGCCTATAGGCATGTTTTGGCATTTCACCAGATCCACCACTGAAGATAACAGACCAAACAAAAGAAGATTGGATGGCTGGCCAAGATGAAAAAGCACATTTTTTTTTTATCATGCCTGATATCCACCAATCTTCATTCTTGGCTAGCGGCCTTTAATGCTTTTAATCGAAATTATCACAACAAAATGGGTCAAACTATTATAATTTTTTATTTTTCATGTTACTCGAAATTATAAATCAGTCAGACTCCCTATCACCGAGCCCTTGTGTCATCAAGGGAACAAATTTTGTTTACAAACAACTGAGGCTCCTCAGAAAATACACTCAGTATATGGTGATGATTAGGAACCAGATTTATATGTGAAATAAAATATGTACATGTTTTAACAAATATACAAGGACAAAAGAAATATATTTAAAATAAAACACACTTAATTATGCATGTTTGAAAAGAATTTTATAATTTATACATATTAATTGAATAATGTATAAAAAGGAAGAACATAAGTTAATAAAATAGACAATAAATCTTTAATTTCAAATTTATTTGAAATAACGTCCATTTTTAAATTTCATAAATAAAAATATAACTTTCTAGTATTAAAAAATTCTATAAAATAAAAACTATTTTTTTAACGATTAAGGAATTATATAAACATAATTGCATTATGTATTTGAAAAATGTGAAGAGATCAAACAAAAATTTAAAACTAATCTACAAAATTATTTGAAATTCTGAAAACCCTCTTACGTTTTTTCCTTAACTTTTTTTTTAATTGTATAATAATTTTGTTGTTTGTTTCATTAATTATGAACCAAAGTATGTAAATTAAGTGAAATCCTACAAATATTCACAAATATGTAAAATAAAATACGGTTTATTTGCTTCTAAATAGCTCGAAACATGAATTAAAAGTGTGTGGTGTTTAGTGACTGTTAGTTAATGATTATTTGGAGATCGTGAGATGCTATCTGGTGTGATGTAGATTTTAGAAAAACCTTTTCTTTATCGTGCCAACGTTTCGCTCGAACACTTTGAGCCCTGAAGATGATCTCAATAAAGATTGGCACGATAAAGAAAATGTTTTTCTAAAACGTACATCACACCAGACCGCATGCCTCCAAATAATCATGAATTAAAAGGTTCAAATGCATTGTACAAGGCTCAGAAAATATATGAATGCATATAAATCCAGTCCCTATTAATGATGAACTCTCTGTCTGGAAGGTGCATTTTCAGTTTTTGAAATTTCATTATGGATTTTGTTAAAGAATTATAAATTATTTTGGATAGAATTATCACTTGCAATGAAAACTAGGTCCTGTACATATCAACGGCTTTCATGTGATGAAAAAACTAGGAAATTTGTAGTCATTATTTCATGTATGCTACAAGCTTTTGATTCCAGGGCATCACAGGAGTTAAAAAATGATGGAGTGAGTACATCAATTCAATAGATGAAAATCACAATTCTACTTACTAACTGATTTTGCAGTGATCCAGATTTCGAGAAAATGTTCATCATTAGACTAATGCTAGTTAACTACCATTATCTATAGTCTGTTGAACATTTAATACCCGAAATCCAGATCACTGCAAAACCAATTTGTGAATAAAACCATCCTTTTCAACTATTACAGGACATACCGATGTGCCATTCTAGATTAGTGTCATTCAAAACTAATAACTTTAATCCAGGTTTAAGATTCCAGGTTAAGCCACCGGCACATGGAAAAAAATTCAACGGAAAAATTAATGGTCAAAACTTTGCCACATTATCTAGGTCTATCACCAATATATCAAATCAAAAGCATATAAAATTTTTGAAAACCAATGTCTTGAATCGGAGTTGACTCTTTTCTAGACAATTCAAAAATTATGGTTTGCAAAAGAAGGGAATGCAGAACCACCAAAAATGGAAAGTAGTTCTTTAATTGGCAGTTAATTGAAACAGTAAAAATATAAATATTTGGGGGTTCTTTAATGTTCTCTTTGAGATTGGATACCCATTTAAAAGAAAAATTAGCTTTTGGACAAATTTAATATAAATAGTGTTTGGCAGAATCTAATGTCTAACTCTTAAGTGCTTTGAATCTAAATACAGTGTTTTATTCTAAATCCCAATTAATGTGTTCTACAAATCAAGTTTGAGGCTTTAGGAAGAGGAAAAATTTACAAAGGTTTTTTCCGTTAAGAAACTGTTTGGTCTTCCTTACATCAGTCCAAATTATATTGTAAATTTAAAACTGAGCAAAAGTTGATGTTTGTTTAATTACCCTTAATCATTTAACATTAAGTACATTTAACCTTAACTTTGCATTTAAAATGTATTTTAAGTTTTAAAATGCCTGCAAGTAGACTAAAATTATGTAATAGCTAAAACAATGGAGAAAAATATTTCTTGGTGTGCTAAATAACATGTGTAACAAGTTTAATACTTAATACAATAAAATAATATAATAAAAAAATATAATTCACGTCAAGAGACGTACTTATAAATTCTTTGAACCTGATGAGATTTATGCTTGAAATCCGGATAGTTGTAAGCAATAAATTTTTGAGTCCACATAAAGTGGGATCTGATACGTAAATATTTTAAAGCCTTACTATATTATAGAAAATTAATAACGGAAGAGTTTGATTTTTGTTTTTGTCATTTTAAGTTTTGTTCCCATAAGTTTATAAATAATATTAATTTTCTACTGCATCTCCATTGACAGGTAATCAAAGCAGATAATTTATATATTTTTTGTAATTATTTTGTGAATAACCATTGTTACTGCTACTGCTATACTATTAATTTACTGGACTTTCTGCCAGTCCCACAACATTTTAGTCCATAGAAATGAAAGGGCTCCTCACATCACCACTACCTGCTAAAAGTGCTTTGTCAGAATAGTCAGTCCACCATTAAATTCCATTGTGTATGTTGCTGCTCTTCCAGAATAAAGGTAAGAGATTTCTTTTTATAAATGAGTCAAAGTGAACCTTTAGTAACACAACTAAATTTCTAGAGTATATCTGAATCCTCGTTAGAAACAATTGTTTTGTGTTTTTAATAAGTACATAGTTTTATTTTTTACAGTTCTCATTTTTCCTTGGTCCTTTATTTGGTTGACTTTTTGAGATAAAGTGAAACCAAAAGTCATTGAAGATAGATATATTAGACCGAAACGTATCTGACTTAATAAATGCCTTTGTGGAAAAGACAATTTATTTCCTACCTGGGCACTCTCAACACGACACGTCTACACAGAAAACAAACACTTTGAGCCCTGAAGATGATCTCAATAAAGATCGTAACGTTGGCACGATAAAGAAAATGTTTTTCTAAAACCTACGTCACACCAGACCGCATCTCACGATCTTCAAATAATCATTAACTAACAATCAGTAAACACCACACATTATTTCCTACCCTTCATCTTATTAAGAAGTTCCACAAAATCAGGATGGGCTCCATCAAAAAATTAGCTATGTTTAGTATTTTTTTAGCGTACAATTTCCCATTGCTATTTTAATTTTTTAACATTCTCACAGATGACAAAATGATCTGTGAAATCCAATGGAGTCTATACTCAATGGCAAAACATTACAACAAAATGTGAACTAATAGAATTTAAAAACAAGCAAAATTTTAAAAGTGCTATAACTTGAATTAGAGCTCAATGATGTGATGTCATTTATGAAACATGCAAATCAATAATTTATAAATATGTACTTCCTGTTTTTATTTAAGTTCTGTTGTTATTAACTAAAAATGAAAGATGACGCTTTTATGCAAAATGTCTGTAAAAAGTTTTTTTGCCTCTAAATAAAGCTTTTTAATTTGATGGTTGTTGAAGACGTGTAAATAATTAAATGTGTAAATAATAATTTGAAATTTTAATTAATTCATGAGTAAATGGTGGTTTAGTAAAACGTAGTAAAAGCTACGTGTATTACATTGAAAAATTAATAGCAAATTAAGTTAACTGAAAATCATAATTTGTTATCAAATTTTTTTTTGAAGTGTAAGGCTAGAGGAAATGAACTGCAAACTTTTTGAAAGTATTATGTATACAACTATGTGTATTAACTAAAAGGCTTTTTATCTCAACTTAAAAACCTTAATTAATTGAATGTTATTAATTGGTCAATTGCGGACCACGAAATTAGTGAAATTAACTAAAAGTTTCAAATGCATTTGTACAAGGCTCGGAAAAATATATGAAAGCATATAAATCCAATCCCTATTTATGATCAACTCTCTATCTGGAAGGTGCATTTTCAATTTTTGAAATTTCATGATGGATTTTGTTAAAGAGTTATAAATCCTTTTGGATAGAATAATCACTTGCAATAACAAGTAGGTCCTGCACATACCATCGGTTTTCATGTGAAACCTAGAAAATTTGTAATCATTATTTTACGACTACAAATTGTTGTACACTATGAGCTTTTGATTCCAGGGCAAACCATCACAGGAGGTAAAAAAAATTTTATTTGGCTATGTTTAGTATATTTTTTATCGTACCATTGCTATTTTAATTTTTTAACAACTCACGGATGATTATCCAATAGCAAAACTTTCCAACAAAATGTGTGAACTAATTGAATTAAAAAACAAGCAGAATTTTAAAAGGTACCATAACTTGAACTAGAGCTCAATGATATTTCATTTATGAATCATGTAAATCAAGAATTTATAAGTACTGTGTATATAATAATGTATATTAACTAAAAATGAAAGATGGCACTTTTATGCGAAATGTATGTAAAAAGTTTTTTGCCACTAAAAAAAGCTTTTTAATTTGATGGTTGTTGAATATTTGTAAATTATATAACAAAATAGTTTAAAATATTAATTAATTCATGAGTAAATGGTGGTTTAGATACAAGCTACGTATATTACATTGAAAATTAAGTTAATCAAAAATCATAATTTTTATCAATTTTTTTTAAGTGGACAGAGGAAAGGAACACAAAAAAAATTTTAAATTTGCAAATTTAATTTTGATACTATTTAATTTAGAAATGACAGTCGATCGCTTTATTATATTTTTATTTGTGAAGTTGTGATCCTTCAAGCAATTACGCTTGGATTGAATGTTATCATTAAATAAGAACTTGACGAGAGTTGAGTTGGTGCACGTGGCGCCAAGCACGTCCCGTCAAACGTAACCAGCAGCACGTGGTGTCCCAAATTTTAGTTCCATTTATTTTAATTCTGTCTCATCCCCAAAAATGAATTCTTTTCGGAAAAACCGCCCGTATTGGGATTCTAAAAGGGAAAAATACATAAATCCCACGTGCAGGCCACACATCGTGCCGCCTGCTGTTAACACGTCCTACCATAAAAAGGATCATGATAATTTCGAGTTTTTATTACACTTACCGGGTGACGTTAAGACCCGGGGGAAGTTCTACACGTTAATTTCCTCAACTTCTTATACGTAGATCCGTCATTTACGTAATTTTGACACGAGGTTAACCGTAAGAAGCACATACGGAGCCAAAAGGGCAGAGCTGGGCTGATAGATTGGACATGAATGGGCGGGAGTGAGGGGCGTGGCCCTATCACGGTCACGTGGTTCGCCCCTACAAAGCATCTATAAATAAATTATAATACCCTAATAACAAATAATATTAAACTTTTCAGTCAATTTTTAACCTTTCTTTATAAAATAGTAATTATTTTTACAAAGAAATTTATAGAAAAAAATATGAAATTCTATACAAAGAAACATAACCATTAATCACACACTAATTAATATTTTAAAAAATTTATAAACAAGTTCTTAAAAACTATGATTTATTTAAACCAAATCTTCAAAGTAATATCCTTCTCAAAATATTACTTACAAATGCAAAAATAATCGTTCGATTTCGCGGGGAATATTTTATTTGCAAAAACATGTCTTAAACAAAATGGCTAACCTATTTCCAAAATTGCTTGATGCTGCTTTAGTTGCAAATCGCTTTAAATATTGCCACTTTAAGACTACAAAATTATTGGTAGTCCTAAAATCGATAATAAAACAAAAGAGATAATGGGATAAAACTAGCAAAAAGCTGCACTCGAACCTCTTCTTGGTGGTGACGGTCCAAATGGTTGAAAAGAAGCTGCTATACATAAAAAAAGTAAAAGTTAAAAAAAGTTAGCAACTCTCGCTTGTTCTAGTGAATAGGCATTGGGATTTCTATTAATTTACTTTATTCGTACTTTTTTTAAAATATTAATAAACCAACCAAATTCAGCATTTGTTTTGGTTTGGAAAAAAAATTCCCTTTTACAAAACTGATCCCCTTAATTTTTCAGCAGCAAAGTTAAGGCTATTGAGGCTTCAATAAATAATCAATCTTGGCTTAGAAATACATTTATAATATTTCTTTAGTTATAAAAAGAATGAAATATTAATAATAATAATAACTAACATAAATAATTTTAATAAGTATATACTAATGTAAATGAGTTACTTAATATAAATACTAAGATAACTAATTAAATAAGAAATAAGATGTGAACAAATATTGATTTTTTTATATCTAAATTTTAACATATTTAAATTAAATTAATTATTTAAAAATAATTTTATAGATTGTTTTGAAATAAATACAGTTGTATATTGTTAATCTTTGTTGTTACTGTGGCACGTATTATTGTATCAATTTTGTTTATCTGCTACTTAAATTGTTTGTAACCTCATGTTTTATTCTTTGTAAAGGGTGTTTGATCAGTATGTACAATTTCTTACAATTTTAAAAATTTTAGCTTCTATCATAACAAAATTATGAGTTTAGCCAAGTTGAGTGGACAAGTACCAACCATTGTACACCTTTAAAATAATAATTACAGTTTTAAAATTACGTACTAGTAATGTATGGTATATAAACACTGATTTTTGTGAATTAAATAATTTTGAAATACACTAATCTGTATTAAAAGTTATGACCCATCACTATTTTAATTAATAAATAATTCTTTATCATAGACAAAACTTTTATCTAATCAGGCAATAACTACTTGTAGTCTAATAGTTATTTGAGGGCAAAGAAATGAGGTAATTTAAAATTGTCGCGGAGCTCTTTATACCACCCTGGGCAACATTCGCTTTCAATTGAACAGTTGAGGTAATTGTAAATTTAAAAAAAAATTGAATAATAGATTTATTTGCTATTTTTACGCCCATTGTTAGAAAACAATTATATTATTGTCACATTTTTTGATTAATTGTGTTCGATTAGATTTATTGATGGAAACTACAACAAAAGAACCCCTCCACTAAGGCAACGCCTACAGCACCATAAAAGCATAGAAAGTTCCAGTAATTTACTGACAATCATTTAAACTACACCTTTTTCCAAAATAATATAAAGGTATTAAGAAAGAAACCAAATTTTTGTGTTAAACATTAAGAAGAATATAGTAATAAGTAATAGTTTATCAATCAGTATTATAATTTGTCAATAACCAATTAAAAATTTCATTTTGTTCATTATTCAGGAAATAATTTTTCATAAATTCTTTTGTAGGCATTCCCTCTTAATAAGAATTTTTTTAAAAAATGGCTGAAATGTTAATGATGAGCAAAGTTTCAAGTGACGAAGAAACATCATCAGTTGTGTCAAATAAAGTTACCATTGTTGGATGTGGTCAAGTTGGAATGGCATGCGCCTTCTCTTTATTATCCATGGCATGTATATACATTAAATTATTTGGCCAGATATATTACATTAAGTTTCTACTTTTTTCACCTAGTTGATTAATTACTCTTTTAAAAATGTAAAATTTAACTATTAACCATTTCCTGTAGAACTGTATTTCTTTTGAATAAATTTTAATATTATTATGTTTTAGAATGTTACTGGCAATGTTGTCTTGACAGACATAGATGCCAAAAAATTGAAAGGTGAAGTTATGGACCTTCAGCAAGGAAGTGCTTATATCCCAGGGTGTAAAATAAATGGAGGATCAGGTTTTATACTAGATGGATTTTTCAGAAAGTAGATTTGACAATAAAAAAACATTTATTTAGATTATGAAATAACAAAGGACTCAACGATTTGCGTAATTACTGCCGGTGCCAGGCAGAAGGAGGGACAAACTCGGATAGATCTTGTCAATCAGAATGTAGGACTTTTAAAGCATATCATTCCCAACTTGCTCAAGTACAGCCCAAATGCAATAATTTTATTGGTGACAAATCCAGGTGATAGATCGAGCAATTTTTACAAACCTTTATATAAATATTTTAATTTTTCAGTCGACGTTTTAACTTATGTTGCATGGAAGATCAGCGGCAGACCTTTAGGTACTGTAATAGGTTCAGGGACAAGTCTTGATACAGCCAGATTGAAGTATTTAATTTCTGAAAAGGTCGGCATTAATACTCAAGCCATTCATGTTTGGATTATTGGAGAACATGGGGATAGTAGTGGTATTTAATATTTTTATATCCAACTATTATAATAAAAAGTGAATTAAATTCACCAATAATACACTAGTTCCAACTTGGTCGAATCTTCAAGTTGCTGGGGTAAACTTGAAAGATCTCAGCGATACTTCAGGCCTGAAAAACACCGAGAAACTTAATGAACTGCATTTTAATGTAGTTAACAGGTAAATTATGGAAAACAGACAAGTTTTTTCCTCCACAAATAATCAATTGTGATTTTTTTCCTTCCAGTGCGTACGAAATTATAAATCTTAAAGGATACACTTCCTGGGCAATCGGACTGAACATAGCCGACATCTGTAAATCAATATTGCACGACACTAAAAACGTTCATGCTGTGTCTACACTAGTAAAAGTATGATTTTTTTTTCCAATTCAGCCACCTGTTTGTTTTTGAAGTTTAAAAGGAAAAGTTTTCCAGGGTTTTCACGGTGTCAACGAGGAGGTTTTCATGTCTTTGCCATGCGTTCTTGGAAAGGGAGGAATTTCACATATAATCCCGTTAAATATCAGCGACAATGAAGAAGATGCTTTCGTCAAAGCAGCGATGAAGTTGTGTGAAGTCCAAGAAAGTGTCGCACTTTAAAAAAAAATCTTAATATATTTTAGAATATACTGTTACATTAACCTGCAGAGGGTGTATTTATGAAAATAACAAAATTTGACGTGACTCAGTTCCACATTTCATTTTTTTTTTTTTTTTTTTTTTTTTTTTTTAATTATGGCAAAGAGCAAAATATAAATTTACCTTTATTGCAACATTTTATTGATAATAATATACCACCATAAAAACAATTCTAATCTAATGAAAAATATAAGCATAAATATTTATAATATAAAAGACTTGAAATTAAGAGCATCAAATACTTATTAAAGTAACATAACAAAATAAAATAAAAACAATTCTTGTCATACAGTTGTTGAGGAATGTTGAATCCATTTGGTATCGCAGACAAAGATCAAACCACTTTTAAAATACTTTCTCCATATTATTCGCAATTAAAAATCCAACAGCTGTGCCCGGATTCAAACCCAGAACCACTAGCATGGCAAATATAAGGCAGACACACTAGCCACCCGGCCACTGCAGTCTCTTACAATATTTATTTAAACAAATTACATTTTTTTTTTCAAGATATTTTAAAAACACTTTGATTGATTATTTTTAACTTTCCACTCTTCTTCCATGAAGTTTTCCTAATTAACAAGACCGTTATCAAATAGAGTTATTTACGTACTTTGCATAATTATGTGAGCATGTTATGATCGTTTTGTTAATTTTTTAACTTCCACATTTTTGACCCAATAGTACAATTTTGAGTTGGTCCTCCATTTTTGGAATCTAAACGATATCTGGAAGGAAACAAAGATATCTTTAAGAAGATTTTTTAATTTTATTTATTTATTTTTTAATTGGCTCTTTCCTATAACTGATTATTCAACAAATTATTTAAAAATTCTCTTCTTGTGTTGTTTTTTTGAATGGTTATCACTTTTTCAAATAACAATATAATAAACATTGATATAGGGGGCGTCGGTGGCCGCAACAGTTTAGGCATTGACATGGTGCTCATCACTGTAAGGTAAAGGTCCCGGGTTCGAATCCAGTGGCCCTGCATTCAACCCCGACATATTTACAAATGGGTTTTTTTTTAAAAACACCGGCACCCGAGAGTTGATATGACCTCGGCCTCGTTTAAAAAAATAAATAAATAATAAATAAATAAGCATTGATACGAGCAATGAGATGAAAAATGTACAATCTATATGCATGTCTTTATTGACATCTTGTATTATTTCTTCTGCTCCATTGTCATCTGTAAAACCTAAGAAATTATCATCAGATCCATCCATGAGTTGTTAGAGGACCTCCAAGATTTTTTTTTACAAAAATCAAATAAAACAAATCTATAACAAAAAAAAAGATTAAAATATGATCACCTAACATTAAATTATAAAGATGATTATACTTGAGGCTTGAATGGTATGCAGTTCCAAAATCAAGAGTTTTCTCTTTAATGGCTCTGCCGCGGCTGAGATAAAAAAAAGTAAAGTAATTCATGTCATAAAGGAGAGCTTGCAATCTTAATTACAATTCCATGGACTATGCTGGGATTGAACCCAGGATCCCCATGGCAAATACAAGTTGGATGCCCCTACCACTTGACTGAGATAAAAAAATTACATGTCATTCCCCATTCTTGAAAACTTAGATAACAAATACTAATTACTTTCAGCACAATTGGAACAAATATTCAAACTAAAAATACAATAAAAATGAAATTGCGGTGCACAGTACCACCATGCACCTGCTGCAGTTTGTAAGAGTATAGTATTAGCTAAAAAGCTGTTATTTTAAATTTAATTTGTTTTAATATATGTAAATCATAGTAATCATTGTCAATACATGATCATACTTTCATCTTAAGTTTTAATCCATAGAGAATCCCTGTGTAAATTAATAGAAATAATTTCATATGAGCAAGGTGACAAACAATCACGCAACTCAGGAAAAACAAGTGATTTATTAATATATAAACGAGAACATAATAAACAAAAATTAACAAAAATAACAATCATTTTCAAGCGTGTAGATTGCACTTGCTTTGACTATACACAGTAATAAGTTATACTGACAATACTTTATTACGGATTTATGGCAATAATGACTAGACAAAGCATTCTTTTACAACATAAAGAATCTTAAATTAAAAATTACTGCCTATGAAGTAGTCTTCCAAAATAATTAAGATGGATTAAGGAATGCATTTATTAATACTGCATGCAAAAAATACTATTGCGGTAAAAAAAAAAAAATGAGATCAAAAAAATTGACTAAAATATTTATATATTTATTTTGGCACAAGACCACGAGTTTTTGGATACATAGGTTTACTTGAAGGTGGCCTTGAAGATGTAAAAGGAGTTTTAGGGCGTTTTGAGTTTTTCAGAGAGGCAGCTGATGCATCTACATCTATGTCCTCTTCCCCTTTTAAGGCAGCCTCTAGAGCAGAAAGGACGGAAGGAGCAACAGCTGGCCCACGGTAGTCTTTTGTCGTTCTGTGAGGTTGATCCAACTCGAGTTCGACTATGTTTTCACCTTTGTACCTGTAATTCAGCCCGATGGCTCTAGCAGTCCTGGCATACTCTGAAAATGGCCTTCTCTCGGATCCGTTAGCAACAAGGCGGGTCAAAATTTTGGTCGGCTCCGACTCTGGCATCAGTCTCCAAGCATCCTCTTCATCGTCGTAAAACAGCCTCGAAGATATGCGCTTCTTTTCTTCAGGGGGGATGAAGTTGTCGATAATCAATAGTCTCAATTTATAGTCTCGCAACAGTTCATTGTGATGACTTTCAAGTTCTCGCCTGTCGAAATTGAACTGTTCATTTATATCATTGATCTCCTGCCTTGTACTCTGAAGCTTTTGATAAAGTTTACGGACTTTATTATTTTTTGCCTCCACTTCCTGTTGCAGACTAGCGTAAGTTTCTCGAATCCCTTCCATTGACTCTTCTTTCATTTCCAACATCTGTTTCATCTGAACTTCCCTGCGTTTCCTTTCGTTTATTTCGATATTCCTCTGCTCTAATGCTTTTTGCTGTTCATTTGTGTGATCTATGATGTTCTTTCCACCTCGAAGCAGTTTGCTCTCCATAGCATTGATCTTATTGTTCAGCTCTTCAGCGTATCTCTTTTCCTCGAGGATCTGCGCTTTTCTCTTTTCGATGTCATGAAGAAGCTCTTTCCTTTCATTTTCGGGCATCTCGTTCTCGTAGCTCAAAAGTTTCTTTTCTTTCTTTTTCAGGCTCTCTTCCTCTTCGATCAACCTCTCTTCGTGCGTCTTCTCTTCGCTCTCCCCTTCCTTCTTCCTCTTTTTCTTTTTAGAAATTATACTTGTCGAATCGCTGGATTGTTTCAGTAACTGTTTGAGACGTGTTATTTCCTCTTGGTACTGTCGGAGTAATGCGTCTTTAGGATCTTCATTTATTCTTGGTTTGTTTTTGATATTTTTAGCACGATTGGCATATCTCAAGGTAGTAAGGCTCTCTTCGTAATTGTAACTCGCCGGGCCAATGTTGGCCACCATTAGAGTTTTTGAGTTTCCACCAAGCGAGTCTTGCAGCAGACGGGTCAGCTTCGAGTCCCTGTAAGGGATGTGCTGCCCCTTCCCATCAACCAGTGCGGAAATGACGTTCCCCAGGGCTGAAAGCGAAAGGTTTATTTTGCTAGCCTCTTTCAACCTGGTACCGGAGGATCCAGTCTTCGTCTGACGTTCGCTTCCGGCCAAATCGACCAGGTTCAGCTTTCCAACCCGCACTTGGTTTTTTATTTCAGAACCAGTATCGCTCATTTCAATGGTGACCATAAATATCGCATGCGACCTCGAGCTGTGTTCATTCATGTTTGTGGCTCCTATCGTTCTGTTTTGATTGCCTAACGTCATGACCCGCTCGATCTCAAAAACGTTCTTACACACGAAAGACTGCAAATCCTTGACGTAGACCCCCGTATCGAGACTTTCCCTCAGCTCGTATCTCTTCTTCGGATTCGAGTCGAGAAGGTCCCTTATCTCCTCTTGGTATATCTCCAGATAGGAGGCGCGCACCAGGTACTGCATGTTGTCCGTTCTGGAGATGTGGGTGAAAATCTGTTCGAACGACCTCGGTATAATGCCTTTGTTGCCGTTTTCGTCCATCTTGCACCCTTCCATCGTGTACGTCTTGCCGGTCCCCGTCTGGCCGTACGCGAATATCGTACCGTTGAAGCCTTCGAGGACGGAACTGACGAGCGGGTAGACGGATTCGTCGTAGATGTCTTGCTGCGTCGCGGACTGGTCGTAGACGGCGTCGTACGTGAACATCTTCCCGTTCGACCTGTCGTCCTCTTTCGGGTTGAAGATCTCGACGACACCCCTCGTCGGATACACGTCGACGACGTTCTCGTGACCGTGCATCAGCTCTTTTTCGTTCATCGGACGACATCGCACCACAACCTGGACGCACTCGTTCCTCGACGCGGACTTGCTCCTTTCCGAAGACGAGCTCATCTCGAATACAAAAACTGTCAACTCAATCCGCAATCGCCCGCACAACTATCAAACGTCGAGCACCGCGTTCCCATTCATCTTCTCACGACCATCACCGCTCTATTCCTCGATATTTTCCTTTTTTGTTCAAGTAATTTACTTTCTGATTTGAGTTTCGAAGGAACTAAGACTGGGGTGGGGAGAGGAGAAGAAAATTAGATAGGTAACACTGGATATTGGAAACAAAAGAAGACCAAAGTGATTTGTTAACGGGTAACAATAACGAAACCTTCTTATCAACTATTGCAAAACTTATGACAAACTTTTTTTTACATAATTTTATTCACTTTTTAATAACTGTCAAAATAAACCATTTCTATTTTATTTCTAAAAAAAAGAACTTTCTTTCTCTAACAAACCAATACATAACCGTGATCTCGCTTGACAAAATGTACTGTATAATTGTGTATGTTTTGATGTCCAAGTTTAAACAAAGATTTAACGTGCTCTATTTATTTAACATTTTCATCACTGCTAATTCCTCTTTTTCACTGATTTTTAAGCTATAGGAACTTATCAAGGCAGTTAGGTATTCACTGGACAAAATAAATTTTCGAAAATTCTTATTAGGCTGGTCTTGGTCTTTCGTACGCCATCAAACCTCTCTCACTCTCACTCACTCACTCTCCACTCACCCTCTCTCCACTCACCCTCTCTCCACTCACCCTCTCTCCACTCACCCTCTCTCCACTCACCCTCTCTCCTCTCACCCTCTCTCCTCTCACCCTCTCTCCTCTCACCTCACTCTCCCTCCTCTCACCTCACTCTCTCTCCTCTCACCACACTCTCTCCTCTCACCTCACCCTCTCTCCTCTCACCTCACTCTCCCTCCTCTCACCTCACTCTCTCTCCTCTCACCACACTCTCTCCTCTCACCTCACTCTCTCTCCTCTCACCTCANCTCTCTCTCTCTCTCTCTCTCTCTCTCTCTCTCTCTCTCTCTCTCTCTCTAACCCTCTCTCCCTCTCACTCCCGCTCCCTCTCTCTTCCTCCCTTTCACTCCCTCTACCTTCCTCTCACCCTCCCAGTGTATATGTATTATAAAAAGGAGTACGCGTTCTGAGTTGGTTGAAGTGCACTATAAGAATCTGAAAATATAATTATTTTTGGTGACTGATAGAGGGCTCATCTAAAGCATTTAAAATGGCAAATATTCTGTGTTGTATGAACTGAAAAGTGAGAGTAAACGAAATAAAGTTTCCAAAGATTGACAAGTCATTTTCAGCACTAGTCATTCAACATTATACAAACAAAATTAAAATGTAAAAATAAATTTAGTTTTCTATGCACAAAAGGAGATAATATTCATCTTATTGTACTCAATCATTTTATATTTTTCGTAATGAGCTGTGGTATAAGTTTTGGTAGAGACCTTTTAACAAAAATTTTACATTGAATAACATTCTACTTAAAACAAGCCCAGATGCATATGGGATGTCCATTAATGTCCTGAAATATGTTAAAGAGTCAATATGTGAACCTCTATGCCATTCAAAATAAATTTATCTTTTAATGAAGTACTTTAATGAAATTAAAGTAACTCATATTTTCAAAAAAAGACAAAAAGGAGTGCTATTTATAACACAATCACCCCAGCTACAGGTGAAGTTAAAACTTTGGTAACAGATGACGAAGCGGATTCCAAGCTTATACGCTTTATATTTACTGTTACAATTCATGTGGAGAGACGTGGTTATAAATTCCTTCAACAAGATGATGAGTTATAAGCTTGAAATCCGGATTGTTGAAAACAACTATGAGTAGGAATTAGCTTTTAAAAAGACTGAACAACATATTCACTCTACAATTTATCATTTTTATTAATTTGTTAATCAAAGAATTAATGGTTATAATGCAATCAATCAGACGATTATCAGTTGAACTAATGTTATTATTTTTTATCCAGCCCAAGCTAAGCAAAGAGCAACCAGGTTTTACTTTTTCTTAAGTCTTACAAGTTGACGAGGGATGCTTTTCACAGACACAATCCAACTGGTTTTTCTTCTGCTTGTTTTACGATCAAAGTACCAGCTGCAGTAAATTTCACTGTTGACATCAATTACTCTTGATTTAACTTGCAGCACTTCCTTATCGACATTTTGACGTAAATTTTCAACTTGTTTTTGATCAACTACTCTCAGCCTCTTAGGAGAGATGTTTTTGCTGACCCTGACCAAAACTATCAATATTATATACAATAAAACAGCACTGTTTCATTATTATTTTGTACATTTTATTATTTATTATATTATTTTTATTATCTTTATAAAACTAGATTTATTATTATGTGTACATGAAAGATGCTTAAAAACCTATTTATAATTTAGTATAATAATGAAAAACAGTGTTATTTAAATTTTATTTTACCATGTTATCCTCCTTTTTTTCTATTGTTAATTTTATGAAACAACAAAATGGTCAGATTGAAAGTTCGAAGTTTATTCGGAGAAGAAAGTAAAATTTTGAAAATCTTGTTCTGTGTAAAGTTTATGGCGGTTGAAATTTGTACCGATGCACTGTAGAGGTCACTGAGCTTGACTTTTCGCTTTACAGTTACACACAACTCACAGCAAGGAGGTTGCAAACTTTCAAAAACAATCACGATTTGTCAAATAAGATTTCGATGACAGTTCTGTAAGAAATAATAGACTTTCTGTACTACTCAAAAATGGTAAAAAGCTGGAATTGTAACAAAGGTCTTCATTTCTCATCTGAATCCTTTGTGTTTTCTTTTTCAGTCAGACATTGGATCTAACATTATCAACGAGTATTTAATTTTAAAAAGGATCTTTTCTCATCTTCTACCCAAAGATTTACTCTCAGCTTCTTTGGTCTGCAAGTAAGAATCGAAATATATATATTTTTTTTAAATTTAAAAAAGGTGTATTTTAATGAATTTAGTGATGACATGGGTCAATAGACATTCTCTAGGTAATACATTTTTGGAGAGATTGACCCATAGGTGTACAGATGACAAAGAGAAAACAATGAGGGTCATTGATCTACTCAGTCTACAGACAGTTTGTGAAAGAATTTTTCTAAAATGTTTTAATGCATAGTTAACACGTCTTAAAAAATGTTGAAACAGTTTTGCTTTCTTCTTTTATTTGCAATACATAAATATATAATGTTATACATTAACAAAAAATATGAAATCATGAGGCCTCAGGGTACTGTTATAGGTCCTACTCTTTTTAATATACACTCCCTAATAAAATCACCCCCCATATTTTTACAATAATAATTATAGTGAACCAGACTTTATATCATTAATTTTGTTTGTTTAAAATGTACAATAAAGAACAACAATCAATTTGTAGTAATAAATTGCATTTAGTAAAGAACAAAGTATGAAAAAAAAAAAATCCAGCATGAGAGGCTGTTTTCTTACAATTTCCTCACTATTTAAATCATTTACTGTAATTGGTTGGTCCATCTGTCCGTCTCCAAACTTCCACTAATCTTTTTGGAATAGATTTTTAAAAATTTTGTTATACTTTTGTCTGATGTTGTCCCACTTTTCTAAGATCAGCTCCTCTATGGAGTTTGACCGTTTACCATTTGCCAAACAGCACAATTAAGCCATTGCCAACAGTTTTCAATTAAGTTAAGATGAGAGGTGTTCTCATCTGGCCAGCGTAAAATGCATTTTTTCTTTTCAAGGACCTAATTTTTGAATTTTCCACCAGGCTGAATCACGCTTTATTGAGCTACATTAGTGCTTCCTAAACTGTGTGCCATGGCTGTGCTACAAGGGCGCCGGGAAAATTTTCTTTAAAATATATTATTTTTATATTTATAAAAAACCTAAAAACTAAAAGATTCTTGTGGCCTTTCAATATAATATGGATGTTATAAGAAAGCTGCAATTGTGTATTTTATATTATTGCCCCCACAAAAAAAAAAAAGTGCATAATCACTTTTAAAAGGCAAGTTTTTCAATTTCACAAGAAAGTCAGGAGTGTTTATTATTTATTAAAGAAAATTGCAGACAAAATAAGAGGATCAGATATCAATGCTTTTCTGAATTGTAAATAAATTATTACTATTTTAAAGTTCACGCTGAGATAGACCATTGTTTTGACTTGGGACACCATGGAAAAATTCTAATTTATTAAGGGCGCCATAAACAGAAAAAAATTGGGAACCACTGAGCTACTTCCAGACCATCTTGAGTCCAGTGTTATTTGAGTGGAACTGTTGCAAAGTTTTGAAACATGAAACAAATTATTTACTATATAAATAAATATAAGTAATTAATTGAAGAAGTTGGAGATTTTGTTTATCTGAAAGACAATTTTCAAAAAATAGTGTTTTTGCAGTTAACATGAGAATGGTGTTACAAAAAAAAAAAAAAAACTTTTTACACTATTGACTTCAGCGTCAAAAAACCTTTAAAAAATTTACATTAATCAGGACCTTGCCATTTGCAATTGTTAACCTTCTATTTGTATCCTGCTATCCTGTATAGTTAGATAAAAACTGTTTGGCTCATGAGAAACTATACAAAAAATAAATCTGTAGTGTCTCCTGGTTTTTCCCAAAAACTCCCTTGAAAAATAATATGGGGGAACAGAAGTTAAACTTGCCTTGTATTACACAAGATCCTGCCATTTAAATCCAGTGAAACCAAAGACAAAACCTTTTAAATAGCTACAGAGCTACTGGAAGCGATTCAATAGTGAACATGCTTCATGGAGAAAGAAGAGAAGAAAATAATTTCTTAGTTTTGAAAAAGTGATTTAATTTGGATGGTTCTGATGGATTTTATTTTTTCATGGTCTAATATCTATTAAAGGAAACATTAAACCATTAAACATTAAATCTGTTAAAAAATTATGGGGCTTTTGTAATTACAATGAATCATACTTGTCTTGAAAAAAAAGTCATGATTTATTATTTAACTCTTTAATCTCCAAAACATAATTTAATTTTTAATATTTTTTAATTTTTAATTAATTTTAATTTTAATATAACATAATGAATACCGAACACGATAAATTTATATCAGATTCACTTGTAACACCTATACCCCTAGATTTGCCACCTAAACCAATAACTCCAAAACAAGTATCACAAGAAATACGACAGCTTCCTACAAAAAAAATCACCTAGTCATGATTTGATAACAGCTGAAGTTCTTCAAGAACTTCCCAAAAAAGCAGTCGTCTTTCTCACTTCTTTATTTAACGCAATTTTGAGGACTACACATTTCCCCATACAATGGAAACTTTCTTACATTAAAATGATCCCAAAGCCCCATAAAAATTTAAGCTCCCCATCATCTTATCATCCTATTAGTTTGTTACCCGTTCCTTCTAAATTATTCGAAAAATTAATTTACAAAAGAATTATCTCTATTGCTACTTCGAACAACATCTTACCAGACCATCAATTTGGCTTTTGAACCCATCATTCCACCACTCATCAACTTCACAGAGTGACTGATTTCATTACTTCGTGTCTCGAGCAGAAACTGTTCGCGACTGGAGTGTTTCTAGATGTTTCTCAGGCCTTCGACAAAGTATGGCATGAGGGATTATTATACAAATTAAAATTATTTTTACCCCAGGCCTATTATCTGATTATATAATCATACCTTAAAGAGAGATTTTTCGCAGTAAACCAGGATACGGAGACTTCTGGGATGGAAGAAGTGCTTGCAGGTGCGCCACAAGGGTCAATACTCGCTCTGCTGTTATACACAATTTTTACTTCTGATATGCCCACAAATGAGAATACGCTCACCGCCACATACACAGATGACACCGCCATATTAACAAGCCATCTCTCTTCTACACAAGCTTCACTCATGTTACAAAACCACATATCAACAATTGAAAAATGGAGCAATCTTTGGAAAATAAAGTTTAATCCCTCAAAGTCACAGCATATCACCTTTACACTTCGTCGTGAGACTTGTCCTAGCATATACTTATACAATGAACCTATTCCTCAATCTAACAAAGTTAACTATTTAGGACTTACATTTGATAGAAGACTAACTTGGAATCCACACACACAATTAAAAAAACAGGCACTGAACAAACGATTTAAAATTCTTTATTACCTTCTCAACTGACAATCAAAATTACCTTTAAAATCAAAACTTTTGATATACACATACCTACTCAAACCTATTTGGATGTACGGGTGCCAAGTATATGGATCGGCAAAGTATTCCAATATTCAAAGATTACAAAGTTTTCAATCCAAAATTTTAAGACTAATTGTTTCTGCCCCTTTTTATGTAAACAATAATACACTTCACAGAGATCTTCAAATCCCAACAGTTTTTTCATCCATCAAAACATATTACAGACGTTTTCATAGTAAATTACAAAATCATACCAACACACAAATACGATTACTCAGTGGATGTTGGAATTGTGTATCATAAAAGTCGCACAGTAATGAAGATCAATAATGATGAAACTGCTAACGACTGTTCAAAAACTCGCTGGACATTTAATTAACCCAAAACTTTTTTTTTTACTTTTTAAGGGATTGGCATACAGTTGCCAAACGAGTCCTACAAGAATTTGGAGGCCCATTGGGTTACGTATGGGACCCGAAAGAAAACTGGCCCAATTTCAACAGGCAGATCCTTCCAAAAGTCATTTTGCATTTTGACATTTTCAATGAGGGTAAAATAAATGAAAATACTGAACTCATCACATTGGAAACAGGTAACTAAATTCTGAAAAGTGTTGTATTTATGTTATTTTATTTTTTAAATAAAATTTTTGACTAAACTGTTTAAAAATATTTCTAATCAAGATGGTTTATAAGTTAAAAAAATTAATAGGTTTAAATTATCACTGAGTGTTGTATTTTCTTACTGTGTTAATAAGATTGCTATTGCTTTCTTTATATATTTATTTTGTATGCGTTAATTAACTATTACAGTTTTATTTTTATTTTCCTTTTTAGAAAAGATCATATTTAAACTTAAAGAAAATTACCCCCTTTACTACAAGTTCTACACAACAAGCAATCGATGTTTTATCGGAAGCAATTTCAGCAATAAGACACACAATAAAATAGACACAAAAACAGGTTTGTTAATTAATATTATGTTAATGGTACAAATGTTACAATTACAGTTTATTTTTATACTTAAGTATAATCATTTGCTCATTTTTGGCCAATGTATGTCATCTTACCCTCAGAAAACTATCAAATTAAATCTAAAAATAATCTTCTACAGTAACAACTTCGGTAGTTGGAGAGGAAAATAAACCTCCAATCTGCAGTCAAGAATGAATTCTTTTAATAACCAAATGCAGTAAATTGGACAGTTAAAATGACATTATTTTAAAATAAAATACAGACAAATTTTAATTACATAACCAAGTCGACAAAACATTTATTGGAGAACAAATTCTCCAACAATAAATCATCTTTAAGTATGTACTTAAACAAATAGTTGATTTAAAAACAATTTTGTTATGATGATGTCTGAGATTATGACAAAAAAAACGGAAAAAAAACTCGATGTAAATTTTCATTTACATTTGCAGCAGTTTTAATATTATTGTACAAACGGATTCTTAAGCCCATTCGTCCCAGATCACTTTATATGCTGTCTCTCCAAAAACTTGAAATATATATTTTAATAAAGAATTTCTAGAATAAAAACTAACATATGTCTACACGTACCAACTACCAAAAATGGCAGAATGCTGAAACAAGTCTGATTGACGAACCAGCAATAATAGGCAAGATTGTAATGATCAGAAAAGGATTGACCTACAGATTTCTTCCCTTAGGAACCCCACCATAAATTTTCAAAAAATTTACCACCTATTTAACTTGAATGGAAACACCCTGTATTTTATGAATTTAATAAATATAAAATACGTACATAAGTTTTTATCCAATTTTTGAAGTTTATTTTTCTAATGTATGTGTTAACTATTGCTTGACTCTTGGGAATTCACAATTGGCTGACACTCCCTGCATCCTCCTCCCAACCATATTCGTTTGGAACGATCTTGCAGTTCTAGCCAGATCATGGTCATCTCCACTGCACCTCTACTGATTTGCATTCCTAGAAATCAAATAGGGGCTCCATGGTTTTTGTCTCGTTTTATAGTCGGGTTTAAGACTGGTAAAGGTGTGGCCTGCCACTCAGCCATCTGCTCTCGTGGCCTTGCTGCTTGTACACGGCTGAATCCTACGTGATCTGGCAAGGGCTCTGGGTGATTCAAGACGAAGGTGGTTCTGCTTATCTTGTCTGTACAGACTCTCTGAGCGTGGTTTCAGCTATCTGTAACATTCTGGTCTCTTGCTAGAGATGAGCTGTTGTACCTCGAAAAAACAGTGTTGTTTGGTTACCCGGGCCCGTTGGGCTGATAGGCAATGAACATCCAGATAATGCGGCAAAAGCTGGAACGTCTCGCCCTCCAGACCGAATCACCAAGATCCAACCCTAAGTAGTAAATATTGCAATAAAAGAATGTTGGTAGCATCAATGAGCCAGTTCATCTAAGAAGCTCCTTCTCCTCAAAAAAACGACTGAACGATCCTTCTCCCCAGGGTGACTCATGAACTCCTGATTTTGGTACAAACCTTGCACAGCTGTCCTGCTTGTAGAGAAAAGTGTTCACACTTAGACAAGGAATACAGGTCTCGGCCCTTACAGGGAGCGAGTAGGCATGGCACCCAATATAAAAACACTCCTTGGTCATAAGATCGTTGGGTCCCCTGTTCCGATTTTTAAAGAAAATTGGAAGGGCGATTTCCCCATAGTTAATCTATGTAATAATATTTATTATATATTTTTTGTGTGAATGTAAAGTTGTATGTGGTTTTGTTTGAGTGAATGAGTAAGTAAACGGTAAAGTACTATTGCTTTTGATAGTTTATCTTTTCTCAATGCTTAATGTTATTTGTGCAAAGGGAATTGTTAATGTATATATTTTAATTTAATTTTATGGTTTTAGGTTCAGAGCTCAATGCTCTACAATCAGTCTTATTGTTAAATGACAGTCCTGGTTGTACTATTAAAACATTTGAAATAACTTCAAAAAGTGACCTGAAGAAAGAGGTTAGTATTTTTTAATACACGTAAAAGCAAAGTATGTGCAACTGCAATTTTATTTGTTTTGTTTTGTAGGTTATAAACAAATTCCAATCAAGAGATATCAAAGGGATTATCTTGATTGGCAACTTCATACCCAATTTTCAAAATTCGATGAAAACACTTTTCAAAGGGCTAGAAAGGTAATGAATGTAGTTAAGAATTGATTAAATGTTTATATTGATTGTGAATGATCAAAGGCTCAACGCTCCATTGGCAGGAGGCAGATGCTATTCTTTATTTCGGGTCGATGATGTATCTAGAATTGACAATAAGGAAACAAATGAACTAACTAATATTGAAATATTGGGGATTACGTTCGAAGGGGAAAATGTTACAACCAATTCAGCCGTACATAAACTCAAAATGGACCACGATAAGTTTTTAAAAGAGGTATTTATTCGATTGTATTAATATTAAAATGCATATTTAAATATACATTAAATATATTTTTAGTTTTCTGAAGAGGTAGGACCGAGACCGGACAATAGTACAAGGATAGCATTTTTATTTGTTTGTGTAGACAGGATTGATATATTTTCTGAAGAATACGAGTGGAAATTGTTGAAAAAATACTTTCCTAATGTACCAGTTTATGGCTTTTTTTGCTATGGTGAATATTTCTTGAAAGGAAAAGGTATAATGTATATTTTGTTCAATATGTACGATGATAAATAACAAGAATCAATTTTATAGAAAATCAGACCAGCCCTTTACCCAAGAAAAGGAAAGTATACAATCAGAATCCAGATGCCTTCTATTATCAGAGTACTTCATATCTTATCGTAACTATAAAAAATCATTTGTAAATAATTTTTAATTTTTTTTAACAATCTTCTGTATATATATTGTAAATAAAATATTTGTTCAAAAATTGGAAATTTCTGTGTAGACAAACATTTCCTGTCCATGAATATTTTGAAGACATAAGACATAGCAGTGATGGCAACAAAAATTTGATTAGATATCTGAAGTGTATAAATGCAAATAATCGCATTTAAAGGCTTTCCACTTTTTCCTATCTAGAATGAATGTATTTATTAGCATGAGTGGTCGAGCGAATGAGTGGGTTTGTTGCACAGTATAGAGTACCCCACAGACCCACCAAACTAGGTTAGTTATTTTGTCATACTGAATGAATGTATTTATTAGTGTGATTGGTTGTGTGTGGGGGGGGGGTGCCTATGGCAGAATGTACTTTATCCCAAGGACCCACCAACCTAGGTTATATGTATATTTTTTAATTTAAAAATTTTTTTTTTTTTAGTACGGGCGAGACCAATATAAACCGAGACACCAGTGCCTCTCAAAATTTTAATTTTACATATATGAAAGTTCGCCATCCCTATGGTGAGACCTCAGCGGAATATCCAGCTCCACAAGATCTGCCACTGGGTTGGTCACAATATATGTATGTGTGTACAGGTTATAGAAGTTGGGAAGGGCTGATTACAGATTATAATATTGTCCCGAAGTTCCATAAAATCGTCAGGTACTCGTACTGGAGAGCCAAATTTGGCCAATTAAAAAAACACGAAGTGGAGAGAATGCAAGGTTTCAGCAATAACTTGGCAAGTAGCTGGCTGGGAGAGAGAGAAAAAAAATTATAAATAAAAATTGCGTGTAAATTTGCCATTCAGCACTCACCACAGAAAAGAACATCTCCAATCTAGACTATTCTTATAAAATTTAAACAATGTCAAGACAAAGGCGTTAAAACATTATTAAAATGGATTCCTGGTGTAGTTGAGAATGAAAAGGCAAACAGAACGTCAAGAGGTCACCTAAACAATGGTTTCCCTGAGTTGCCCTATAACTTAGGCAGCTCATCTGGGAAGCCTCAAGGCGTGAATGGGCTGCGCCCAAAGAAACAAGCTCCTTGTACTTAAAAAATTGTAATCCTCCAGACCTTCTCAAAAGGAAGAAACCCTTCTAACCCAGCTTCAAATCATCTACTTCTAGCTTATTTATAATTTCCTATTCAAAAGAGCCTTTAAACCCATATGTCCAATTAACAATCAGAATTAATTGCACATATGCTAGAACCCACCACCTAATCCCCAAAGGCCTCACTCCTTACAAAAACATTAAATGTCATTAAACAAAATTTTTAACACATTCACTATGGGAGCCTTGGTTCCAATCCAAAAACAAAACCTCCAGTATTATTGATTCTAATACTACCAAAAATACTGTAAATTAATTCACTACTTTCGTGGTCCGCTTGACCAATTAATACATGACAATTAATTAAGGTTTTTAGTTGAGATGAAAAAAAGTTAATGGCACGAGAGGGATTCGAACTCACGACCTTCGGCTAGATACGCCGCTGCTCTACCACCTGAGCTATCATAACCTCGACATTTGAAAAATGGCAAAAGGAGGGAAAACTCATAAGGTGGGGTTGAGATGGGGAGTTGATGTCCGAGTGAGTCGAGGTCATGATAGCTCAGGTGGTAGAGCAGCGGCGTATCTAGCCGAAGGTCGCGGGTTCGAATCCCTCTCGTGCCATTGACTTTTTTTCATCTCAACTAAAAACCTTAATTAATACTGTAAATGTTGAAAGTTTTGCCAATTTACTAATATCAAATGATATTGAACAAGCCATGGAAGCTGAGGTGAAAAGGCATTCTGAAGAAACATCCCTTAGTACTACCAATGTTTTTATAATTGTAGGATGACCCAGATACCCGAGATTTGACAAGAAAATGGATCTGTGTTTGTTGTGGTCAATGCACTTAACAGACATCCAACTAATAGATAAAATTTAATATCATATTCTTTATTACTATTATTTCTTGTACCCTCTACTGTAGTTCTATGTTGGCAGTGTGACACCTATTCAATGCCTGTGGTGTTAGTCGATGTTGGGCTGGGTACCGTTCTTTCCCTACCTGAGGCTGTTACTGCCCTATGATCTGTTTATCCAGAACAAAAACATCCATGTTAACATTAAACTTCTCTAAATCAATTCAGTGGCAAAATTAAAATTAATGTGCATATTTTAATTCAGAAAAAAAATTAGTTGGGTAGAATGTTCTACAAGTATGGTGTCTTTTTAAGACGTTTACTCTGATTCTTGACTACATGTCAACATCATCTTGTCTAGTGCAAGTTATTTTAAACCATTAAATCAATTTAGCTTAGGGTATCAATATAATAGAGGCGGACAGTCAGCTTGTTAATACACCTTACAAATATCATACTCTTAAAAATTTTTAATATTCAGAAAGATTCCAATCTAAAGGACTAATTATTGTTATAAGCAGATTAGATTAGAGTGGGTCGGCTTCTTTACAACTTGCACTCAGCGAACATGTGCATCTCCATTGATCCTCATTGGTCATTTAAGGCTTTTTACCAGATTCCAAAGCTTTATCAAAGACAAGTATCCTTCAGGCTCGGGTTTTATTCCCTCCAGGAGTGGGAATTTCAGTCTACATAACCCTTCGCATCAACGCATGTTCTGCTGTCTCTTCTTTCTAGCAATACCTGCACAGGCTTGTTTCTACCACTCCGAGTCTATAAATATGCCCCTGGGGTCTTAGTGTACATTTATCAGTGTATTTATTATTCTAGTCCTAACATTATCGAGATTTAGTAGTCATGCCATGAACTTTTTTGTTGCCTTTTTCCTGCGCTACATTCCCATTGGACAGATGACTTATTTTTAATCCATCCTTATTTAATAGACCCATGTTTTTCGAAGTTTGACATGCCATACAAGGGTTCAGGGCCGATAAGTGCCTTCATTGAACTTTCCTCAGCCAATTTATCGGTTTTTTCGTTACCCCTCTGCCCTTTGAACCTTGGTACTGTTGTTTTCCCCAATGTCTGACAGGGCCAACAAGTAGAGTAAAAAAATTAATAAAATATTCAACAGTTTATTAAAATATATTCAAAACTAGAACAGTTTACTAAATAAAACGTGCTTACTGACAATTATCTGAATTAAAATTATCTGTAAAAATAAAAACACAATCTTTTTTCAATTAAGCAACATTATTAGCCTGAAGCAATTTTCAGTGTAAAACTTTTTTACAGCATTATTATTTGTTATTAAAATAATCAATAAACAGGAAAGGTTATGTAAAAATTACACAGTTTAATAAAAAATTAATTAAATTTTGATGTTTCACATTGAAGTTCACATTGAAAAATCCAAGTCTTCCTCTGACATATTAGACTTCACCCTCTTTCTAGCTTTTAAGATTGAATCTTCTTTTTCATCCTGCAAAGAAAACAAAAGGCGTTAATGGTTTAATACGAAATAATAATAGGTATAATTACATTGCTATTTTGTATCAAGCCATCCGAAGCCATTGTCTGATTGGTCACACCGTCTGTACAAGCAAGTTTAAATGCATGTGCTAATTCAGCTTTGTTCGCCACTTCGATTCCCGTCAATTCCTTCAATTAAGCATACGGTATTAATAATGATGAATTTACATATTAAACTTGATTGTAAAACAGTTTCAGAGCTTGTTTCACATTATAAATTAAGTCTGTTCAATTGCATGTATTACGGCAATATTGATGTTCAAGAATTGACTTGTAAAATGTAGTTGTAATTTAACGCTTTATAACAAGGGTTAGCTAACAAACTACAATAGAAATCAATTTTGTCCATCAGTTTTTATGCCGTAAAACAAAAGTAGTAAATAAAATTAAAACCTACTTTTAGCACTTTATGAAGAGCTTTTAGATGATAATTCGTTTTTATGTGATTCAATGCGTCAAATTCTGAAAGGCTTAAAATGTTGCAAGCATAGCAGCGGTACACCAGTGTTTTCAATATGGCCTGATTCTCTGTCAAAATTACACAAACAATTAAAATTAGAAACATGTAATAAAAATGAACATAATTATACTCAGATCATTATGAAGGTCAAATTCATTAAATCCACTACTGGGCCCATCCTTTTCGACTTTTATTTCTAAAACAATGATTTTATTCATATTATAATAGTTGTTGAAAGACAAATTAAATAAATAATAATAAAAATAAAATAAAAAAACGGGCACTTGTCTTTTGTTGTTATCTCAAATTATTTATTTTTATCTTTATATTAAATACACCGCACTTATTTTAATGTAAACCAAATTAAACGAGACCAGAAATTCATCAAAACACTGAAGGGTGCAATTCCTTGGCTCCATACAGAAAGGGCCGGAATGCCACCCGATTTAAAAATTGTGCTTGAGTATGGCAGTGAGTATTTGGGTCTCCTGTTCCGATTCTCGGAGGATACGGGGTTGGTCTATTGTAATACTAGTTTGCAATAATAGTTGTGTATACCTAGTAATGTGTGAATGTATTTATTAGCTGAATGTGTGATGTGAGGATTATTGGTGGAATATCGAGTACCCCATCAACCCTCAATTAGGTTAATTGTATATGTGTAAAGAGTGATGGACGAATGTCAAGTACTACATCACCGTAATTGAATGAGTGGTATGTAAATAGGAGTGAATTTTTTTAAGAATGAACTGAGTTATGAATGGGTTTGGATCTGCTTAACCTGGTTGTTGACAACACCCCCCTGGGCCCAATCTCAGTGGCTGGACGGATAAGACTGAGGTTTGCCCCTGGACTGCCAACATCCGAGGTGGGTGATTTTCTAGTCTGCCGGCAATTTACTGTAAATAGCAAAAGCTGGAATTGCCGGTGGACTATGAGAAGCCAGTAGGTTCAACTTGACACATTTGTATGTGTGGATTTGAACCTATACAAATCCAAATCCTAAAACAATTTATTACCATTAATATAATTATTACCTACTCCACCCTTTCAGAGGGTTTAAGTCTCCTAGGCATTAAGTAAATAAGTGATTGAATTTTGTCTTGTGAAACAGATTCCAATTTTTAAGTTATGAAGCTGTTTAACGCTTGTTGGAGGCAGTGGACGATGTCTAACCCATCTTTTTATGTTTCATAAGTGTTCTATAGGATTCATTTCAGGAATGTGCTCACAAATACATTCTCCAATTAATGGTTTAACGATTCGAGCTATATGCTTTCAAGCATTATTATGTATTATTAAGTTGTCCCCAAATAAATGGAGCAATGGGCCCACAGCTTCTAGAAGGTTTATTCTTCAATGTACCTTTGTGCAGATTCCTTCTCATGACAATCAGTTTGGTACGGGCCTGAACGTGGATTCCACCCCATACCATAATGACTGTCTTTATTGGCTATAACTAGCGACGCACAGTCCCGGTCATCTGATTGCTACAATCACGGCGTTGTGAAGAGAACAGCCCTCGATTGTTAAAGGGTCCAAGTGAAATGCTGATTTGCGAAGTCTCCTTTTTACTCGATACCTCTCCAGTAATAGAGAGCCTAGTGCTGGAGTCAATAGAATAGGCGACTAAGCTCTCACAAAGCCTTCTGATGACTGGTTTTAAAGCTCACCCTTACATTACGGATCATTCAAAATTGATCAAGGAAGTTGTTAAATGACTAAATGACGATACTGTTTTTCCACCATGCCAGTGTGGTAAGGGTAATAAAATTATTGTCTCTAGCCATAATAATTTCAGTCAACTACTATCTTCTCTTTGATCGAAGGCGGCCTAAATTGCTGTAGACCATTGTGGATGTTAAGCGCAGCACACTCAGGACTTGATCTATGCAATAATGCTATGTTCTGTCAGCTAAAGCATCTGCCCGGTTGAAATTTTCTCGACTGAAAAACTTGCCTTTAAGAAAAAAAAATGTTTACTCAAATTTATTAACCAAAGATTAAATTAATTAATTTCGTGGTCCGCTTGACCAATTAATATATTATAATTAATTAAGGTTTTTGGTTGAGAAAAAAAGCTAATGGCACGAGCGGGATTCGAACCCACGATCTTCGGCTTGATACTATCGTGACCTCGATCCACTCTCCAAATCTCAATTTGAATTTTCCCTCTTTTTGCCATTTTTCAAAAAGGAGGGAAAATTCAAATTGAGATTTGTAGAGTGATTGACTTTTTTTTTCTCAACTAAAAACCTTAATTAATTATAATATATTGGTCATATAATATAATTGGTCAATTTAATGATTGAAACTGAAGTATACTTCACTAAAGCTCTCTTTGGCCATTTCATTTGTCGTCGAGAATCCAATCCGATTACATGACATTTGAAAAATGGCAAAAAGGAGGGAAAATTCAAAAGGTGCGGTTGAGATGGGATGTTGGTGTCCAAGTGGATCGAGGTTATGATAGCTCAAGTGGTAGAGCAGCGACGTATCAAGCCGAAGATTGTGGGTTCGAATCCCGCTCGTGCCATTGACTTTTTTATCTCTACTAAAAACCTTAATTAATTAATCAAAGAGTGTAAAAAGGATAATTAACACTCTTCAAAGGTAAACAACAAGTTATTAATGTTGTTTTTATGTTTTAAGTCAATTATTAATCTTAATAAGTGTCCGGTTTTTTGTCTTTGATTGCATATGTGTTATATACATGTAAAAATATTACTCCTTTCTTTGTTTTCTTCTGGCATCTCTTGATCTTCTTCTGAGGACACACAAGGCTCTTCTACTAAATTAATTTTATTAAAAATATTAACTAAATAATAAGCAGTTAATAAGTTAATCTGTACCATTCTGTGCACCAATCTTTTCTTCGTTGTACTCATCATCTTCATCATCCTGTCAATGTTAAGAAAAATTAGAAAACTAAAGAAGAAAGACTGGTTATGTAACTAAAAAAAGTTATTTATGATATAAAACGATAAATCAATAATAATAAAATTGAAAATAGTTACCCAGAACGCATCATCGTCAACTTCAGGAATTATAGGCTTTTTAGGCAACAGATTTGCTCTGTAAATAAAACAATAATAATGATGAGATACAAAAAATTATTACAAAAATTGCAGATGATAAATAATTAATTATAGGACAAAATCAACTTTGGGTCCTGTTGATATAAGTGAGATTGTGTGTGTGGTGTTTAGTGATCGTTAACGATTATTTGAAGATCGTGAATGAGGTCTGGTGTGATGTAGGTTTTAGATTAATTAAATTATATGTGTGATTAATTAAAACTTAAACTTTAATGATTTAACATGTCAACTGTGAAATGTCAAATACCAAATTTTTTCTCTGACCTTGGAATTAGGGAGGAAGACTTTGAAATGCAAAGGAATTTGTTTTCCAGTGAATTCAACGTTAACACAATAACAAATATAAAAATAAGAAGTATTCATTATGGCTTTATAATAAATTTTAAAACACTGTAAAATTATTTTAAATTTGCACTTGTGATTTACTTTCACACCATTAAAATGACACTAGCGTACCTTTTTTTTTTTTTTTTTTTTTTTTTTTTTGTAGGGGGGATTACTTGGAGTCAGAGTTGGAACCTGGAAATCCATGGGCACAACCTAAACTATTTTTTTTCTTTTTTACGAGGGTTCGCAACAGCAGAGGTCATATAAACCCTCAGGGCGCCGGTGTTTTTGAAAACATTAAACCATTCTTATTGTACCAAATTTAAAATGGGTCAAGCACAAATTCAGTGAGATTCGAACTCACTCAAGGCCTTATGTTGAGTGCCATGTCAACTTTTTTCTTTCCGTTGTGGCCATTGTTCTCCTTATGGGTCAAAAAATTCAGAAGCGAAGGTGGGAATTGAACCTACAACTGCAGGATCTACTATCTTAGAATCTGACGCCTTAACCACACTGCTAGTGCAATCCACAGTACTGTCACTCCCTGGGTATGCTCACAGGTTTAGATGTACCTCAAACATGTTCCAGCTTTGCATCATCTTCACTTAGTAACCGAGTTTCAAAAGTTCCTTACTGAAAATGGCTCAGTGCTGCAACACATTTACACGACATCAAAACAGACCCAGTTGCCAGTTCAAACATGTTTTCCTGACTGCATACCACCAACATCCAACAATTAATACAGTACATTCACTTTCACACTGACAATCTACATAGTAAACCTTTTTACTGGTAAATTTAAAAGTTACAAAGCAAAGTAAATAATTCAGAGTCTAGCCAAACTGCAATCTTCAAGAGTATTGTATCCTCCATTCTGCAATGTCTGTATAAATTAATTTTTAGATTTCATTCAATGAAAGCTGACAAGAGGACTGATAAAAAGTAATGTCAAAAAGGTGGAAAAGCATATATTATAAATGAAGAAATAAGGATTATTAATTTTTTTTTAATGACCTTATCTTACAATATTAGCTAGAGAATAATTCAGAGAATGTGGTGAAAAATAGAGCCAAGGGCGAAGTGAGAATCAAATCCATGACCGCAGGGTTTACGAGCCTAGAGTTATCACTTTGAACACTCAGCTACTGCCATCACTTGCATGGTGACATGCATTAATGTTATTTCTATAAAGTATTTATTCTACAATTTTAAATCTCTACGCTTGAGAGTTCACACTTGCTAATTAGATAAATACCTGTAAGCAGTTTTCTTGTTAGTTGGTTTTATTTTAGACTGTCCTAAAATTTCTGGGACTGATCTATTCAGCATTTTGGGAGGGACACTGTAAAAAAATATAATTTATTTTTCTGACACTAAAATTATGACAGATTTCCTGGTAACAAAATGCAGTATTTAGATTATTGAACGTATTTTTATGGTAACAAACCTTTAGCTGGAGAGCTACAATAATTTTTATTTTTTAATTATCCAGTCTCCTTTTACCAAAATTATCACTAATAATTTTATTTAACATAGTTTTTAGCTAAAAATGTATGTAATTAGTTAAAGTTACCTGAAATCCCTTGTGCTCTGAGGTGGCGAAGACCGTTGGATTACATCTGCTCTTTTCGATAAATGAGATGTACTAAAAATATCACAATAATTATCTTAATGCAAATATTCAAGTTACTATACTGAGCTCACCTTTCAGATCTCTGGAGATTACTTCGGGTAAAGCCTCCATTCATCAAACTAGTTTAATAAAGTGAAAATACAATAAAGCATTATGAAATAGTTACATATATATAATTACTATTATGTATTATTTAACAAAAATGGATTTGCTCAAATCAAGTATACTACAAGAAAAGAACTTACTAATTATCTCTTCTCACTTCATCCCAAGGTTTCGACATTGAGTAGTCATTTCTAAAGAAATATATAAATAAAATTTCAGAAAAAGAAAAATGCGTGTTAGTTAAAAATGTGTACCCATTGGACCAACTGGACGTTTCTCTTGGTGGAAGCGATCCTGCTCTACGCATTCTATTCGGATTTTCATCGAGGAATTGAACTCGCGGTCTTCTGTTCCCTGAACTGTTACCACCACCGCTGTTCCCGCCTCCTCCGTTCATCATGAATTCATCATAATTTCTACCGCTTCTTTGAGAATTCATCTAAAAAGGTTAAAATACAGCTTTAATTTATCTGTCAAAGATTGAGACAAACAGTTTCATTTTTACATTGTATTGCATCCTGTTTCCTGTTCGTCGTGACCAATCAATTTTACTGTTCGAATTGCTGGGAAATCGAGAGAAGCAATTGTTATTGCGATAATTTCCATGCATGTTGTTGTTGCTTCTTCCTGACTGCTTGTTAAAAGTGCAGTTCTGATGTCTTCTCCACTAGAAAAATTAACAAAACAATAAAATCTATATCAGAAACAACTGTACACTTTTCTTCTTAACATAATGTATCATAAATGTTATTACTTTTGTAGATTATTTCATGATTTTTTTCTACATAAACAACTATTTTTGCACAATTAAGATCAACATGACCAACTCTTGGATATAAGCAAACATCAAAACCAAGGCCAATGTTAATTTATTCTTGATATTTTCGTTTTACTAGTGCGAAATTCTAACTATGACGAACAAATAGACCAGAGAACTTATGAACAAAGTTTAGAGTGATTCTGATCCTGATAATTGTAAATTAATTTAAAAAAGTAAAGTAATTCCTGTCTTACAGAGGGCTAAACATTTTTGTCATGTCCGGGGATGTAATTAGTCCACTCAATTAGAATAATTTATTTTAGAGTTTTATTTTATTTTTAGCCATCTTCCTATATGATCCCACAAGATCTGCCTAGGTGACATTATATACGAGCTATTCTTGAATTTTGAATCATGTGTCTGTGGTTGTTGTCTTGCTGGAAATGGAAAGTCCTCCCTACACCCAATTAGAAAGTGTTTTCCTTTATTCTGTATATGTTTTTTTTTTTTTTTTTTTTACAATGGATACCAGGAACTGGAGGAGTTCCCTCCTGAGCAATGCAGCTGTACAGCTTATTGTACTTTATCCCTGGCTCCATATTTTTGGGGGCTCGCAACATATTTTTTGTGTTGAAGAACTGTTGTGAATTGAAGAAACTCATTTTTTGAAGGAGGTTGGGACCAAATTCAGGATCGCTAACATCTGATCCCGTTCCTTCCATTGATGAGAGCCGTGTCAATTTTTTTCAATCGCCTTAGGCATCAGAAAAAGTCCAGAGGCGACGGTGGGAATCGAACCCACGACTGCGGATCTACTAGCTGAGAATCTGAAGCCTTATCCACTCGGCTACCTCGGCCCCCCAACCCATCTGTACTTATTTTATTCTTCAATTCCTCTGACTTTCACTACATTTTTAATAGTTAATACTGTTTGGACTTAATTGATTATAATCTGATATAGAATATCTGTAAATTGGGGGGACTTGTTGGTAGATAGATTTTATAGGAGCTGGCCTCCTTACGACCTGTGCACTGCGACCAGTATTGGTCTATTGTGCTTTTTTTTTTAAACTAGAGCTGCTCGTTAAGCTTGAGGCTTTTCACCAGACACCAAAGCTTTTTCAAGGGCTCCCATGAGTATCCCTTAGGCCCTGGCACCAACATAGAACAAGTTCCGCTGTTTCTTCTTCTTCTTGACAATATCTGTACAGGCTTGTTTCTGTCACCCCGAGTCTATACATATGATATAGTCTGCAGTGTCCAGTTAGCAGTCCAACTATTATTCTAGTCCTAGCACATCTGGATTTAGTAGTTCTGCGGTTAGTTTGTGCGATGGTCCTTCGATAATCTTTTTCTTATGCCTTTCGAGAGAAGGGTTATATTCCCATTGAGCGGATGGCTGCCATTGTCTAATGGATCTGAGTTTTTGGCAGTTTGGTAAGCCATGAAAGGGTGTCCTCATTGAACTTTCCTTGGCCAATTTATCGGCCTCTTCGTTGCCCCTCTGCCCAGTATGCACTCATTAGTAGTCACTTGAAAACGGCACAATTTTGAATAGTGTGCTGGACTAAATGCAGTCCTTTTTTTCTGCATTACACCATTCCAAAGCTCCTCTATCAGATGATGTAAAGAATTGTCAAGGTTCGCTTATTAAGTGATTATTCTTACTTCATGAAATGATTTTCCTTCATTTTGCAATATAACAATTACTTCCAAAGGGGACTGTGGCATTGGCAAGTTAAACGCTATTAATTTCAAGTGGTAGAGCTGCGGCGTATCTAGCCGAAGGTCGTGGGTTCGAATCCTACTCATGTCATTGACTTTTTTATCTCAACTAAAACCCTTAATTAATTAAAGGCTATTATCAAACTAAGCAAAACATCAATCTGTGACAAAGCGTTTAATACAAATAATGTAAAATTATAATGGAAATTTGCTTTCTATTATCAGTTAAAAATAGATCTTTAGCCCATAGAAATAAATACAACCATTTAGTGGATAAAACTAGATGTGTAGATTAATGGATGGAAGATAGAAGAATGTAAAATTTAATTAGGGCTGAACCAACTAACAGCCTTGGCAATGTTTGGACTGAGTCGGTCTTCAAAGAAATTTGAAATGTGAAAAACTTAATTGAGACAATTTGTAGACATAGTTAAAATTGTTTTGCCCGTAAAATGACCATAAATAGGTCCAAAGCTTTACTACAGTAACTATTGAATTTGTTTTTTCATCAAGACCATAGTGTGTTCCAGAGTATTCGCAAAACCAGTAGGTTTTCAGATTTTACTGCTGTGTGCCGGCACCTTTTAATGGTCTATGACCAAAAATTTGTCTTTATGTAATAATTAAAATAGAGTAAATAAGTCCAAATACATAGACTTATAAAAAAAGTAAAACTAAGAAGGTAAACTAGTCTTTATTGGGATTATTGGAATTAGGCTTCTCACAGCAAGCTGTCAGAATGATCTGGCTGGAATTGGAACCTGTCTGTTTAAGTCTGGTCATGGTACTACTCCTTAAACACAAAATGTACCACTAATTGAGGGTCAAAAAGTCTTTCAATAGTACAACATATTTGTTTTTATTCCGAGTCATGAAGAGAGAGGAGCAGATTGATTCTAAAATGTATCGGCATCCATAATAAAAAATTGTCTGAATAAGTTCACCACTTATTAGTCCATAATTGATCGCCAAAGAAAAAGACAATCAAAGAAAAAAGCAAGAGTAGCAAAAAGCAATTTACAAGACATTTTATTCAAATATTAATCCATTGTCCGAAGCCACGATAGCTCAAGTGGTAGAGCAGCGGCATATTTAGCCGAAGGTCTTGGGTTCGAATCCTGCTTGTGACACTGACTTTTTTTTTATCTCAATCAAAACCTTACATAAAAAGATTAATTAAGTGAATTTGATTCAAACATGGATTATTAACCTATTGGTAAAAGTAATTTATTTCCAAAATTGTGCAGAAATTCAAACGCGGTCCTTATTATTCAGGCATTACTACTAGCTTTCTATAAGGAGTCAAGAACATGAAAAACCTGATCAGATCGGACGCTAGTTCTTTATTCAATTTTGTTCTTACCCTAATAAACATGATATTGACCCCATTAATAATAAAAAATTGGTTGAAAAAATTCACTACTTATTTGTCCGTAATGGATATAGAAGAAAAAAAACCATCAACCAAACAAGCAAGAGTAAATTTACAAAACATTTATTCAAACATGGATTATCGACCTATACGTAGAAGTCATTTATTTACCTAGTCATGCCATAAGTTCTGTTACAAGAAAAAGGGTCATTAGGGAATAGAGAAACTTGATAATTTGAAAAAGAAATTTATTTAAAAAAATCCAATATTTTTTAAGATTGAAATAAAATAATATTACTTGAAATGACCACCTTTTGCCTTCACACAAGCTTTTAGTCTACGGGGCCAATCATCTATGGCAGTACGCAACATGTCTTGAGGAAATTTCTCAACTGCTTTTAGCAGAGCGGACTTGAGGCTCTCTAAATTGGCGTGTTTCCTGTGGCAAGCCGTAAGCTCAAGATGGGACCACACCTTGTAGTCCAGAGGATTCCAATCTGGGCTTCCCGAGGGCCAATCTGAAGCCTTAATGAATTCCGGAACATTCTCCAGCCACTGCTGAGTTGTTCGGGCCTTGTGGGCAGGAGCTGAGTCCTGTTGGAAGACCCAATGAGTTCCGGAAAAAAGAGTAGTACTTAAGGGCTTTACTACTTTCTCAAGGATGTCTTCTTGGTAATTTTTCGCCCTTGTTTTGACTCCTTGCTCACAAAAATGGAGTTTTGTGGTGCCATCATAGCAAACTCCCCACCACACCATTACGGAAGCAGGATGACGGCCTCTTTCTACCCTTCCGATTTTTTCCTGAGCTTCTAGAGAACTTCTAGCATAAACCTTGTCATTTTGACGGTTAAATTTTTCCTCGATGGTAAAATTTTTTTCATCGGTAAACAAGGTGTTTCGATGAACTCCATCAGCGTACCGGGTCAACAATGCCTTGGCTCTTTCGACTCTAATTTTTTTTAAAGATACTGTAAGCCTTTGTCCTGTCATTCTACGGTAAGCACTCATCGAAAGATCGTCTTTTATGATGCGCGACATTGATCGGGAAGAAATCCCCATTTCTCTGGACAATATTTTTTGTCTTCGTAGCGGATTTCTTTGAATTCGGTTTTCAACAGCTTTGATAGCATTTTTCATCCTCACAGAGCGAGGACGGCCGGACCTTGGTTTGTCTTTAATAGATAGAGTATCTTTGCAGTGATTTATTTCGATTTATTCCTAACAATTTCAGCGTCTTGAAAATTTCTGATTTTGATTTACCTGCCTTGTGCAGTGCGATGATGGCATGACGGTTTTGTTCAAGGGTGCGTTCCATCTTGACGTTATTAATTCTCAATAACAACTGAGTAAAAGAATTTAGCATTATATCAAAGGTAAACAATAGGCAAGAGAGCAAGGCTCGCCAGGCGTTTGTTTGGGATTATTTTCAAGGTGAATGATTGTAACAGAACAGGCAGGACTAGGTACAAAAATTGGGCAAAAATTCAAACGTGGTACAGTAGTAACAGTGGTATTAACAGGCATTACTACTAGCTCACTATAAGGAGTCAAGTACATGAAAAACCCGTTCATTAGTACGGACGCTAGTTCTTTATTCAATTTTGTTGTTACCCTAATAAACATGGTGTACTGGTGGATCTCTGAATTAAAATTAAAAAACAGGACAGTGCATTTGAAACATTAAAAACTAATAATTAATTAAACATAAAAATTGTATTTTTTTTAATACGCCAAGATAAATGTGAATGGAATAGTAAAAAAAAATGGAGATCAGCGCCGCCAGGACATCTTTTTTTATTCTTTTTTTTTTAACCAAGTCTAGTGTGCGGCCTTTTAAACGGAGCTTTAAATGGTTTTTAAAATACATAAAAAAACGTCTTTAGAAATGGATACTCACTCTGCCCTCATTTTGGGTATAGCGATCCCAATAATCGTCGCACATGTCTGTATCAAACTGATCGCAATACGGCATTATCTGTAGGACGGTGGTAAAACGTCGTTAATCTCATCAAATAAGCAAAATTCTTATGTATTTGAACAAAAAATAATAATAGTAATAATAATAAATATACGCTGAAGGTTTACCGGGAGAATTCCTTACAAGGCCTGCGTTCAATAGGATAACCAAATTCAAAATTATAACAATAAAAAAAAAAAAATATTGTGGAAGATATGTATTTGTTGTTTTTTCTTTTGCCGGGCTAATCCAATTTTGAAAACAAGTTCAGCATGCTTTACACGAAGGCGTCACAATCGATACCTTAAATACCTTAAAATTACGCCACAAGGTAAAATGGTTAATAAATGCATTAAATCTATTCTAATTTGCAAAATGACGGAGAATGCGCGTTGTTTATCCGTCAAAAAATTAGGAATGATAGAGAAAAAAAGACCATTTTATTTTTATTAAGAAATAAGCTTGAGCCTGTTTCGCGTTAATATTTCAAAAACGTAAAATTTACGTTATTTTGGTTACGTTTCATAAATTCACTATTCCATAATAATAGCACATAATTAAAACTATATGAAATAACTATATTTTCAATCAGAAATAGTTTCGGACTTATTTAACAAAATAGTTTCTATAATTATATTGTTGCCTGAGGCTTTTTGGCAAATAATTCATAAATTCCTTGTCCCATAATTGCGAAACTTCTTTCTATGGTTTTTGTTTCTTTAAAGTTAAAATAATGTAACGATGTTTGTTCTCCAACTCACAATTCTATTTATTTAGAAAGAAACGTAAAATCCTGATTTTTAGCGAAAAAAAGCCCAGAACACAAATATTGTAAAGTTAATTTTTTAAATGCAACATTCTCTGTAAAGTTGTTTTCTTCGGATTTTAGGCTTTCTTTATGGAATAATAATAATAATGAATAATATTTCATTATGTACCAATGTGTAATTCTATTTATTTCAAAACCTAGACGTTTACTTCTTTCATTTTTAGGCTTTCTTTAGGGTTAAAAAATAACCAAAATAATGTAAAGTTTCTTTCTCAAATGACACATCCTCTGTTAAAGTTTTTTTTTTAGATTTCTAGGCTTTCTTTAGTGTTAATCACGTAACATTTCATTATCCACCAATCTGTACATCTATTTATTTAAAATTAAACGAAAAAACTAAATTTTTTGTTAGGAAAAGCTATGGACGAAAAAAATGTAGTTATTTTCTCAAATGCCACTTCTTCTGTTAAGTTGTTTTCGTAGATTTTTAGGCTTTCTTGAGTGTTAATCACATAACATTTCATTATCCACCAATCTGTAAATCGATTTATTTAAAATTGAACTGAAAAATAATTTTTTTGTTAGGAAAAGCTATGGACCAAAAAATGTAAAGTTTCTTTCTCAAATGCCACTTCCTCTGTAAAGTTGTTTTCTTACATTTTTATGCTTTCTTTAGTGTTAATAAAATAACATTTCTTTATACACCAATCTATAAATCTATTTATTTAAAATTGCACGGAAAAACTAAATTTTTTGTTAGGAAAAGCTATGGACCAAAAAAATGTAAAGTTATTTTCTCAAATGCCACTTCTTCTGTTAAGTTGTTTTTTTAAAATAGATTTTTAGGCTTTCTTTAGTGTTAATCACGTAACATTTCATTATCCACCAATCCGTAAATCTATTTATTTAAAATTGAAAGGAAAAACTAAATTTTTTGTTAGGAAAAGCTTTGAACCAAAATAATGTAAAGTTATTTTCTCAAATGCCACATCCTCTGTAAAGTTTTTTTTATTTAGAATTTTAGGCTTTCTTTACTGTTAATCACGTAACATTTCATTATCCACCAATCTGTAAATCTTTTTATTTAACATTGAAAGGAAAAACTAAATTTTTTGTTAGGAAAAGCTATGGACCAAAATAATGTAAAGTTTCTTTCTCAAATGCCACTTCATCTGTAAAGTTGTTTTCTTAGATTTTTATGCTTTCTTTAGTGTTAATCAAATAACATTTTATTATGCACCAATCTATAAATCTATTTATTTAAAATTGCACGGAAAAACTAAATTTTTTGTTAGGAAAAGCTATGGACCAAAATAATGTAAAGTTACTTTCTCATATGCCACTTCCTCTGTAAAGTTGTTTTCTCCGGTTTTTAGGTTTTCTTTAGGTTTAATCATTTAACATTTGATTATCCCCCAATCTGTAAATCTAATTATTTAAAATTAATCTGAAAAATTAGATTATTAGTGAGATAAACCGTTGAATCAAAACATGACGTAAATGTACTTTCTCAAATGCAACTCAAATCCTCCGTCACGCTAGTTCAAGTGGTTAGACCAGCGGCGTATTGAGCCGAAGGTCGTGGGTTCGAATCCCGCTCGTGACACTAACTTTTTCATTTCAACCAATACCTTACATAAAAAGAGTTGAGGAGTTGAAAGAAGTTATTTGGTCAATCGGACTACGAAATATAATGGATCCTCCGTAAAGTTTTTTTTACTTCGGTTTTAGGCTTTCTTTAGGGTTAATCACATAATATTTCATTGTTCACAAATGAGGAATTCTATTTATTTAAAACGAAAAGTAATTCTAAGTTTTTAGTAAGAAACATTTTTGAACCAAAATAATATAAAACTGCTTTCTCAAATGTAAAATCTGCAACGTTGTTTTCTTCGGTTTTTAGGCTTGTCTCCAACTACGAATTATACGTAGATACCGTCCTTTTACAATTTCAAGGTAAAAGCACGTACAAAGGAACAAGTGAAATGTTAAAACATCCATTGAAAATTTTAAATAGAAAGGTCTGGCTTAAGAAGTTGACCACTGTCCAGCCTTTAAACTGACCTCCTACAACAAAAGTCAGTTTAAGGAGTTGAATATGTAAATTGAGATAACGAAGACCATTCTTCTGTAATAAATATTCTAAAAAAGAAAAAAAACATATATAGAGGTCGCCGACCCGCGTCTGTTTCAGAATAAGGGGCCATAACAAATATTTATTAATTTATTCATTGAGCCTCTCTTCAGGACTGACCTACCTCCATATAAGTAATCTTGATGAAGAACCTACTGGGAGAAAGCTTTGACTTTTTAATTCCAAGGCAATTGGGCTTGAGAAAGGCTACATGTCAATAAGATTTTCCCGGCTCATGAAGAAAAAACTATATAGTGAGAAAGTATGTTGGAAAGAGTTAAAAGACGTCTGGTTTTTATCTATGAAAATGCACGCATTAAATGTATTATTAAATTTTTTTACCGCCTTAGAAGTAAAAGTGGTTTTTCCGCCCTTTACAAAGAATAATATAAACTTAACATAAAGACGATAAACTTAAGACTTTCACTACATAATTTTGACATTTTACATCTCATCAGAGCGTAACTTTCTCATATTTAATTGGCTTTTTTATCCTCTTTCTATGTACCCCTGATTTTAGATTTTGTTTTCATTTTTTTAAATTAACATTTAACTTAAGGTATGCAATAGAAAAATGAAAGCAATATTATTTTTGAAAATGTAGCAATCATTATTATTATATGTTATAAAACTTTACAACCTTGGATAAACGAGATGTAATCTTTAGTTTTGTTAGGAAGTTTGCTTGAGAAAGGCTACATGTCAATAAGATTTTCCCGGCTCATGAAGAAAAAACTATATAGTGAGAAAGTATGTTGGAAAGAGTTAAAAGACGTCTGGTTTTTATCTATGAAAATGCACGCATTAAATGTATTATTAAATTTTTTTACCGCCTTAGAAGTAAAAGTGGTTTTTCCGCCCTTTACAAAGAATAATATAAACTTAACATAAAGACGATAAACTTAAGACTTTCACTACATAATTTTGACATTTTACATCTCATCAGAGCGTAACTTTCTCATATTTAATTGGCTTTTTTATCCTCTTTCTATGTACCCCTGATTTTAGATTTTGTTTTCATTTTTTTAAATTAATATTTAACTTAAGGTATGCAATAGAAAAATGAAAGCAATATTATTTTTGAAAATGTAGCAATCATTATTATTATATGTTATAAAACTTTACAACCTTGGATAAACGAGATGTAATCTTTAGTTTTGTTAGGAAGTTTCCGGAGAGAAAAGCATAAAAATCTAAGAAAGCAACTTTATACAGGATGTTGTATTTGAGAAAGTATTTTTATGATATTTTGTTTCAGGGGTTTTTCTCCCGAAAAATCTAGCATTTCCATTTCATTTTAAATAAATATAATTACATATTGTTGAATAATGAAATATTATGTGATTAACCCAATATAAAACCTAAAAACCGAACTAAACAACTTTACAGAGGATTCAATTAATTAAGGTTTTAAGTTGAGATAAAAAATCAGTGTCACGAGCGGGATTCGAACCCACTTCGCGCTACTCTACCACTTGAGTTATCTTGACTTCGAGTGGAGTGCCCGAGGGGATCGAAGTCAAGATAGCTCAAGTGGTAGAGTAGCGGCGTATCAAGCCGAAGGTCGTGGGTNTGTTATAAAACTTTACAACCTTGGATAAACGAGATGTAATCTTTAGTTTTGTTAGGAAGTTTCCGGAGAGAAAAGCATAAAAATCTAAGAAAGCAACTTTATACAGGATGTTGTATTTGAGAAAGTATTTTTATGATATTTTGGTTCAGCGGTTTTTCTCACGAAAAATCTAGCATTTCCATTTCATTTTAAATAAATATAATTACACATTGTTGAATAATGAAATATTATGTAATTAACCCAATATAAAACCTAAAAACCGAACTAAACAACTTTACAGAGGATTCAAATAATTAAGGTTTTAAGTCGAGATAAAAAAGTCAGTGTCACGAGCGGGATTCGAACCCACGACCTTCGGCTCGATACCCCGCTACTCTACCACTTGAGCTATGTTGACTTCGATCCCCTCGGGCACTCCACTCGAACTGAAGATAGATCAGGTGGTAGAGTAGCGGCGTATCAAGCCGAAGGTCGTGGGTTCGAATCCCGCTCGTGACTGACTTTTTTATCTCAACTTAAAACCTTAATTAATTTAATGTTATTAATTAGTCAAGCGGACCACGAACAATAGTGAATTTACAGAGGATGTTGCATTTGAGAAAGTAGTTTTATATTATTTTGGTCCATAGCTTTTCCTAACAAAAAATTTAGTTTTTCAGTTCAATTTTAAATAAATAGATTTACAGATTGGTGAATAATGAAATGTTATTTGAATAACACTAAAGCATAAAAATGTAAGAAAACAACTTTACAGAGGAAGTGGCATTTGAGAAAGAAACTTTACATTATTTTGGTCCATAGCTTTTCCTAACAAAAAATTTAGTTTTTCCTTTCAATTTTAAATAAATAGATTTACAGATTGGTGAATAATGAAATGTTATTTGTTTAACACTAAAGAAAGCATAAAAATGTAAGAAACCAATTTTACAGAGGAAATGGCATTTGAGAAAGTAACTTTACATTATTTTGGTCCATAGCTTTTCCTAACAAAAAATTTAGTTTTTCCGTGCAATTTTAAATAAATAGATTTTCAGATTGGTGAATAATGAAATGTTATTTGATTAACACTAAAGAAAGCATAAAAATGTAAGAAAACCACTTTACAGAGGATGTGGCATTTGAGAAAATAACTTTATATTATTTTGGTCCATAGCTTTTCCTAACAAAAAATTTAGTTTTTCCGTTTAATTTTAAATAAATAGATTTACAGATTGGTGGATAATGAAATGTGAAAGGTTGAATGTAAAATAGTGTTTCGGTTTACTGGTTGCTGTATAATTTAATAATACATTGAGATGAACCAAAGGAAGCCTAAAAACCGAAGAAAACTTTCCAGAAATCGTAAAGAAATTTTATATAAAACATTAGGGATAAGGCCAATAAAGCCAATTTCCTTCGTCAAACTTTGAGGAAATTTAGCACGGCTTTGGAACTATTATTAAAACTTTATAAGATTAGCCTATATCTACTTGACATGTAATGAACTTTATGGTTTCAAGCATAATTAAAGTTAATAACCGAATTTTCCGAGCTCTCTGTATAGAGATCTTCCATTCTAATTTCGCCCATTGTAAATTTGATTATTAGTTTCATTAAAAAGTTCATACAACGCAGATAATTTATTTGATTGACGTGTAATCAATTTTATAAACGTTGTTAATTTTCAATTCAATAAAAACGAAAATTGCTTTAAACAATTATCAAAGATTGAAAATTTTAGTTTTTAGCCTCAGGGAGAGTAGGTTATAGTTACTGCAAATTAAACAATCGTTTTTAAGAGTTGAAGATGACCTCTCTTTTCAAGCACATCCGGGTCTGACTTATTTTGGTCCAGTTTAATTTAAAATATGATTAGCATATTAAAATACAGAGAGGTGAAAGTGATGCTTCTGATCGTATTCAGTTTTCCTTTTTGGGTTGTCGTCGCGTTCAGCCCTTTATGGTGGAAAAGAATATGGGTCAAAGTTGACCGTAAAAATAGAAGATAATCAGTAGGACTAGTCCTTTTTTTTCGACTAGGACTATTTAAAAAGGAGGACCGAGAGGAGCTCGTATTCATGCTCGGGCTTAAGCGTAGTCAACATGTGGCAGATATTTCTCTTTCTTACAGTCATCCTTTTCATCCTGTACCTTATATTGGATACGAAGAAACCACACAATTATCCTCCAGGTGTGTTGTTTTTGAATTACTATTTATATTCGCAGTTATTCAAATGTCCTTATTTTATATTTAACTAAAGATGGTACAAGTATAAATTGTTTAATATGAGACCTTACAGGGCACAACTCAGGAATGTATAGTCTAAGTAGAGTAGGGCCTTGAACAGATCCTTGAGCTACCTCTCGGCTTTTATTTCTCGTTTTGGCAACCTGACGTTCATCACTTGTACAAAGGATCCTTCACAATTAGAAAACATTTAAGCTACATTTATAATTGCCCTTCAGCGTTGTTACTTGTTGAATTGAAATTATTCGATTTAAACTTTGTTAAGTCTGTTTCTGGTCAATTTCGTCTGTACATTCTGGCTGTTTATGTCTGTCAGGTGCGTTTCGTCTTTTCACATCCCTAAACTTCGCTTTATATAATTGAACTGTCCATGGCATGCGAATTGCTCAGTGCTCAAGGTTTTCTTATTTTCAGGACCAAATTGGCTCCCCGTAATCGGCAGTTACCACGTCTTCTACAAACTGTACAAAGAGCTCGAGTTCACCCACCTGGTATGGGCGAGACTGGCCAAAATGTACGGCCCGATCACGGGCATCAGGCTTGGCCGAGATCGACTTGTCATAGCGACGGACAACAAAACGGTGAGGGAGATTTTAACGAGGGACGAATTCGACGCACGACCCGACGGATTCTTCTTCAGAATGAGATCTTTTGGACAAAGATTTGGTGAGTGTTTCCTACATTTTTTAAATAAATATCTACCCTAGTCGTTTAAACAACCTGTCTTCGAAATTTGAAAACATTTTAACAACAGAAATGGATGATTAAGATTTCCATTTTGAAGTCAGTAGGAACACAAAACAAGGTATCTACCAAATATTGAATGCAATAAAACAGCCCTGTTTCTCCAAATGAATATATATTCAACAATGAAATAAAATTTAAATTNTATATATATATATATATATATACCCTTTCTCTCACCCGCTCTCTATCTCTTTCTCACTCTCCCTCTTTTCACTCTGTTCCTCAAGTTAGGAAGAGCAATTTAACTCTCTCTTTCTTTCCTTCAAATCTCTCTCTCTCTCTCCCTCTTCACTACATTCCTCAAGTTAGGAAAAGCAGTTTAATTTTCTTCCCCTTCAAATTCCTCTCACTCACCCTCTCTCGCTCACTCTCTCCCTCTTCGTCTACTATATGACTAATCTAATTTAGGTCGATGGAGTATTCAATATTCCATAATCGGCCCTCTCGAATAAACGGTAAATGCAATTTGTCTCATTTATGTATATTTATTATGTTTCAATACTAGTAACATAATGATGTATTGAACAATGTGAGATGTTGACGTTAAAACAGCTGCCGACTTCAGGTGATACTTCAAAAATTCGAGATCAAAAATGGTATAGACTGTGACGAATTCCGAGCCGCAGTTTTTGCTGAAGCAGCGCAATCCGATGGCGAACCCTTTACACTCTAAAGGCCCTCCGTAACTTGTACAAAGACGTTTGTTAGTTTTCGACATGTTCTTCGAGCAGAGGTGCGGATCTTCTGCTCGGAAAGAGCAGAATGCGCGGCCGGGGCAGATGTAATCGTGGCATGCATTTGAGTTGAGCAGGTCGAGAAAAGTTTCACGAAACGTCTTGAACTCGTCGTCGTAAGTCCATTCCCTACAGTTATAATAGCGCGGGTTCTTCAGGATCTTCGCAATTATCCCATTGTTCGGTATCCAAGCTGCACCTTTCGAAAATTTAACCGCGGTGCGCATTACGATGAGATCGTTCTTCCAAAACATCCCCTGAGTTAAACCGGCCTTGAAGTGTTTCTGCCAACTTTCGACGCCGCCGGTCGAAGAGTTGACACCTTCCATCTCCACCAGTACTTCCCAGGGCTTGTAGATTTCAAAGCAGCTTGCACAGGAAATGACGACGTTTGTGGATATTAAAACACCCGTGCAGATGTGCTCGTCGGTCTCCTTGTTTCGGATGTTGACGATGTCGGGAAGGACGGAACTCGGACGTCCTCCTTCAGACCCGCCAAGTAAAGAAATAAAATATAAAAATACAAAAATAATCATCGCTGTTTACGATTATTTTAATACTACTAATAATAGAACATGTGTTCCTAGCGTAAGTTGTATTGCAACTGACACATACCAAGAAAAACAAAAGCGAATGAACCATCTACTTAATCAATAAACTATATCTTTGGCAACTTTTTTGAACAAGTGGTAAAATTACATATATAAACATACACAAACAAACACGCGGTGGAAAAAACACCCGCAAAATATAAACTTATAACACATTTACAGATCTTGAAACGTCTTTTTACTTGAGTTTTGACCTTAAAATGTCATCACCAGTCCTCTGCGAGTTTTCCTTCTGCTTTATTATGTATACTAGTATACTACGTAGATATACTAAAATTCAAGCCTCTCGTTTGTACCTCATGTTATCAACGACAGAATAGACAAGGCAAAGCATACAATGCATACACGTAAATCACCGCAAACAGAAATTTGATCACATTCACTCCTCCATAGTAGTCGACATTCCTCGGGGCGGAATTAAACAACCGCTTTTTTCACGCTAATAAATAACATTTATTCTAATAATAATAATCACACACACACGATATATACATAGAAATTTGGCCACTTTCACACCCCCAAGTACTCGATATTCGTCAGTGCGGTGTTAAGCAACCTCTTCTTTTCACGCTAATAAATTATATTCATTCCAATAAATTAACATGAACACAACACACGATATAAACATAGAAATTTGGTCATTTTCACACCCCCAGAGTACTCGATATTCCTTAGGGTGGGGTTAAACAACCTCTTCTTTTCACGCTAATAAATTACATTTATTCCAATAGATTACCATGAACACAACACGTGATATAAACATAGAAATNTTGTTACATTTATTTAATTTTTTTACTTTACCAGAAAAAAGGAGATTGTTACATTTATTTAATTTTTTTTACTTTGCCAGAAAAAAATACTCTTAAACCTTAATTAAATTAATTTGTGAAGAATTTTTTTTTTAATTTTTACATTGTGTTTGAATGTTTTAACAATATTGGTTTTGTTTATTTTCCTTCCAACCTACTAAAACTAATTTATAACGAATGGTGCATCGAAAAGTGACTCGCCTAATTTTTGGTACGAGACTATCAAAATAAAATGTGCCGAGTCATAATTAGATGCACCAATGTTGATTTTCCTACGGTGCACCGAAAATTGACTTACTTCTTTTTTTAATGTTAAAATCAAAAGAAATAGGCCTTGAGTCAGATTTAAACGCACCCATGTTGATTTTCCAATGGTGCATCAAAAAATGACTCACCCTGTGTATATATATAGGTTCCCATTATTAAGAGTAGAATAGAATAATGGTCAACCACCTTTTCAATAGTAGAAGGCTTGACATATTATTTTGGCAATAGCAGAACTGTGCTTGTCTTGGATAAAATTTTGTATTATATATATTTTTATATTGAATCCAATAAATTAACACAAACACAGCACACGATATAAACTCCCAAGACAAGAACAGTTCTGATATTTCCAAAATATTATGTCAAGCCTTCTACTATTGAAAAGGTGGTTGACCATTATTCTACTCTATTCTTTATAATGGGCACCTATGTGGTAGCTTACTGGCCAGAGGGTGCCCAGGAGTTATTCTTGTATAACCTATGTGTAGTCGTGTCAGTATGGCCTTTTCCTCTTTTGACCGTTCTCTGTGGTCCAGGGACTGATGTCCTTCTTCACCTACTACTGTAATGTATGTTTTTACAATCCCAGGGGTTTTCCATTGTAATTTTACTAAGACTACTTTTTATTAACCAAAAAGCATCGTGGGGTCTTGCGGAGGCTTTATTTGGCTGCCCTGTATGCTTCTTTGTTCCTGGCTATTGAACGTTGAAGAATTATACTTTTTGTAATGAAAACAACTGAAAACATATTTCAAAATTCAAAAAAGTCCTTGTACCTCGTTATGATTTATTATTTAAGTTGGAAAATTTAGTATGAACACCTTTCAAATGTTTCATTTATGGTTCCGATTTTTCAAGTTTCCAATGCAAAAATACTTATTTGATTGTTTTTAAAATGTCGAAATCAAAACAGTACAGTTTGTAAATTTGTTGTTTTCCCCAGAATACAATTATACAAACTATCTATTAATTCTTGAGATTGGTGTAAATAAAATTACATACCTGTTTATTTGGTTTTTACAGCGGAAGTACTAACACTTAAGAATTAGACCTGTTTACAATGGGATTGAATTTTCCAACACAATTATTATTATTTTGCTAAACTTTGTACATAACATACTGTCTTAGGATTAAGGAGAAAAACAAAAGAGGCCTTTGTTTTATGATTAATTTGACACACATACAAACATACCAAAATCCTGCTCTTGTACTGAGATGTTAAAATTAATGAAAATCTATTAATAAAAATCAATTTTCGACATCGGTTCCTCGTTGAAAAGTCATCAATTTCACAATTTGGAGGACTGAACAGGCTGAATTAAAAAAATATAATGAAATGTTGTGAAAGAATATTTGATTCTTAACATACTACTTAAACTAATAAAAAGTCTACTTGACAACAGATCAAAACTTTCACTGTAAAACAAACACATCTGCACATCATTATTACAACCTAGGACTTACTGAATCGAACTGTGGGGCTCAAACAAATCCAACGAATCCATTCTCTCCTATTTCTCGAGTCATTGCCCAATTTACCTAATTTGTATCCAACCTTTCTATCCCTGAAATACCATTTGTTCTCGAAACTGCAAATAGCTGAAAGACACCTCATTAAAATGCTGGTTCCTCATACCAGCCCCGTACACAACACCTTTCATCCTTTTCAAACAACCCTCTAAAATGCTTAAAGCACCAATTTCCAGTCTTATAAAGTTATAAAACAAAATTCATAAAGACAGCAAAGTTGTAACAATAATTAAAAAAAAAAGTTAAAGAAAACAAATTAATATGATAAAAAATATTGAAATAAAAGTGAGATATCCGAAGAGACTCTTGGCTTTGATTTTAATTGAAGGCCAGGGATGGGGTGTGTGATTGACTATTCCAAGGATGTCTTATATCACCCACACTATTTATAAAATGTACACTTTTGTCACTATGAAGTAACAAAACAAGAAATATGTTTCAATGGACAGTAAAACTTTTTATCAACTATTTACTGATTAATATGAAGCGTTTCAAGAAAAACAATTTAATTACAAAATTTAGATAGATAACATAAGGACTAAGAAGACCTGCATAGAGATATGAATGGTAAAGAGTGCAATAAAATTAAATCCACTTCTGGGAAAAAATAATAAATAAAACAATTGGAAAGAAAATAGAGATGAAAAAAGACCTTCTGCTGTAGATAAGAATACACCAGGGGTACTAAGGTTGGTAATATAAAGGAAGGAAAAGGAAACATAACAGTGGTTTTTGAGGGCCATAATCCATAGACAAAACCCAGAATAAAGTGATAGAATGTCAAGAGGTCATTTGGTTTAAAGGAGGCAATGACGCTTATACCAAGCCAGTGCCGACCATCAAAGGGCTCGACGGTGCAAAATTTGCCCCAGACCTTTGGTTTAGGAGGTGCTGGAATGTCAGAAGAGATGTAAACCAGCCTCATACTGTTTAAAGTTAAATACAAAATTTTTGGTATTTTTTTTTTAAAGATAGGCTCATACAAGAAAAGTGGATAGATAGTTATTTTTAAAATTTGAAACCCTCAACTGGTATGAAAGGACACTGGAACAAGACAAAGGATCGTGTGAAAGACATGAAAACAATTCCGATCAAAAAACTCTTCAGTATTAATGTATACCTTAAATTTAAAAAAATGTTTATAATTTTTTTAACTAAACATCATGCTTATTATATTTCTTGTTGAAGTCTGTCGGGAGTACCTGAATCTGTAGTTAGGTTTTTCCGATTATCTGGTGTACCCCTCACATCTTTCATCAGTCTAGGATGATTCAAATGAATAAAAAGCCTATTGTTAAAAATTTGTTCTCTTATGTTTCAGGAATAGTTTTTGTGGATGGACCTTTTTTCAATGAACAGAAAAAGTTCTGTATGAAACACTTAAAATCGTTTGGATTAAACCGGAGCATTATGGAAGACAGAATAACAGTTGAAACAACTGAATTAATCGCCGCTATAAAAAGCAGTAGCAATGTATGTTTCATTTATTGCACACTTTAATATATAGAAATATAAATACTATAATTACATTTATTTTTCAGCGGCCGATCACAGTTCCAAATATACTTGGAGTAAGCGTTGTTAACAGTTTGTGGTCGATGGTCGCTGGAGAGAGGTTCAAAGTAGGAGATTCGAGGCCACTCGAGCTTTTAAATTTTATAAGTTTGGGATTTAGATTGCAAGACATGTCCGGAGGCTTGCTGAATCAAATGCCCTTCCTGAGGTTCATCGCACCCGAACTTAGTTCTTTCAACAAAGTCCGTTTGGTCTTAAATACCCTTACTAAGTTTTTACAGGTACTTTACTTTTTCATGATTATACGATGAAAAATAATTTTTTTCTTCTTTTAATTCAGAATTTGATAAATGAACACAGAAAAACAGTATCTTCATATGAAAATCGTGACTTGATTGATGCTTACCTAAATGAAATTGACAAGAATAGAGATGGTTTCACCGAACAACAATTGGTCGTTCTTCTTTTAGATTTGTTCTTGGCTGGTGCGGAGACGACACAAAGCACTCTCGGCTATGCAATTTTAATGCTTTTACACTTCCCACAGATACAAAAAATTCTACAAGATGAAATAGATACGGTTTGTGGGTCGAATGTTCCCGAGGTCCAGCACAGATCTAAGTATGTACCTGAAACACGCTTATTGTTAATGATTGCATAAATGTTGTGAATTTTAGACTGACTTACTTTGAAGCGTTCTTTATGGAACTGCAGAGATATACGAATGTAACACCTACAACAGTTTCTCACAGGGCGACAAAGGATACTGATGTATTAGGATATTCAATCCCTCAGGTATTATTAAAATAAATAAATTAATAAGTAGATCTTTATAATATTTTATTTCACAGGATACAGTAATTTTGGCTAATCTATATAGCTTGCATATGGACAAAGAGCATTGGGGAGATCCTGAAATATTCAGGCCAGAAAGATTTCTCGACGAAAAGAAGTGTATCATTAACGACGAGTGGTTTCTCCCATTTGGAATAGGTAAATTTTAAAAATTGTAAATCAATTTAAGGTTATATAATAGATGTTTGACTTTAAGGAAAACGAAGGTGCCTTGGGGAGATTTATGCAAAAATGAGCCTGTTCCTCTTTCTGTCGTCAATTCTGTACCATTTCACCGTGACTCCTGTCCCGGGCGAGCCAGTGCCGACCATCAAAGGGCTCGATGGTGCAACAATCTGTCCCAGACCTTTTCAATGCATGTTTGTGTCTAGACGTTGAAACTATTTTTTTATTTTTATAAATATTGTGATACAATTGTGTTTATATTGATTTATATATTTGTTGTAATGTTAATACAATAAAGTGTTTTAATTTTTTTTTGTTTTGTTGTATATATTGTTATATAAATATAAATCCTATTCATTTCTAGGCAAGGCAAGGACTTCTTTAATTATAATTTGATAAATGAAATAAATTCAAACTATAATTTAATGATTAAAAATAAATAATTGAATATAAAAGGGATTTAATTTTCTTATACTAAATTTATTATTTTTATTTGTGTTCATCTTTTGATGATTTTCATTTCATAAGGAAGGGGAGATAGCGTAAGACCTGGGATGTAATCGAGTGTCGGTGGATTGGATTTGTCAACACACTCGATTTTGTATTGCTTGAGAAAATTTGTGAAAAACATAAAGATAAAACTCTTTGCCAAAGGCTCACCAGGGCATCTTCTTTTGCCTGAAAGAAAATTGCAATTTGTTAATAATTAACATAACACACAATACAGGCAATTTACTGGCCACCTTTTCCAAAAGCGTACGTGAACTTGTCATGGATCACTTGATTATCATCATTCAAAAATCTCTCCGGGGTGAAATTATTCGGGTCTTTCCAATTTTTTGGGTCTTTCAACATCGGAACCAAATTAAGTAATATAGTAGTGTCCTATAAAAGTTGATTTTGTTTTGTTTAAAATTGTACCTTTTTCTTCAAATCTTTACCTTTGGAATGCTGTATCCACCAAGAGTTGTTGTGGACAATACACGTCTTGGGCCAATAATAGGTATGATGTGAGAGAACCTTTGAGATTCCAAAAGAACCGCTTCAACATATGGTAATCTACCATAAAACAAAAACACATTAATATTTTTGTATTATTATTTCACTTGTTTTCTTCTTACTAGTGGAGTATCCAGCTCTGGGTGATTAAATAATCTGTCTGCTATACTTCTTTTTTATTAATTTCACGTTTCAAAAATTCTTCCTTCATCCTCAGATTTGTGTAAAGCTAGCAAATGCACTTTAACTTTTGTTTGCATTTCCTCTTATTCTTCTTTTGCTTCCCCATTAGTAACTTTATTATTTTTACGCTTGCTGTCTTAAAAATACGTACACATGTTGCATACTTATGGCATATCCTTGGGCATCAAGGCCCGACAATGGAAGAGACTCTCGTTCTTTTCTGTACCAGGGTTGGAGATTTTTTAGATCCTTGATCAACTTGTGCTAAACTTTCTAATATAGAAAATCTCTTTGGTTTCTTTTGTAAATGACAGTGAGCTTTTTTATTTTTAATTACATTTTGGAGTTTTTTATTTATTTTTTAAATAAAATGTTTTGTATAAGCCAAAGTGTATTGGAAAGGTCCATTATAATTTGTTTCCACTTTCCATTTTTTCTTTGATCAATTTGAGGCTTTTCCTATTCGGTCCAAGCTTTCTGTTGAGCCATACCCCTGGTTCAGTTAGTTTTTTTATGAAATCTGAGGCAGTAGTTACAAGTAGAAAGATGCTTGTTTTAACACCGAGAACACTGCTGGATACACCACATGTAAGAAGAAAACCAATTAAATACAAGCACCAGCAACCTAATATTATCATTTTGGACCTTGGTAGCTGACACATTTGGCTCACATTTGCCACACTAGTGGTTCTATAAAAGTGTCTCAAGGAAAATGATATTTAGCCATGCGAAACATACCCACACTTAAAAAACCACACCTTATGAAAATTCTGTAAAAGCTACATTTAATAATTTAAACTACATTTAATTTTTTAATAATAATCTTTATGTAAGGTATTGATACCCAGAAACAATCTTCACAACTTCCTATAAAGTCTCAATGGACTATAAAGGAGAGGAAGAACACAGGAGAGCATCAGACACAATGATATGGTACAAACAAGATGGCTCTAAAACAAAACAAGGAACTGGATCAGGCGTTTTCTGTACAAGCCCAAAACATGAGCAATCAAACTATTAGGGAAGTATACTTCAGTCTTTCAAGCGGAAATACATGCCATCAATGCTTGTGCCCGGGAAAATCTTAAGAGAGGTTACTGACAAAAAATCCTCATAAGATCAGATAGCCAAGCAGCCATTAAAGCATTAGCATGTAAAAGAATCACATCAAAATTAGTCAGTGAATGCATGCAAAATCTCCAAAACCTGGGGAAACACAACAACCTGATGATATCTTGGGTGCCAGGGCACAGGGTAATTTTGGGTAACGAGAAAGCAGACGGACTGGCCAGAGGAGGATCTGCAAGACCATACATAGGCCCCAAATCTATTCTTGGGATAACAAAAACAAATATAGAATCCTCCATCGTAGAATGGATCCAAGAAAAACAAAAGGAGAAGTAGATAAACTCTAGCAGTGCTAGACATAGTAAACTTATGATGAAACAACACTCACCGAGACTGGAAAAAACACTGCTGTAATTGGAGAGGGCCAAACTCAGAGGAGTCGTAGGACTACTAACCGGTCACTGGCATCTGAGAAAACATCTACACAACACGGGTATATACAGCGATGTATATGATCCCATCTGCAGATTATGTAATGAGGAGGAAGAAACAGCTACTCATATCATCTTCGAATACAAAGCAACAGCTCAATGGAGGTTTAACCTAATGTACGGAAAAAACTTAGGGAATCAAATTGCAACAGCGACAGTCAATGACCTGATACTTCTAAGGAGAAGGATTGAGTCTATTGACTGAACTAAGGAATTAGGAAGGTACAATAAGCCAGAAGGCTGCAGTGCCTGGGGAGTACAAACCCCGTTTCCTAGTATCCTTTTCTATCATACCATACCATTAGTTGAGATAAAAAAGGCGTCACGAGCGGGAATCGAACCCACGACCTTTGGCTAACTACGCCGCTGCTCTACAACTTGAACTATCATGACTTTGATCCACTCAGACACCAACTTCCCATCTCAACCTACAACCTCTTGAATTTTCTCTTCCCCCTCTTTTTTTGCCATTTGCACTTTATTTTTGGAAAATACAAAATTGAAGTACATAAATTAAGAAAGGTGGATTTTAGCATGATGTCAAACCAGCGCAAAAAAAATTTACAATTCATATATTAAATGAAGCTGATAATTGGGATGTTGGCTAAGTGGTTAAGGCATCCGACACATTTTCCACACTAGCAGTTCTGGGTTCGAATCCCAGCAGAGCCCATGGCTTTTTAATTGATAATAGTAGAAAAATGTATTGTAAACTGGTTTGACCCTTGGTTGGCAAAACCCAATGGATAGTTGGAAGTTAATCCCTCCTGTATGACAAGAATTACTTTACTTTATTACAAAGATATTGTAAATTTATTAATGATAATCGGTAATTTAGTTATTACTTTGATTTATCGCTGAATAAAACAGGATTCCTTTTTTCTAATACGAGGTCAATCTCATCGTGAACTTTCTGCTGTATGTGAGGAAATACAATCATCTGCAATAGTGCAAAATCCAGTGTCGAGCTCGTCGTTTGAGAACCGGCAATGAAAAAATCCAAACATACCATTATTAGTTGGTCGTCTGAAAAAAGAAACTTACCAATTTTAGGATATCTGGTTAAAACAAGGTGAAAATCGAGTAGCTCACCTGTGAATGATGTGTCGGTGTTCTCATTATTGTACATTTCATGAAGAAAAGCGTCAATAAAGTCACGAGTGACTTCTTTATCGTAAGTCCTTTTATGCTTATCGATTATATCCTAATAATACACAAACAATGTTTTTATGGGAATATTCTGTTCACTGCATAGTAGAACAAAAGAACTTTTAAGAAAATTATTTTTTAAACTTTAAAAGCCTCAAGTTATTCAAGCTTGATGGATAAATAGAGATTAGGAGGAGGGAATATATTTTTTCTTTCTCAAATTTACTTGCAATAGTACTTTATGCCAATTATTACTTTCTACAATAAATATAAACCACTCAGGGAAAAACAGTACTTTTTATACAAGAAATATTATAATATTTATTCAATAAATAATCTAATTAGGAGTAGCGTTCTAGCCACTTGAAGAAATTGGTTTCTACTATTTGTACAAGTTAGAATAGGTACAAGGCGCTTAAAATATAAAATCTACTTACTAAAATCATTGTTTTGAACTGTTTATTGAGCTTTTTTATCAAGTTGTATCCAGACCATTCAGGTGCGATGTATCGGATCCATGGGAACTGACAAAGCACCCCGCCAGCCATGTCGAAAGCTTTTGCCCTTTGACCCATGAACGAAATGAGAGATTCCAAAGTGTCTTCGTTTAAAAATCTTGAACCGGTCACCATCGCCCAAAGTACGTTCAGCACACATTTCGATATACAATTTTTCAAGTTTACATTCAAACCATTTTTTAAAAAGCTAAAAAGTATCTTGAACAATATATAATTAATTAATTATTTCTTTTTGAAAGCACAATGATGGATAGAAACCTGCATTTCTTCATTAATGAGAAATTCCATTTGTGATTTGCCAAGACCTAAATTGTGCATGTGTCTCACAGCAAAAGCTCTTTGCTCACACCATAATGCTCCGTCAGTCATTGTTATCCCTTAAATAACCAAATTTTTAATTTTTTTAAATTTTGTAAAACATTTCTCACCTTTTCTCGTTCCCATAGACCTAAGACGAATAAAAAACGTATCAGGACGAGCTTGAAACTGTTCCCTTGAGAAGACTTCTTCTATCAGGCTCTCGCTCTGTACGACCACTACGTAATCCTTCCCAAGTTTAAGTCCAAGAATATCTGTGTTGTACATTTCGCACATTTTATGAAATGCGTTATGCAAGCCGCCATAAGTGTGGCTGTATTTTTTGACCAAGGCGCCATTTCCTAATATTGGCAATTTAATCGGGCCTACAACATTCCAATCTATACTAAATAATGTTTACAGATAAATTCTTTATTTATTTAAGAGATTTTGTCATTGAGAATTAAAGAAAAATCTTGTATCACAGGTACACAAGAGAAAGAACAATTTCTACCAATAACAATAAAAAAAAAAAAAGACGTTAAATAACAAAATATTAACTTTTTTAATTAAATAACTAACTTTTACTTAACTTAAAGGTAACATACCAGGAGGAAATTTCTTCTTCTTGGAACCGATTCCCTGCCAAATCAAAATAATGGCAAAACTGATCAACATAACACATAGAATTACCGGAATCATTGTCAAACAATGCTATTAAATTTAAATTAAACAGCCTTGAAGGAGATGGATTAAAAGGCTGAGACAGTTATGTAATAAAACAACTTTATAAATGAAAGGCTCAATTATAACTCTTGATTGGTAAAACCGATTATAATAAGGGGCTTTGATAAGTTGGTTATCTCAAATAAGATAACAAATGACATTTTAGGGTTTAATTAATATAAAACCTAGACAACTTCAAATATAATGTTGAAATTTTATTATGGTAATGATCAAACATGCTTAGATAATACAATTAACAAAAGACTTGTAAAAATAAATGTTTACTTTTAAAAATGTATTTATATATCTACAACATGTTATATAATTACTGTAACATATATACAATAAAAAATTTACAAATATTATGATTTTCTTAAAAAATATTTAAAATATCACAACGTTTCTAGATTGACCTCTTTTTTGGGTTTCTTTTTGTAATTATGCTTTTTAATGGAGTCCATCTTTCTCTTTTTGGCCTCTTTCTTCTTCAGCTGTTTGCGTATTTTTCTTTTAGCCGCTTTTTCGGGGTTTGTGACCATCTGAAACATACAATAATAAATTGAAAACCGATGAATATAATCTCTAATATATGTCGCGCTTACCAGTTGAGATCTTTCTTTCTTCTTCACTGCCCTCTTCGCCTCGATTCTGGTCGTTAATGTCGCCACGATGCTATTGTATTTGTCGGATCCAATCTTGCTCTTGACACAGTTCGCCGCTTCTTTGGAGATCCTTTTCAAAGAGGGGTTATCGTCGATGCTCATCTCCCTGAGCATCGGGTACAAGACGAGCCGAGCTACTGGTTCGAGTTCTTCTTTACTCAATTTAACCGCTAGAGCTGATAACCAATTAAATGCCATAGTTCGCTGAAATAAAAGAACAATCTACTTAACATTAATTATAATAAAAATGGAATAAGTGCATCTTTTTGTTGAGAGATGATACAACAGTCATAAGTGCTTGCTTTTGTACTGTTTAACGTTGTGCACCTAAGTAGCAAAAATGGGTTTCAATGTTAAATTAATAAAGCTTTTTAATAATTTCAAATTTTTACCACATGGACCCTATAATCCTCCAAGAAATGGCCCAACTTAAGGGAAAAGCATTTTATTACATTAAAAAAAAAAAGTACAAGGATTTAAAAAAAATTAAAAACCAAGGAGTGGCTCAAGGAAACTGAGCAGCTGCCCTCCATATGTTAATCATTAACTATGATGTCCTATATTTCCAAAATAAAACATTGTTCAGATACAAGATTTTAAAAGTAAGAAACGTACAGCATTGTATTATATTGTCGAAATCTCTTAGACTTGAAATATTAATCAAAACATCTTCCATTGTCCTGCACCCAATCTCACCTGTATTTCCAACTACATCTTCACACAGTAGCGAGAATACTCAAAATTTCAGAAAGCACTTTGTTATATGTGTCTTTTCCTTGCTTTATGAACTTGACATTTCAGTACCTCCTCTTCAAAAGATAAATGTCTCCCCTGGCAACTACCTAAACCTAGAATTTCTCTTTGGCTAAGTTTCTAAAAGAAAGCACCCCGGCCTGAGATACACAAACAGAAATTCCTTAAACTGTGCTTGTCCACCATAAAGGTGATCTTCGTTTATATCGACGTCTCCAAGAATTCAATCGGTGTGGGAGCTGCCTTTTTAAGCGATTCCAGAAGTTATAAGTTTGCTCTTCCTGCATCCTCTTCACCGCAGAGCCCTTCACACAATGACTGGTTGTGTGTAAGGATTCTCTAGTTGTGCTGCTGGCTATACAGAATCAATCCCCTCAATCTCTTAATTCAGGAAATACTCTTAACCCTGAGGGATTGTCCGAAAAATGCCATTGTGAATTCTGGGTCATTGTGACAATCGTGGCAATGCTCTTGCTGACGCGGCGGTCACAGAAGGGATCTGGATAAATCAAGTATCCGGAGAATACTTTCTTACTCATATCAAGAGAACTATTTGATAAAAGTAGCAAAATGAATGGCTTAAAGTGCCCCTTAACAAGCTTAGAGAAAGTAAGATGTAACATAATGGTCCACTGCCACTTGAACCTCCCGTACAGAAAAACAGTCCTCGCTTGCCTCAGAATAGGTCATTGCAGACTCATACATGGTTTTCCTATGGCAAGAGAACCTCCATCAATATGTCAAGAACCGTTAGCAGTGAAACTTTAACTCTTATTATCTTCTGCAAAGATCTTTCTTATTGAAATTATTTCATTCTTCAAATTATTATATTAAAAAATATTGTAATTTATTTAGTATAAATTTATTGTGTGTGGTGATTAGTGACCATTAATCGATATTTATTTAGAAATCGTGCGATGCGGTCTGGTGTGATGTAGGTTTCAGAAAAACATTTTCTTTATCGTGCCAATGTTTCGATCTTTATTGAGATCATCTTCAGGGCTCAAAGTGTTTGTTTTCTGTGTAATTGTACGGGCACAATAAAACGAACACTGAGCCCTGAAGACGATCTCAATAAAGATCAAAACATTGACACGATAAAGAAAATGTTTTTCTGAAAGCTACATCACACCAGACCGCATCTCACAATTTCTGAATAATTATCGACTGACGGTCACTAATCGCCACACATTTTTCTGAAAGCTACATCACACCAGACCGCATCTCACAATTTCTGAATAATTATAAATTTACTGTTGTAAAATGGTTCTATGCCATAAATATTTATTATTATTGTTCTTTTTCTTCATAAGGTCTCTTCCTCCTACATATGTTTCACTTTTTGTGGAAGAATTGTTCAAGCATTTGACTGGGTCCTTTTGTATTTTATTTACCTGGAAACTACTTTGTCTCCATTTATTCATTTCTTCTTCCAAAGCTCCTCTTTTCACAGAGGAACCAAATATTCTTTCCCCTCTGCTCTAACATGGTTGACTGATTTTTAGATATTAGGATTCTCACCCTCGACCCTATTTAATTGGTCTGGAATTGACCACAAGTTATTCTAGCTCTCAACTGTATTCTGTGCCACTAAGCTTCAGTTGATTTATGTAAAATTAAAAGAGCTTGGATTTTTTTAAATTTTAAACATCTATGTATTTATTTATGTGACACATTGAAAACTATAAAATATTATATATTACGTACAGCACAAAATTTATCTTCATTTTTTTAAATTTGTATTTTAAACCCTTCTGAACGGGGAACTGTCAATTACAGACAAAAACACTTTTTCCTTGGGTATTTGGATGTATTATTTGTATTTTCTGTTTCCCTTTGTGCACAATTTCAGTTTACTTGTAACTTTATTTCAATAATAAGAAGATATAGACTCCCAAGGCGACCTTTAGCTCTGGACTTGTCTTTTTATGTTTTTGACTTATTTTATTTATTTTGTGTAAAAAGAATATATTATTATTAATATACTTACCACTATTGTTGATGTTGGATGTTGAGAAATTTCAATGTTCATGGATCTTCTGACTCGCCATATTAACCAACTTAATGATAGGTTTTCTTCATTACGACTTTCATCGCTCTTTTTAATTTCTTTAACAACACAGGCTAAATACACTAATAGTTTCATACACTGAAAAATAAACAAAAAATAAAAATATAAAATTGTGTCAAAGAAACAAAAACTTAAGACGATGACAAAAAGACAAACCTGAAGCAAATATTTTTCGTTTGAAGCTTCATTAGGAACGATTTGAGCTATTAGGTCTAAAATCAAACTTTTCACTTTGGATTTTGTGTTGCTAAGTAGAAATCCTTCTTTTTCCATTGAAGGATCATTTGCAGCGTTTGCAACCGTAGATGGTGGTACCATTCGGACAATTATATTCAAGAGCTGCACGGCCAACTCTCTAACCCATTCATGTGGATACGCTAGCAACCCAACTGTGTTTTCTGAAACAAAATTGTATATATTAACAGAAACATAGGAAATGTTATTTTAATTGACAAACCTGCAATAATTTCAAGATGACTGGTGTATTTAGGGTCTTTAAGGAACTTTGAGCAAGTCGTGCTGATTTTGACTAGCATGGATAAGACTTGAAACAAAAGGTGATCTTTCATCCTTTCGTCTTCGCTAAGATCAGTCTCATTTTCTTCTTTCTTGAGAAGTACAAACTTTCCAGGCTTAGTTACCTCGAAGCCCTGCAGAAATTGGCTGCTGACCAACGGAAGAAAATCATCCAGCCGCTTGTGAAATTGGTCATTTTCACATTTTACAAAAACGCCAATGAGTTGAGCTGCCAATCGTCTGAGGGTGATCTTCTTGTTGACAAACCAGAGTTTAGTAACATCAAAAAGTTTTTCCTTGGTATTGTTATCGACTTTGCTCAAAAGGAGTTCAAGAGTGGAAGCTGCTTTTTCTCTGCAGGCTGGGACAGGGTCATTTACCAGCATGGTGGACATATTTATAAAAATAACTCCGCTATTTTCCTTAATAAATTCCTAAAACAAGAAATAAATATATAAAAAAAAGTGCATACAAATAAAGGTCATAAGTTAAGAGCATATGACATACTATAGGATAATGATTAATAATACTCGTAATCATGTCTACAGCACTTTTTCTTCCAGATTCAAATGCATAGGACAATTGGGAAAAATAAAATGATAAGATATCTATAACTTCATCCTTTATGGTAGTCCTGTATTCTTTAAGGTAATAAAGCATCACCTAGAAATTAAAAAAAAAAAATATATATTTTAAGGAACTTCGGATAGAAAAACTAACGTTGTGTTCCAAATTTTCTTACCGATAAAGCCTGATGGCGTACTGAGTCTATACCCGAAGTTATGCTCAAAATTGCCACTTTTTTAAGAACGTCTTTCAGCTCGGGCGATTCCAACTTTCTTGACAGTATAGCATGAATCAGTGAAAACGCTGTCGCCTGCCTGTTATGGTCGTCGAGGTCTTGCTCGCAATATAGCAACAACGCTCTTTTGTGATCGTTCTGAAGATGATGATACTTGACATCCCTTACTATCACAGCGACAGCCTGATACAAAAAGATAAAAATTGAACATCATTTAAAAAAGCTACATGCTGAACTGAACTTACCTTAAATGTCGCCATGACGAGATCAAAATTATCTCCCTTCGATAAACCAGCTGAAGCATATTTGTGCAATATTTCGAACAAATTTTCAGTAACAGTTGATATGTTTTTTTCAAGGGATGGCAATTCCATTTTTAAACACCATATCATACATTTTACCGCCAATGTGGTTATCTGAAAAACAAATTTGTTTATAAATCTAGTAATTTATTATTAATTATTAATAACCTAAGAAAACCCATTAAAACAAAATTAAAGATATAAGGGGATCGTCGTTGGTGATCGTGAGTACCAGGGAAACTATCAAATTGTCCAAACTCGGTAATGATTTTAAACATTTTCACATTGTTTGAAATTTTTTTTGGTAATTTGAATATATCGGGTTATAAATAAGACTGTGGCATTTTTTGATGGTAAATTCTATGAAAAATTCCGGTACATGATACGTGATTCATTTTTTCCACTACCTTTTGCCATCTGCCATGAAATTTTATAATTTCGTTTTTTATAGATGATCTGATCCAGATGAGTTTTATGCAGTCCACAAGTAAAATAAGTTTTCCCATTTACATAGTTTTTTAGAGCCTGGAGTAAGTGCAAATCTGAAAGGGGCAATGCCAGATTTCTGGCATGCGAGGAAGAAGAAGACAATAAATTTTTTTCTGGGGCTTTAGGCCAATTTTTGAATAACAAAAAAAGTTCAAAAATTGGCACAATTTGTGTCAAAATGAATATATAAGTAATTATTTAAAGTAATGGCAAAAAACAATAAATAAGTCATACTAAATTAAATAAAAAAAGGGGGGATTAAGAAAAAATTAACTATCCTCAGTGTTAAATTGTAGCAACAGGAAGTAGTAAAAAAGACAAGATTTAAAGGTGGAAAAGGTTGAGGCACAGCAAATCGAGTTAGGTAGGGAATTCCGGAGATTGTAGGAATGGGTAAGGAAGGAGTGACCAAACGTGGTGGATTTGTAAGAGTGAGTGGAGAACAGAAGTGTTGCAAGGGTTTATAGTTGAGTTAAATGTTAACCAATTATAAATATAGGAAGGAACCAAGAAAATATAGCCTTCAATAGGAGGGGCACAGCCATTTCAATTCATGATACATATCAGACGCATGATATCTCTTTGGTTAGCTAAATATGAACCTAAGAAAGCAGTTCATGATTTTTTTTTATTCTGTTAACAAGCTCACAGGTGAGCCTGCCATAGACCAAACAGCCATAATCAAAATGGGGAAGCAGAATGGAAGAGACCAGGAGTTTGCGGATGCTGACTGGGAAGTGTTAGCTCGCATGACAGAACTGATGGAGGATAAGTGTTATCCTGGCGTAAAACAATTCCTTTGAGATTAGCAAATGTCAGTCGTTTTTGGCTAACTGCTGACTTTAATCATTCCAATTATGCACAATATTGCTAGAATTAAACAACTAGAATTAACAGTTTGGTTGGGCTTTAGAAGCTCATAATAAAGCATCCTAACCTTCTCTAACCATCCTCTTCTTCCAATCCCACCAAATGACTTTTTTAAAATGAAAATCTGGCTTTTGGAGTTGTGTTTCCCCCACAATTTTCCTTTCTAAATATTGTTGTAAAGCACCACTTTTCATCCCTAGTTATCAATATTTTTAAAAATGCAATTGTATTTTAAAAGGGATTTATAGATGAAGATGCTGTCCAATAAATTTGTGTTAGTCAACAAATGAATCCATATATCGTTCTGATAAGTATATTCAGTTGCTCTCTCTCTCAGGCATGTTGAAAAGCAAATGAGAAATGAGTCTCTGTGATGTCTCATATCATTTAGTGTTGATATGTGACAAAATTTTGAACTTCGTCATCGTCAACGATTGTTGTTACAAATTTTCCTAGCAGCGTAGGCGGTGTTTTACTTTTGTGGTAATAGGTAACCATTAATCCTTAGAGTGCAGCTGGTCTCATTTGTGACCATAGGCCATTTTTTGGACACACCTATTTCTAATGGCTATTATTTTCCCAACCTCTATGGATACTATGAAGCAGTTTTTAAATTGAGTGAAATCAGCTTTCAAATGTTATTAATTGTTCCAGTGTAGCTCCATTGACACCGAGAAAACTGGCTGTGAAGTTTTTTCTTCAACTTTTTGCTTTTTAAAGGTAAAATTTGCTTATTTTTACATTAAATATGATTACAGAATTGATGGATAGACTGTTAATTGCTAAAATATTTTGTGGCTCAGGGTTTTGAAAAGAAAAAACACCAAACGTTTAAAAATTTGATGTTCTCTTTAGGTATTATTTTAATTTAATTTTAAATAAATTAGGTTATTACATATAAAAATGTATTTCTATTTTTCAGGGCTTTCTAAATTTTTAAATTAGTTTTTGTTTGTTTGAAAATGAAATCTTCAATGAAGAAGGTAAAAATTGTTATATAGAGCATGTTGCTGTTGCTGATTGGTACAAAACGTTAGCCTTTCACCTCATCCAGACACTACTCATGAAAAGCTTCTTCCTGTTTAATAATTATTCCCATTTGGACAAGAAGAAGCTAAACGACTTCCGACTGCACAAGATAGTCTCTGGTCTGAATATCCTAAGCATCCCATCCAATGAGTTCTTCGTCTATTGGCCATTTTCCTACAGGATAATAGGGGTCAAAAAGGACAAACCATTTGCGTAAATTGCAGCAAAGAGTTGAAGGGTGAGGTACTACTATGATTAAATTGAAGGCAGTTCATACATCGTCAGATTGGAGGTACGTAGGGATCAATGGGGTATCTCATTCCGTAAATATTTGTGTACTTTGGTAGTTTTTGTGAATCAAAATTGATGGTTTGGTTTTTTACCAAACCGATTTAGTTTGGTATTTGGACCCGTTCTTGACATGTGATGTGGCAAAGGCTTTTAATTTTTATGGCAGATTGGATTTGGTAGATTGGATTGCTTTATAGTTTTCTTTGTCAGTAAAGATTAAAGATCTTCGTCAGTAAAATCGACATTTTTAATAACACCATTTCTATGAATAAGAAAAGATTTAATATAAACCAGGAAGAAATCATGAAGTATTTTTTAGTCCTGGAATCCTAAATTCTATTTTTATTCTAATAGTGTCTACTACTTTCATATTTGTTATTAATTGTTTATTAGTACATGCAGATTTTTAAATGTATTTTCCAATTGTCGAGATGAAGACTTTTGTCTTTAGCCAATCAGGAGTCGGTATTTTTAAATCGATTGGGTGGAAGATACTGCTTTTTTCTTTGTGAGCTGACGAATATCGTTTGGTTGTCATTAATTTTTGAACTTTTATGAAAAGTATTATTGCCGTCTAGTTTATGTTTATTGCTGATAACAGTTTCATTTGGAACTTTTGTACCAATAATAGTTTCCATTTGCTCCAGCAAAATATCTGTATGTTCATTGCTGGACACAATCATTTTTGATATTTGAACCGTCTGAGACAACAAAATGTAACTGAAATTTGATTTACCTTTGGATATGAAATATCTTGTAATACAAACAAAGGTATTGGGTTGAACGGAGAAAGGGTTAGCCATCCGCTCGCATTGGAGTTTAAGGAGGACAATAACTCTTATTTTAAATTAGCAAAACACCTTGGAAAAATACAAAAATAATAACAATGCCTAAATAAAGAGGGATAAAATCAAATTATTGAAAAACACTGGACTTATTTTACAAGCCAAGCCAATAGATAATTATGAGAAAAAATTAAATGCACAATATTAAGAGCCTCTTATACACAAAATTTCGAGAATAAGATACAGGCGGATTTTATATCTGAAGTGGGATATACTAAAAACAGGAAAAATGAAATAGAAAGGAATCTAAGCTCAAGTTGAAATTATAATTTAGTCCAACTCACCTTCACATGCTGCGATTTAAAACAGGTTATCAATAAATTAACAAAAGGATCGATTTGTGGCTTATAAAGTTCTCCTTTGACTTTGCTCCGTTTCAAAAGTAATAGGAACAACTTCAAACCAAATTCAACCAAGATGTGTGCATTTGTTCTTGAGCATACTTTTGATTGGGAGGCTTTTTTCATTTTTGGTTCTGGAAAAAAATAAAAAATAAAATAAAAACTGTTGGTACAATAAAAACAATTATCCGTATACCTTCTGGTATTATGTAAATATCTGGCTGCCTTCTCGATTCAAACTCAAGACTTTTTTGGTCAACCGGTGCATCCTTCAAGTCTGCTGTTAATATGGGTATGCTTTCTGAAGCTGAGCCGTAAGCAAGTTGTAAAAGCGAGAGCGGCTCTATATAGTCATTTTCTGTCAAACCGTGTATTATATTTTGTAAACAATTTTCGATCTTTGTTAAATTTTTATGTGACAATGTTGCTGACAGTTCCTAAAATACAATTTTATAATATTAGTAGGGTATAATTTTAAAATAAGATATTATCGAAAAGTTGTAATTTACCTCTTTTAATGGTATGATCAAATCTAACAAGTAACGATCGGTAACATACGTAGCCAAAATGTGCAGTATATCGAAACTTTTTGTTGATCTTGCTTCCAACACTTTTCCGACAATCTGGTGGACTTCTTTTTCCTCCGAAGCGCCACCGAATAGATCTGATTTGCACACCTAAAATAAAAACGGTGTAAATATATCGGTTGACGGCGATAAACATATGAAGATAATTACTTTCAGCAATAAATGTGCAGATTCGTCTAAATCACCTCTTTTAAAGCTTGGCTTTAAAGAGACAAGAACAGAATGCACAGTATACGCTAAAACGTGCACATGGAACCCCTTGATAAGGATCCCTGACATTTCCCTTATGAGAGTATTCAAGTACTCCGGTCCGAGCGATGCCATGATGGTTTGTAATGTTTCTCTTGTTACTTTTCTAACACTTTCCAAACGTGATTTAAGCAGTGTGCACATTTTCATTACAATCCTGTAAAAAATGTATAAATATTGTTAATATATATAAATCTCGAATGACTGTACTTGATTTAAGTACACCTCTTTTTTTTATCATTGTTTTCTGATTAAATTATTTTTTAATTTATTGAAAATGCACAACTGCTGTCTTTGACTAGTCGGCAATGAGTTCAAGAACTCTCACAAATTGCCTTATTCTTAAATTATAAATGTCGGTCAGAGAAGAGAATCAAGGCAGATGTTCCTCAAGGGCGCATCCTCAGTGCATTTCTTTTTTTCACCGCCTTTCTTTCTACTGCCAAACCTTTCCTAACCAGACTAATTATCCAAATTCATCTTACTATACTGTATTAATATCATTCTAGTAAACTTTAATTTTGCAGAAAGATACTTCTAAATAGGTGTAAATCTTTGTACAAAATACTGTCTTAACCTGGGCGCACACTAGGTCGGTGGGGTGGCGTGGAATTGTGAAGGTGCGCACATTATGTAGGAACTGCTCTCGGCCGTGTTGGTCGAATTTTCCCCCTCCATCTGACTAGCACTGCGGTTTAGTGTTGATTTTGCATTTCCAGGAGTCTCCACGTCCACAATTGTTGGCTTCGTCTTTACAAATATGGCGTCTGAGGGCAGCCGAATATACCTGAACTCAAAGATTTCCGACTGCCCCGGCGGACACTAGGCTGGTAGCATGGCATGGAGCCGGGTTCGAGAAGTCTGGCAACTTTCTCCGGCTCTGAGCCGAACCGCGCCACGTCACCCTACCATTTAGAAGGTTACATTCATTTCAATCTATCCTTCTTGGGGGACAGTTCCGTGCCGCGCCACCGACCTAGTGTGCACCCAGCTTTATACTTTCATAAGCAAGAAACAAGAATGAAAAGAACAAGTAAAAAAAAGTAACAAACCGAAGTTACAAACTATTAAAAATGATAATTTACAAAATAATAAAAAGACAAAAACGGCAGTTTGGCGCTCCAGGTTTAAGCCAAAATTTTCTACAAAATTCTTAATAATATAATACGCAATGGCATTTGGTTATTATATTATGACATCCTGCCAGTCCATGACACAATCAAATTCATCAAAATTGAAATTAAGGAAAAACGTCGATAATAATGAGAAAAAGTCTGGAGTTTATTAAATTAAAGAAATAATTAATATAACAAATTACCCGATTAAATTCCGATCGAGAAACTTTTTAGAGGGTAGTTTCTGTAAAAGTTTGATGATTGCGACTGACAATGGTATTCTCAGAACAATTTCTTCGTCTAAATTGCAATCGCCCGATTTTGCAGATAGCTTATGAAGTGACTCTGAATGCATCTTCTCAGCCAGAATCGAATGTAACCGAGGAAGAAGCACGACGATTATATTATTTATGACTTTGTTTGCATGAGGTTTTGATAAAAGAGCCATCTTGTCAATCGAAGCTATCTGTTTTGTCTCGTCGATTTTTTCTTCTTCGTTCTCAACAGGAACTGAAGTTTCTAAAATATAATAAAAAAGTATATTTTTATTTGATATATGAAAATTCTATATCAGTAATAGTTTTGCTGATTAAAAAAAAATCTTACTTAGGGCTGAAGGTTCATATTCATTTGTACAAGCAGGGATTTCTTCTGAATCATTTCCCAAGTCTTCAGTAGTGCTTTCTTCTGTTTTATCGGTTATTCCTTTTTCGATATTGAAGAGATCTAAATCAGCTTGGCTTAGATCGAAATGGAATGCATTGAGTATCTCGACCAATATTCTCACGATTTGCTTCTGGAAATCTGGCTCAGTCTGAAGTTTTCCCAAATAGTAGAGAAGAACATTTTGGTATTGGTGCCAAGGCAAAAGTCTACAAGCGGTCCCAACGGCCTAAAAAAATGCAATGTTGATGCAAATTTTTCAAAAGTACATTCAAGCTTAATAAATTTCCATGTTACCCCTATTGCAGAATCCAGGATTGTGTTTTTATTTGAAAATTTCTTCGATAGCAAATAATATGAAACTATAGGAAGAATAAATTGCGTTATTGTTCGTGTTGTGAACGGTTTTTCCAATTTTTCAGCAACATTTGAAAACCTGCCAAGAAAAACGTAAATCTTTAAGTAAATATTTTTATTTTAATACAGTTAAAAAAATTTGTTAACAATTATCAAAACTAACTTTAGCATAGCACGAACTCTTCTGTGAAGCTGTAAATGTTTAATATTTTCAAAGAAATCCACTTCTGGATCCTCCTTGTTTGAAAGGTGCGACAGATCTTTTAATACTGGATGATAATCTCCACATTCTCGAGCCTGAAAAAATAAATATATTTAGTATTTTATAATTAAATATTTAATTTAAATTACAAAATAGTACCATATGTCCCAAAAATGTTAAACAATCGTCACGAACAGCTTCAGTTTGTTTTTCTGAAAATCCGCTACGTATCTGATTTAAAATGGCGTCATTCAAAATTAAATCTTTGAGGTTTGCGTCGTCTTTTACAGACTCGCAAAGAAGTGGGGAAATTAGTTCTAATGTGTGTTTGGCATTGTCTCTCAGAGAAATATCCTTTTCCTTTAAATTAAAAATGTAAACAATTAAAATGTTTATTAAACGTTTCAAGTCACATTTTTAATGTTAACTTACTGTTTTGATAAAATGAAAACATGTATAAATAACGACCACTCCCAAATTAACCGAAATATTTTTTTCTCCGGCCATTTCCTCTAATTTCTTGAAAGCATTCAGCCTCCGTTGAAAATCAGGCTGATCGACCCATTTGGGATCCCAAGCATTCATTTCATCCAACAACGCTCCATCCAATCCACTTTCCGATCTTGAATAAAGAAGATAAATTAATAAAAAGAAATTTAATAAAACTAACTATTTAATAAAATGTTACCCTTTTTTGTTTGATAGTGTTACGACGATAGAAAAAAGAAGTTTTCTCGCCATTGGACCATCGACTGATCCAAACAAAGGAGCAAGTTTTAGAACATATCTCCCGGGATCTTCGACATTCTTTATAAGGTTGTAAACGGTTGTTAAAAGCGGCATTATGATTTCTTCTCCAGCACCTGCTTTTTTTATAAGACTGGGGAAAAGTAAAGAGAGAAGTTTATCGGACGATTCTGAATCGTTAACGAGTTCGGTGATTCTTGACATGACTTCAGAATCCTTTTTTGTAAGTGGCAATTTGGATTGCAGCTTCCGGTCGAGCCGTTCCAAAATGGCAGAGACGTGAGGCATGAGCAGTTTGCTTCCATAGTTTAATTCATCTGCAACTATATTTTGAAAATACTTATTATTACAAAATAAATGTGACAGCATAAGAAAATAAAATTAAATAAAACAAATTGAAGTTAAATTAAATACAGTTTATATGTTTAATTAGTAAATAGGTCATCACTAAAGACCAAATTCCCGTGCAATCACATCTTTTTATTGCTAATTCCAAATTCAACAAAACCAAGATAGAAATTTGAATCACAGAAAAGACTCTTTTTCTGACACTATTTTTATTTTGTGTCTTGTGCCAAAAATTAGGTTTTTACAGTTTATATAGTATAGTATTTTTATATTAGTATTTTTTTTATTTTCCATGAAATTGTTTTATGTTCGCCATATGCCAGTTCACTATGTTCCATCACTTGTGTATTTCTCACTTTCCATTTCTCAGTCTTTCTGTGGTTTAAGGAGCGATGCAACGGCTACCCGGAACCAAAGGTAAGAGTAAAAAATTTTTGTTTTTTTAAAGAAAAGAGTGGGACTTTTTTCTTTTGTAACACATTCTGGATGAAAGTAAGGGAGAAAATGTATAACTAAGAGAAAAAAAGCTTAGCCATGAATGTGGTGGTGAATTATAATGAAGAAAAAAAAAATTCACTGTATTTTATTGGATAATAAAATAAACTATTTTTATGCTTAAGACAATAATTAATTTATTAGGTAAAATTTTTTACTGTGTTAAATGGGAGTTTTTACCTTTATAACACTTTTTACATTCTTTTGATATTTTTTTTTTTGACGTTTTGAAGGTAACTGATGATTTTTCCTTTCTTGAAGGTGGGACAATAGGTCCTCCCAAAAAAACCATTTTAACCATTATTTTAATCCCTACTCAGGTGAGTTAACGCAATGGTTAAAACAGTGGTCGTCAGACATTAATATTTTATAACAGTTTAAGTGGTACACATTTAAGTCTTTCAGACTCCGAACAAACGATTCAATATTTTGAACCAGGTTTTAATGTTAAAACGTTTGTTTGGAGTCTGAAAGACTTAAATATGTACCACACTGGGTCTTTTTTTAAAATAAACTGTTATAAAATATTAATGACTGACGACCACTGTTTTAACCATTGCGTTAACTCACCTGAGTAAGGATTAAAATAAATCCGAAATGCTGTGGATAAAAACTGGTTGTGGTTTTTTTGAGATGACCTATTATCCCACCTTCAAGAAAGGAAAAACCATAAGTTAAACTTTGAGGTCGAATAATAAAACAACGTTTTGAAGGTATTTACTGCACAAAAACCTGTTACAGGCTGGGCAGGGCAGAGAACCAAACAGGTGGAGTGAGTCTGTGTTATGACACTTTTTTTAAATTACTTTAGCAAACTTAGGATGCTGCATGTACGTACATGTGCATATACGTGCCATCATCCATGTCTAGGATCTCATTCAATTTGAGAGCAAATCTGCTCTACTCATCACACTGGGCTCTCAATTGCCAATCAAGAGGACAGCTGATCAATTACCTGTGCGATACCACTCTTTGGATTTTGATTTAGAAAATCTGGTACGTTATCTTCCAATATATAAAATGTTTTTCTCTAAAAAAGCATTGCACAGAGTATGTTGTCTGAAGGAGCAAGGTCAAGGTTGTTGGCAACGAGTGCTGAAGAAATTAGATTCTATTTATTTATTCTATTCGATTTTTGTAAGTTTTTGCTTTGTTGTTGAGAAGAAGGAATTGTTGAATCAAAACTATCTATCAAAGACCTTGTAATCAACATTGTACAACGTCTTCTGAAAAGAACTCAAAACTAACAGAATGCCTTTTGGAACCAATTCATACTATTTCAAAATTCAAAAAAATCAGAATGAACTATTTCAAATCAGCCTCGCAACCAGAAAATCCACAATTCGTCATGTTTACAAGGTTTCCTGATTTTTTTTTTTAATGTAGCCTGTATGTCTCTTTTCTACATGCACTTTTCATTTTCCCAGACTGCTTATCTTAACCTTTAAAATTTGATGAACGAATGGCATTTTCTTTAAAGGAAGGTCGAACAAGCGCTGACCATAAAATGGGGATATGTTTTCAAAATTATACAAATAAAAACAATATAATGTGGACACAAATTCAAGAAATGCTTAGTACAGTTGTAAACAGTCTTTTTTTCTCTTTTAAGTCACTCCAATAAGGAATATTTCCCTTTAATATTCTAATAGTCTATTGACAGTACCTTTCAATTTCTCTTCGTCTATAACAGCCATACAGTTTATTATTAAAGGTTCGACAACTTGTTCATCCATAGTCTCGAACTTTTCAAAATCTTGAAGAGTCAAAAGGGATTCGACCAATTCCATTATCATATTGCACACAGAGCCATGAGCTTTATGGGCAAGCCACAGTGCCATGATAGAAGTCAAAGGGGTCATCTCGTTATCTTCAGAATTAAATTTACCAAGAAGAGGGAAAAATCTGAAAAAAAAAGTATAATAAAAAAAAATATATCTAATTTGACAAATAAAATAAGTAAGAGGAAATTTTAAAAAAGTACCTGGGGTTTTTACTCCAAACAAAAAATAATTTAAGAAGCTGAGAAGGGCTGCTGATGCTATCGACTTGCAAAGTTGGAATATAAGGCCAAATGAAAACCTTACAAAAGAAAATTAATTAAATTTTTAATTTAGTAATTTTATCATTTAAAACTAATTAATAATTACCAAAAACATGGCATCAATTTCTTCAGGTGTCCATGGATAATTATCAAAATTTGAAAAAAATTTGTTTAACCCTTCAAAACAGATATTTTTGATGCTCCTGAAATTTTTGGCATGCCCTGGATGAACGTTTTCCTTTTGTTTTAAAACACCTGTGACATTTGATCCCAAGGCGATCAAAACGCGTATGAGGTATGAAAGCTGCTCATAGGCAAGAAGTCCACCACAGTACGTCAAAAGCGTATTCAGGAGATAAATCGCTGACTGAAGCCTCTTGGGAGGCAGTACTTTTTCCAGGTCGACATTTTCCATTATATTATTGGCCATTTCAATGACGCCTGACAAAATAAATTATTTCCTTGTGAAACAATAAAAACGGGAATTTAAATAATTTACCTTTTTCGCTGTCGACGCTTTCTTTAAAAAGGGCGAAGGACATTTTGAAAAAATCACTAAGCTCGGAGTTGGAACAACCAGCCAGGAATCGAATTACTGTAGCTTTCCTTGCATGCTTCGTTATACCTTTTGTGCCACTTTGGTACATTTTACTATAAGCTATCCTAAAAATAAAAATAAACTAATTTTAAACTGAGCAAATTTCATCTATATCTAATTTTTTTTTACCTCAATACAATAGGAATTAGACCAGGCCGGTGTTCAGATTTTATAATATCGCTTTGTGTATCCACTCTGAACAATGCTATTTCATTTTTGAAAGTGTTATCGTCGATTAAGCCAAATAAGTTCTCTCTAAAAGTTACAATTGTTAAAAAAAATATCAATTTATACATGTGTTTATTCATTAAGACTTACTTATAAGGAGTCAGAAACTTATGCTTATACGTCATGATGCATTTTAAAGCAGCTTTTTGAACATCTGGCAATTTATGTGATAGAAAATCATAATAAATTTTAGACAACTCGGGTTCCCTGTGCATATTCTTCGGAGATCTCATTTTGCCGAGTACTTCCATATGTGCTAAGAGGCTCCTTGAAAAGGAAGACAAATTGTTATTAAAAAATTTCTATCTAAACTTGGCAATTTACTATTTTTAAAGCATTAACTTACTTAGTAATGGATCTGAATTTTTTATCTGTGTTGTCATTTTCTTCAGCAAAAGATTCTTCTTTTGCAGGCTGGTTATCAGGCGTTTTTTCCGTTTCATTTAAATCAACAAGAGTTTCTTCTTTTTCAATGTCCACATCCATTTCTTCTTCACCAAGCTGAGTTATTTCTACATCAACTGCAGACGATTCAGCAGTTTTCTTCTTCACATCGCAAGAGAACGCGGCTTCATTATTTCTTTTCAAATACTCTTCTCTAAACAATTATAAAAACATATTTACTTAAAAAAGTAATGACCGGTTGGTACGATATAATAGGACGTTATAAACTTACTCCATAAAAAGTAGAAACTGAGTTGAAATATCTTTATTCTTCGCTTCACACACAGGAATGCAGCTTTGTAGAATGTTCCATAGTAAAATTCTATGTTGAATATGATCGGGTTTTTCATCCAAGCTGTTTAACGATAAATACATTTCCGTCAAAAATTCACCTAAAATACTCACATTAAACTTAGCATTTTTTCTTTAATGGAAGCGCGCAGATGGAAAAAATTGACTCACAATTGTATGGCGACACAACAGGTTGTTCGTCGATATTGTCTCTGATAAGTTTTCCAACATTGTCCAGCTCTTTGCCAAACACCGACCAAAACTGATTCGGTTTCAAAGTATCAGCATATGTGATTATCAAATTTGAAACAGGTTCCCAGATTAATTTGAAGTTGATATAAAGCACGCCGATCAGGTATTTCAAGATGACTTCATAGTCAAGTTGGTTTTTCGCTATCCCTGTAGAAACAGATTCGTTCGTGCAGCTCAGTTTTTGAAGTTCTTTCATTTTATCACGGTATTCTGCAATGGAAGCGGGTATTTGTTCAGCTTTCCAACAGACCTCTAACAAAAACACCATCTGTTTGTTGGGTTCAGCCAAAGACTTTTCTATACTATATAATATATGTGTAGTGTATTCTCGTACCTAAAATTATGAAATACTCTGGTTAATTTTAAAAATTCACAAAAGATGCAAATTATTTGATGAAATAACTTACTTTTTGATAAGGCGAAAGAAGATTCTCGATGAGGGAAGATTTAATTTTATTGTAAAACAATGAAATTAGATTTACCTCGTCCATGCAAATATAAAAATCTAAAATTCTCAATATCTCCAAGTTTTGCTTACTAGCAAATGGTAATAGTACATCGAGGATGATTTCCGGTGGGCATATTTTCAATATATTTTCAGACGGCTTCAAATGAATGAGTGTTTCCAGTCCAACAGATACAATTGAAATCAGTTTATCTGATTCACTGTTGATTTCATCACGAAGAACTTCACAACATGACATAACAACAATGCTTATGAAGGTAATTGCTTCGACTTTCTTTATAGGAAGGATGTGCGGAAGTACCTTCAGCACGGAAACAGTCGTGTCAATATCATTGACCAAGTCAGGAAGTGTTTTGGACGAGATGTAGTTTAAATACTCATCACATAATTTTAACGAGTACATGTTTCTAGAAAGTAAAATACACAATAAATAATGTTACAATAAAAAACACTCCTAGAATGAATTACTTACTTTATTGGTGTAAAATCTAAAGTATACGGGGTCCAGCACAATAATTCTTCTGTATTCTTTGCAGTATTTGATTTTTTCAAAATAAGTCGTACTAATAAAGGCAACGCTTTGAAAGGTGTTGTTGCTGAACAGAAGCTAATCAATCTGGGAAGTACTAACCCTTCAAATCCAGGATAGTCAAAAATGTTTGTTATAAAATCAATCAAATCATTTTCTTTCAAATAATCCATTGTCTAGAAGAAAAGTTATAAATTATAATATTTTTTAACATTGAGACTTATTTTTCAATTGCTTACCGAAACAACAATTTTACTACTTAACTCCTGTGAGAGCTTGATGTTCTGGGACAACAAAACAATGCCAAGAGAACGGCCGATTTGTCTAGTTATTTCTGAGTTTATAAGGTTCTGAGGTTCAAGAAGCTTAATCAAAACCTCGACAACAGTTTCATGATCGGTAACAAAAGTACATTTTCTAAATTCAATCATTTCCTGATACATGTCCAAAACTAATTTGACATTTTGTGCATTCTTTTCAGTGCCAGACTCTTTCCACTGAGAGTGAAAACGCAAAAGTTCCTCCTAAAATTGTTCGTGCTTATATATTTGTACAAAACAGTCTGTAAGTAAAATGAATCACAAACAATTAAAATTGTATACAATACCTTCAGAATATTCCATAACAAGGAAATATGTTTTACATTAATGTTTGATAAAGAATGTGTTACTGTGCTTCTTAAAAGCTGGCACATTGGTAAATGCGGCACTGATTCATTTTCCAAAGAGGAAAAACAGGCTTTTAACGTCTCCTCTGCGCAACTGTGGAACTGACCTGGGACTCCTCTGATAACTTCAAATAGTAGCCTTCCACATCCGTCCAAACACTTCGGATAGAAACAAAAATATTAATTTTTAACATCAGAATATCGTTTAAATTGAATAAAACTCACATCAGGAGATTTCTTTAAAGAGCGAAGAATCATTTTGATCATTTTGTCATTGTCTTTCACTTTTCTTGCAACAAAAGCAAAACTTTGAGCGGCAAAATTGTTGATATAGTATGGCTTAGATGAGCTCAAAAGAGGCAATAATGACTCAAATATCGTTGAAAAATTGTTAACTAGATATCTCCAGAGAAATTTAAAAAGATAGGCAAGACACTGGAACGTCCATTCAAGCTGGTCTATATTTTTTGTTGATAATAAATTAACCAAAAGCTCATAAACTGAATCAAAATAGGGACAAAAATCTTGTCTTAAATCTTTCGCTAAAGCTACAACCAACCTGCAAGAAAAAACACAATCAGAAAAAGAAATACCACAATATAGAATAACTTACTCTAAAACAGCTTGAATATTTAAAATGTTTTTCATGGCCAAATGTTTTTTCAAAATGTCCACAAGGCGGTCCTTTTGTGCGACAACCTGTGGCAGGATTAAAACGTCATTTCCAATATCTTCGCGTAATTCGACAAAGCTTCCAGAACAATTGAGAAGTATCCACTTTTCGAGAGTCTGGTGAAAAAATGTCGTTTCTTCCTCTTCCTCTTCATATTTATGCTTAACGTTGTGAAATATGTCAACTCTGATATTGTTAATCCGCTCTGAGAATGGTTGAAACTGTAAATAAAATTTAAAAAAATTAATACTACTTTTTATTAACGAACATTATCTTAAATATGCGCTTTATAAAAAAAATATGTTTAGTTATTTAAATAAGTTATTAAATTTAGACATTTTTTAATTCTGGGATTTTTCCATCAAACTAGAAATGCAAAATGCAGAAATTCAAAATCAACTAACCCAGCGAGGATAGGCAGGCCAAATTTGTTTTTATGTTTAGATTATTAATATTCTTACACTTTTACAAGTCATTATATGCAGTCATAGCTATTAACTGAACAAAATCATAAATATTCGTAATTCAACTGTACTGAAATGAATTAAGTAAGAAAGGCCAAACTTCAAGTTCATCACCTCACAGATCTCAAGTAGAAATCTAACAGGGTACAATTGGTTGATTGGTAGTTGCTGATTATTTTCTTCTCTCTAATCTTGCTGTTTTATTAGTTAGTTGGTCTGTTTTGTTAATTGTGTCCTTTGTAAATGTTTGAAATGAAAAAACCAGAGTTCGTAAAACTTTTTTTTGCTTTTTATTTGAAATTGTTATGTGATTGTGTACTTATAAACATCACTGAAGGTTGTAAAATGTTGATGCACAGAAGTGAGGGGACTAGGATGATTTGAAAAAACAAACTTCACAGATCTCAAGTAGAAATCGCACAAGGTATAATCTGTAATTTGGTCATTTCTGGTAATTTTGGCCTACTTATCTTTTTTTAAAATCATTGGTTAGTCAGTGAGCTGTATTGAATTTGAGCCCATTTTAAACATTTGCAAGGTGTCCTGCGGATTGTAGTGGTTGTAGATTTGTATATTGTTCAGATTTGCTTGACGAATCAAAATATCCACAAACCGAAGCAACCGAATTCGGATTACTGTAGCTGTGAGAAGCTGGATTTTATAGCAGCTTGTCCTCCTCATTTATCTCCAGTTGCTGAAATTTTCTTTTCATTTTTTAAAGTAAATATTCGGAAGAGAGGCTTCTCGTTTCAGATGCAACATATTTCCCAAAAACATCATATTGATTCGAATTTTTGTAGAATGAAACCTGCCGATTTTGAAAAGCATGCTTGTAAAATTGGTCCTCTTAAATCATAGCAAGATACCAAATTCAGAAAAGCTATTAGTGTAACAGAATGACTTGCTGTAACTTTGCGATTTTTAACATCTGGTAAGTAGGTACCTACTATTAAATAAAAATTGTAATTGTAATTTTTTTTAGATTTAAATTTTATATTCAAACCACTCTTGTTTGTCACTCATGTTTACATGACACTTATTGCAATGGAAGAAAAGTAAACGAATGGCCAACTTTTGTGACTAGTGTCAACAGAAATTGCAAGTGGTTGAAATATACATTTGATATATTGCTTTAATATAAGAGGACCAATTTTACAAGCAAAATTTTCAAAATCAGCAGGTTTCATCCTTCAAAAATTCGAAAACTGAACTGGATCCTACATACTGAGCTTGGGAATTAATTGTTTGTAGGCACCGACTTTTTCGTGTCTCAAAACCCATTCTTGAACTCATACAGGACTTTTTTCTTCCATTTCATCTTTAGAATAATTACACAGACCACAATTTTGCATTTTGAGGCTTTCATCATGTCTAGATAAAATCAAATGGGTGCAGAATTGAGAGTTATATGAGTGTATACAGGATACAGGATACAAGTGTAAAAAACCTATTTGTACATAAACGGGTCGTATATTAATTCCAAGTTTCACATTTTTTATTTTGTTTTTTACAGGTCAAAAACCCATTTATTCAAAAAAAGTATACAAAAGTAAGGAGAAAAAATATATACAATAAAAATGGTTATAAATACCTCAACATTAATAAAGAATGAAACCCTATACTACACATCAATGAAAAAGATAATAAAATTCTTATAAATAAAACAACAATTTAATTAAACACCTTGTCATATTTATAATGATTAGGAATTATAAAAAAAAAAAAAAATTTTTTTTTAAACTAAATAAAATTATGCTTTAAATGGGGAAACAGAAGTATTAAACAAATCAACAGTACTGCATATGTTGTTACATTCTATGATGCATCAGGGACAAAATTTGTACCTTTATATTCAAATAAAAATATTTTGTGATTTCTGAGGCGGCAAGGAGGTACATAAAATTGGAGTTTACCAGGATTTCTGGGGAATCTATACAATTATTAATTAATTTGGAAAAAAAAGGTTATTTAGAGATCGTGATATGCGGTCTGGTGTGATGCGGATTTAGAAAAACATTTTCTTTATCGTCCCAATGTTTCGATCTTTATTGAAGATCATCTTCAGGGCATGGATTATAAATATTGTTTAAATTATGCAAATACATATAAGATGCGAAAAACTGAATTTGTACAAACAGAAATTTTAAATTCAATCTAAGTATTTGTACTCACTCAGTGTGTTTTCTGTGTAGATGTGTCATTGTTATGTGTCATGCTGAGAGTGTTAGTGAGGTGTTAATGTTTTTTGTTTATATATGATTTGGGTTTTGCAAAAGTAGGGAAGAAAGTAGAGATAGAAATCCAATTTTTCTAATGAGGAGTAGTCTTCTTTGAGGTGAGAGGTGCCAACAAGGGGAAGAAATGGGTAATGGTTTGTCGTTCAGGCCTGGACAGCCTATCAGGATTATTAAAGAACGGGATTATTAGGGAATGTAGATAAATTGTTGAATTAGACTATGTAGAATTGTTAGATGCGTGGAGTGTTTTATATGTTATATTGTTTTGTGTGTTATATGTATGTTATTGATATTGAATTTGATTAATGATATTAGCATAGCTGCAACTGAGTTTACATGTGTTCTAAACACACTAAACACCACACAAAATAAAAATAATCTCAAAATACTTTCTTCTGCAGCCAAGATCAGAAGTAGTGAAGAAAGATTTAACAAGAGCATGAGAGGATTTATCATTGTGACAATTTAATTTGAAATATAATGCATGAAGGGATTTATTCTGAACGTTGAAGGCATTTTATATCAGCGTTGTAGTGCAGATTCCAGATGATTGAGGCATATACAAGAATAGGCCAAACAAATGAATTATATAGATTTTTTTTTTTTGATACCAGGGACTGGAGGAGTTCCCTCCTGAGCACTGCAGCTGAGCTGTACAGCTTATTGTACTTTATCCCTGGCTCCATATTTTGGGGGAGGGCTCGCAACACAAATGTGAACTTGAGCCACCATTGTACCGGTGTTCTTTCATCGAAGAAACTCATTTTTGAAGAGGGTTGGGACCAAATTCAGGGTCGCTGAGATCCGATCCCACCTCTTCTATTGATGAGTGCCATGTCAATTTCTTTCAATTGCAACCACCGGTCCCCTTAGGCATCAGAAAAAGTCCAGAGGCGATGGTGGAGATCGAACCCAAGGCCACGGGATCTACTAGCCGAGAGTCTGACGCCTTATCCACTCGGCTACCTCGGCCCCCCTGAATTATATAGATGGACATACCAAGAAGGATTATTGAACTGAACTTCGGATAATGAAGCCAAGCATTTTAAAGTAGCGATTTTTGATTTCTTGTAAATATAGGTTAAAGGTAAGCTAATAGCTTTTACCCACGCCTACAATTTACACATGAAATCAAAAACAAAAAAATACCATTTTAGATACACTCGTAATAAAAGAACCAGATGGCACATTAATCACAGATTGGTATCAAAAACCAAGAAACACAGATCGCTACCTCAACTTTACATCTCACCATCCCCTTCATACAATAATAAACACGGCCAAAGGGTTACTTCACAGAATGATTACTTAAGCCATGAATCCTTCCACCACAAAAACATAACGATATACAAACAGATCCTCCATAACAATCTCTANATATTTTGCATTGTATAAATTCACTTTTCCACATCTAAAATGTAATTGTTATATGTAAACAATGTTTGTAAATCCCAGGCCCTGAAGATGATCTCAATAAAGACCGAAATGTTGGCACGATAAAGAAAATGTTTTTCTGAAACCTATATCACACCAGACCGCATCTCACGATTTCTAAATAAATATCGATTAACGGTCACTAATCACCACACATTCTCTTAAAGGTAAGATCAAAGATGACGCCAAATCTCTAATACAAGCTTTGATTAATGGTACAGGAATGGAAAATAGGAGATTTTATGTAAGAAAAAGTGATAATAAACATTTAGAATTATTTAAGGATAGTTTCTTATTTTGAGAACTATCGTATACATATATATCTATGACATGAATTTCTAGTAATTTCAAAAAAATCAGTAAACGGTCAAAGCGATTTTCTGATGAGACTTGACATATATTTCCGGACAAAAGTGTCATTTATACACGTGCCTTAAGACTGTAAGCGTTTATTTATTCTATATATATCATTGGACAATCACTGGTTGGTCTAATAAGAACAATAAAAAAAAGTTTTAGCAATGTTTTTCTAGTAGTGGACCATTCAAGTTTGAAGAACAACAATGTTTGACATCTTAATACGAACATTTTATAAAAAAAAATATATACTTCCTAGTGTTAATCTCATACCTTAAACGTATTTTTCTCCTTGTGACGCAATGGTTTGTTTTTCCTGCTCATTTTTGCCGATTTTTATTGTGTCACAAGAGTTTTTAAGATGAAAATCGACTGAAAATGCACGAATTCATAACAAACGACACAAATTCATAGCATACCACGTGTTGACTACGAGTCGAGCTCGAGGGTCTGCGAATAACCTTCCTCGTTGGTGATAAACGTACCTGTTTGGACCGGGTCGACCGTCTTCACCGGTCAAAAGTATACAACTACCAGCGACTTATTTGCATAATATATATTTTTTAAAATGAATTCTGTATTTATTAATTTATTTATGGCGGTCAATTCCGCTGTGTAAGACGGTAATCGAGGGTGAAAATCTGTTTATATTAAACGGCTTTAAATGAAGAATTAATAACGATCGATACTAAGAGGAAATCGTCGGGCAATTTTATCCCGCGAAACTCTCTCAATCGCCGGTCAAGGAAGGTGAAACAGACAAATTAACTTAAAAAATAAAAATAAAAAATAAAAGAACTTTGCTTGTGAAAATAGTGGAAATCAGCTGAAAACTTTTGCCCGTAAGATCTAGGCCGGTAGACGTAGATGTGTTTTTGCTGAGTCGAGATACAGTCACTCGGTTTCTGTACGGTTCTAATTTTTTAGTTCGTAATTCGCAGCCCAAGCGTCGAAAGTCGAAACTCGACACTCCAAAAACTGAAAGCACTTTATTTTTTTTTTTTTGCGGAATTACCACAGCGATAAATTTAAAGATCGCCTTGTCTTTAAACTTGAGAGTCAACAAAAGGGTCAACGATGTCCGATTGGGAGACGGTGACTACGGACAGGCGAAGGCAAAAAGCTCCGGCTATTAAGAAAACACAGGTATTTTTTTTACCAAGTCGTTTTTTTTTAAATCTTTATTTTCTCACACAACTAAACAGGAATTGAAATTTTTAAATTCATAGATTGGTTCACGAAAAGTTCTTAAGACCATTTTGTCAAGAACGAACATGCAATTTGTACAAGGAAAACCTCATGTTTTTCCATTTACTTCTAATATTTTTACAATAACATATGGCTGTAATGCCTTATTAAAAATTCACCGACACGTTTTAACATAAACGTTTTGTAAGTGTAAAAAATTGTAACCCCTTACACTGTTTTTCTAACTGAACACATGCTTCATATTATGCTTGTATTATATTTTAATATATATACTTATTTGTAGTCTATACAAATTTGTATATAGTATAAATGTGATCACTGCAGGTTTTTCTTGTTGCACGTTCACAGCTTTGATACTAATGCCAGTGTTGCACCTGGAGGACACATGCAATAAGAAGCCAGCAAATGCTGGCACTCAGAATAAGGGATTAAGGGGCAAGGAGGTTTCTAGGCCAACGTCGATTAAGGCAATGCCGTGGGTTCTCGGGATGGAAAGTGTAGAGAGGGCTCTTGCAGTAGGATTAGGTTGGGTCTAGAGGTTGATGTGAAACTTTTGGAATCAGGAAAGGATCAGTTCCTTGATAAAAAGGAATTTTGAATTCGTTGTGGATAGTGAGGTTACTAATGTAGTAATGAGCATTGACGATTCATCTGATGACTTTTGATTGGATGTGCTGGATGTAGATGCCTTGCCAGAACCCCACAGTTGCTCTCAGTATGACCAAAGTGGTCACAGTAATTTTGTGTTTGTCTTTTAAGTCTTGTATGGGGATTCCACGTCAGTTTGCTGTCTGCGCTTAGTCATAGCTTTGTCTTGATGAAAGGCTAATTATTAACTTGGTATTCTCTATGAGATCCTTCTTAATTGATTATTATCAATTATCCTTCTTAATTCTTTATTTAGCAATTTAGCAGTTGTTTCTGGTTATTTTCCTCCTTGTTTGTGTGGTACTGTTTGTAACCCTCTATATGTTTTTTTATGTTGGTTGAGTGCTCGTTTTTCTCTGCTGCTTAAGACAGATGGCTTAAGTAGTATTTTTTTTTCTGTTGTAGTCTGGATTATTTAAAAAGATAGAAATAACTTTCCTCCTCCTACTGTATCTCTATAAATTTCTGAAATTGATTGTGATCGATTTTTAATAATTATTATTATTGCGCGTTCGGAAAATGTCATCAAATAATTGGCTCAAACCAACCAAACGTTTGCATCGATAATAACTACATGCTGTGTTTCATAACTTGGTCACAAGGATTTAGGCATTATTTTTGTTTACAAACAACAGATTATTTACAGGAATTTACAGGATGTTTTACTTCAAAAATTTAACTGAAAAAGTCATTTATGTTAAAAAAAAAAAAAATGAAAACACAATTGTAATGTATACACAAAATACAAGGGTGAGCTATTTTTCCCCTGGCCTTTTATTTTATGCTTAGGTCAGTATGAAAAATTAGTGTTACGAGCGAGTCTTGGAACTTCCAGATAGATACTCGGGTGGTTTACCTTTGAGCTATTGTAACGTTCAGACCCATGATTATTGGCCTTCATCTTTTACAGATTAGGATAAAGATTTTGGACTTTATAGATTAAGTTATTATTTATTATGTCCGATGAAGAAACTGTATTAAATTGAAAGAGGTTTTGCTGATGATAGAAAGGTGACTTTTGGTCGTCTCTGATCAACCTTGATACTTTTGCTTATAGTTTATTAAGTGCATTTCCACAGTTCACCAACTTTACATATTTATATTGATCAATATTAACATTCTACTTGGTATAAATGTTATCAGATATTTTTCCCCATACAGACCTAATAATTCTGTATAGTGATATATAGTTGGTTTTGTTGTGACATATGAAGGTATCGCAAATAAATGGCTGATTTTGCACGTTTAGTAATTTTAATGATGGATTAGGAACATTGTGGCACTGGTTTTGAAGTGTCAGTCAGCTTTATATCTATACACAGATCCGACAAACTAGATTGCGTTTCGCTAAAATTTGTCTGACTGGCAATTGCAAGAATATATAAAAAGATAAAATACATAATTAATAACTAATTTAAAAAATACATTATTTGAAGTGTAGGTTATAGAACCATTCTGTACACAGTCCAAGAGCTTACACTTCAAATTGGACATAAAATAGTGACTCATTTGGAAAAGAAATTTATTCGACCCGATCATATTTCTTTATTTTCTTTTTGCATTAATTGACACGCCAACAAATGAATTTTATTCTTGACATTTTTTTTCTTAGGTTGTTAATAATGCAAGAAGGGAAGGAGTACCAATCACTACTCAACAAAAATGTAAGTCATGTAAAAAGATGATAATGTATTTGTTTCAACATTGCTTGAATATTTATAAGGTTGTAAGTTGTACTGAATAGATATATTCCAAAATTCAGAAATAAAATTTGAGTGTGATGTACGATGCTGATAAATTACTTATTATAATTTTTTTTAAACATATATACATTTAGACTTCCAGGTGTTTACATATTAGCAAAGGCTCAATTTATAACTAAGCATGATTTCTCTTTCAGGGGGCGGTGGACAAAACAAGCAGCATTTCCCGGTTAAAAATACCGCCAAGCTGGATCAAGAGACTGAAGAATTGAAACACAAAACTATTCCGCTGAGTCTTGGAAAGCTTATACAAAAGGAGAGAATGGCAAAGGGTTGGTCTCAGAAAGAATTCGCCACTGTAAGTTCTATAATTACACGCTTACTTGTACTCCCCCCCCCAGATATTTTATAATTGACTGTTTCTCTTTGATAGAAATGTAACGAGAAACCACAAGTTGTTAACGATTACGAGGCTGGGCGTGGGATCCCGAATCAGGCCATTATTGGAAAAATGGAACGAGTTCTTGGTAAGATGTGATTAAGTATATATTTTTCAAACTTTAAGGATTTAAAACTTAAATAATCATCAATCTAATAATGTAAAAAATTAATTATATTTTTCTTTCCTAAACATCCTTCCTGACATGATAAAAAAATATATACATTTCTTATCACTCAAACTAATGACAGTCTCGAGTTATGAATCTAAATCATGGTTGGTAGTATCTTCAGCAGGGCTGAAAGGTTCAAAAGTGTCTAACAGTTAGTAATATTTGTTTGCCTTTTTTTTTGAATTTCTGATCATCTCGTTTTTTTTAAATAGAAATAGTCTGACTTCAATGTTTGATAGTTTTAAAATGAACCTGACAATTTATTTAAAACGAATTATCAACCATCGGTCCACTATCTTTTAAGAAAAATGAAGTTAAGCTTGCAGTAGGAGGAATGTCACTCAGGCAGAAGGATGTCGAAATTATCAGTCAAAAAATTATAGTAAAAGTATCCAACAGTGAAAAAATATTAATTTGGAATTCTTGCCAGGGAAGAAAATTCACGGAATGAACCATACATTTTCATTTACATATCTTCTAATTAATCTTTTCTTAAGATTCTTTTATTTATACTTATAACTGTATCAAACATTAAAATCGGACTTTTAGGTTAATTTTTGACAAATTTGCTATTTTGGGTATTTTCTTATAGAAATGGTTTATATATTTCAGTGGTACATACACCATTAAAAAGCTGCGTTCCTCTTCTTTTCAAATTTTCTGTTTGACATTAAATCCATTTAGCTATTTTTGAATTATAACCGTTTCAATAATGACTTGCTAAAAATTGTAAACATCTTAGGGGTCAAAAATTGATAAATTTAAATTCAAACAAAAATTGATGTTAAGGGTTTTTAGAGATGCTAAAACAAAATGTCATATTAGTTAAAAAAAAGTGACCTACTTTACTTGAAAAATATTTGGGTTTTAGACATTTTTTGGTTATTGATAAAACTTTGATAGCTTTTACTATATTTTTATGGCAAGCTACATAAAAAATGCTACAAATAATTTTTTTTATGAAACTATGGCCTTTGGCTACAAAAAAAGTGGTGTATATTTTGATACGTGTCTGATATTTTGTAGTGTAGAATCATCAAAATCATTTGATCCAAATCTGTGACCCACCAACTGGTCATCCCCTTTTAAGATTTTTTTTTATTGTTTCTTAAAATTATACATTTGTAGATGTTTTTATTGACCTGCAGTCCTTGATTTCTTGTAGAATGTATCCCTTTGGAGGTCAGGAAACAAAAACAAATTTTTCTGGGCTGTGCCAAGCTTTTGTTAATTATATCATCAGGGCCTAAACACAATTTTTTTTACAAAATTACACTTTTATAAATAGTGGTTACAAATTAATCTAAACATTTACAAATTACTGGACCTCGTATCAAATTTACTATATAGAGCATTAACTTGTTAAAACTTTTAAGGTATGTGTGGTGTTTAGCGACTGTTAGTTAATGATTATTTGATTTTAGAAAAATATTTTCTTTATCGTGCCAACGTTTCGATCTCAATAAAGATCTCAAGAAAATTCTAAAACCTACTTCACATCAGACCGCCTCACGATCTCTAAATAATCGTATATATTAAACTCTTTTTTCACAGACCGCTTTTTTAAATAATAAAATAAATTTATGATGTACTTTGAACTGAGGTTCACATGCATTGCGATGCCACCATTCACCACCCTTGCTATTTTTAAAATTTTCCCTCCCTTTATGAACATTCAAAACACCAGCATATACAGATAGAGCCCAACATATGTTTGTAAATTGCATGTATGGGGAGTGGTATGTTCTCCCTCAGTAATCGCTATTCAATATTCTTTCCACTTCCAAGAATCTCTAGGGAGTCCAAATTAAAATAATGATTTTCCAGTATGTAATGTGCCAAAAATCTCTTCGGGCACAAAAAAAGGTAAAATAAAAGCAACAATTGAAAAAAGGAAGGTTGTAATATTGTAAAACAAAGTACTTACATTTTTTTGGAACCTATAACCTAGGAGCTTGGTTGATATGACCTCTCTTGTTGCAACCCCCTTAATTATAATAAAATAAATTAATACATGAACAAGCAGATTAACCATCGAAGATGGAAAAATACTGAAATCTGACAGATGAAACAAATTTGGCCTGAGAGACATGACAAATAAAATTTATCCTCTATTCTCATCATAAACTTTCAAGATTTTTCAAATGGTTTTTATTTTTCTGTTACAGGAATTAAGCTCCGAGGGAAAAAAGGAAGCACAGGCCAGTCCATCAACCCTCAAGTGCCCCCAGGGAAAAAGTGATAATCCCCGGGGGCAGATTTGCTCTCCTCCTTCCCTTTACACCTCTCTAACCATCCTTATTTTGACATACGAGTAAAGCCGTTATACAAACCACATAATAATTGGTTCAATAAGCAAATAAAATTTGTGTAAGATTGCATTGCAAAACTAACCCATGCATAAGGGGGTGCTTTCCTTTAATTTTTTTTTTAAATTGTTAAGTTTAATTGAGTTTTTAAAACAAGTAATAATTAAATACTGTGTTAAAAACCATAAATAATTTCTTAGTTTGTTTACTTCTAGTATTGAGAGTCATTCACCTTACATATGTGCATAAGAAAAATGTTAAAACTGAAAATGATTTTTACTATGTTAGGAAATAAAAAAAACATAAAAATAATTAATTGTTTTTATTTTAAATTCCTTTTGTGCTTTGACAATCAATCTTACTTGTCACAAAAGTAGGTTTATAATTAAACGCTTATGTGAAAGGAATTAATTTTTTTCAGCCTTTAAAAATATATTATCACTGTTAATAAATGAACGATTACGATCTTTATTAAAACAAGGGGATAAATTGCCAATGATTTTTATTTTTTGAATAATCGCTTACATATTTAAAGCTAAACATGCGGAATTTGGCGAACTACGGGATGTGTCACTTGTGAACGTTATTACTTGCCCTTTCTGTTTTGCACCACAAAAGCCAATCTTGATTAATCAGATCAAATATTCCGCACCCGTCCTCACCATGAGCAGTGTTTGCCCCTGACTGAACACCCATGAACAACAGTATGTCCAAGAGACTTAATAATTACATATTTGTTCTAGTCTAGCCATAATACTTACAGGCTTTGATCATTAATATTTTATCATGTAATAAGGGTCAGTTTGTTAATAGAATTAAAAAAAAAAATAGTACAGTGATATAAGTTCCTTTTTACTCCATAGGCGATGTAATATTTTTTTTGTTAATGATAATTTTTATTTTAATTCTGTGAAAATTAAACAAAAAATAAAATTAGTATTTAGTAAAATAATGTTCTTTTTTTTTTTGTATTTGGTTTAGTTTCTCCTCTATGATCTTTTTTTATTTATATGAGAAAATAAGTCAAGGACTTATATGAGACAAGTAAGTGAATAGAAAGGGCTCATCCTTATATCCTTAATGCTTTTTATTATAAAAGCAAAGCGTTTGTCGGTTTAGATTCTTTGACAAGATGGAAACAATGTTGGCTCCTGGGACACTTAACAAGAGATTTGCACAAATAATTTTCCATTTACAATTAAATAAGTTCATTAAGTTTCTATCCCGCTAATGATGCGATAACCACTGAAAGAACAGTAATAAATCATTTGCGTCTGATATTTGAAACCCTTTATGCACTGTCTGGTGGCCAATATTGATTTATTGTTCAACCTTCATTATTATCTAGAGCTCTTCATTGCTTTAGGGTTATTTATCAGATCCCAAAGGTTTGATAAGGGGAAGGGGTGTTGGTGGTGACAAGTTAAGCATTTACACAAAACTCATAACTAAAATAAAGGACTCGGGTTCAAATGCAGGGCCACTGTATTCGAACCCGTCATACAAATGGGCTTTTTTTCAAAAATGCCAGCACACTGAGGATTCATATAACATTGTAGTTGAAATACCCTCATAAAAAAAATTCCTGGCAATTTTGCTGCTGTTCTGAGTTATACATATTTCACATGCTTCTGGAGTCTGCAGTCGTACTAAAGAAGTTTGCAGTGCCCAGTCAGAGGCCGTACTAGAGAAGTACAGTGTGCAGCCAGCATACGTACTAGAGAAGTTTGCAGTATCCAGACAGCAGTTGTACTAGAAGGATATAGTGTCCAGTCAGCAGTTGTACTAGAGAAGTCTGCAGTGGCTAGTCAGAAGCTGTTCTAAAAGAAGTAGTGTCCAGTCAGCAGTTGTACTAGAGAAATCTGCAGTGGCTAGTCAGCAGTTGTTCTAAAAGAAGTGCAGTGTCTAGTCAGCAGTTGTACTAGAGAAATCTGCAGTGGCTAGTTAGCAGCTGTTCTAAAAGAAGTGCAGTGTCTAGTCAGCAGTTGTACTAGAGAAATCTGCAGTGGCTAGTTAGCAGCTGTTCTAAAAGAAGTGCAGTGTCTAGTCAGCAGTTGTACTAGAGAAATCTGCAGTGGCTAGTTAGCAGCTGTTCTAAAAGAAGTGCAGTGTCTAGTCAGCAGTTGCACTAGAGAAATCTGCAGTGGCTAGTTAGCAGTTGTTCTAAAAGAAGTGCAGTGGCTAGTTAGCAGTTGCACTAGAGAAATCTGCAGTGGCTAATTAGCAGTTGTTCTAAAAGAAGTGCAGTGTCCAGTCAGCAGTTGTACTGGAGGTGTGCAGGGTTCAATCAGCAGGCATACTAGAGAAGTCTTTAGAGTGCAGTCAGCAGTCATAATAGAAAAGTTTGCAATATACAGTCGGCAGGTGTACTAGAATAGTGTAGGGTCCAATCAGCAGTTGTTCTAAAGAAGTGCAGTGTCCAGTCAGCAGTCGTACTAGGGGTGTGCAGGACCCAGTCAGCAGTCGTACTAGAGAAGTCTGTAGTGTCCAGTAAGCAGTCGTACGGGGGAATACAGGGCCCAGTCGACAGTCGTACCAAAAAGGTCTGCAGTGTGCACTCAGCAGTTATACTAGAGAAGTCTTACGGATCCAATCAGTGGTTGTACCAGAGAAGTCTGTAGTGTCCAGTCAGCAGTCGTACTAGGGGTGTGCAGGGCCCAGTCGGCAGTCGTACTAGAGAGGTCTGTAGTGTCCAGTAAGCAGTTGTGCAATCATTCTAGTCCTACATTTAATAGGTTTGCATTATTTCTGTTATGGTCCTTGTAAGGACTTTTCTGCTTGCATGGAATTACAATCCTATTCTTAAACAGATAATTCATTGTCTGATGGCAATCTTTAAGTTTTTAGCAATTTGGTATGCTGCCAAAGAGTTAGGGCCGATAGGTGATTCATCAAACTTTCCTTAACCAAACGAGGGTAATTTTATTGTCGCCTCTGTCAAATGTCAATGCCCTCAGCTTTTTACTTCACTACTGATGTCGGAGTGCATGCCACCCGGTTGTGTGAGTAGATAGCTATGTATTATTTTGTCAGGAACAGTGAGAACAGATCATTCCATCAGCAGTATCATTCTATACCCGAATCCCATATTTACATATTTCTGTAAACTATAAACTTTCAACCATCTATTTAATCAATCTTAGAGAGAGCTAAAAGCTGCAGGAATCATTAAATATAGGAAACAATTAGATTTGTATTTATTAAAAGTAATACAGAAAAGTGATTTTACAAAAATGATAATTATTAGTCTTTTCTGAGCTGAAATGTATCTTCTTGTAGGCCATCCTTGGTCATAATAACGATTGAGATGCTATCACCAGTAAAAATATCTCTTTCAGCGGCAGAAATAAAAACATCTTTCACAATTGCCAAAGCTTTTTCTAAAGTGTACGATTTGTCTTTAGCGTTTTCTTGATTCTTCATGCCCAACTGGAATTTATTAAAAATTTACACAAGACTTATACATAAATGCAGAATGATAAAGCGATACGGAATAAATTTGATAACCTGGTTGTCAAGAAGGGGCTGAAGAAGAGCACCAGCTGTACCTCCAGCACGGAATTTGGAACTTTCAAAATGCCCAATAGGGTCGTAACTATACACGACACCTTTTCCCTCTGCATCCAATCCGGCCAATATGTTTGAGACATAATAAGGGAAAAATCTCTTATAATAAAGGATAATGGACAACATCTGGGCCACAGCCGGTGTAGTCATGCTTTTGTTATGCTCATAAAGGTACATCTGAAAAGCAAAAAATTTTATGATCAAGTGTATGTTACCACAATGCAAGTATGAATGAATAAATGATGTTTATTTCCATATACAAACAATCCATATACAATCATAATTTAAATATATAAAAAAAGAAAATTACACTATAAAATCGTACTTTTTTTTTCTTAACATCTAATGCATGGTCATCTATCTACCAGAGTCTACAAATATTAAATATTAACTACTTTTTGATTACATGAGCTAAAATTATGACTCCTGCATGAACTAGTTTCGTCAACATTTTGTATACACGAAACCAGAACCACCAGGATGCCTACCTCAATCTAGTTCACTAGCAACTATGATGACACGGCTGGTTTACTAATTAACAAACACACACCAGCGAGTAGCAAGTAAAGTAACTCATCTTTCAACTTTCAGATTGTTTACAATCTGCTAGTTAGCTAGTGGACATGATTACACTGCAAGTTCATTAGCAGCTGGTAGTTCGAAAAACTATTTCTTTATAAAAAATTTACTCAGACTACCAATATATTAACCAAACTATGCATATGGTTTACTTAGAAACAGGGAGTGAAACAATTTTTTTCTTACACTCTGAAATTTCCATTTTCTTATATTGTAAATATATTACTAAATCTCAGCTAGGAAATATTAATGCATGTAGTAGCAAGGAAACAATTATAAAAAATTTTGGTTTAAAAATTGACTGCGTCTGGTAGGAAGATACAATGGACGCATGCTCCAGTTTATATTGATAAAGGCAAACTTACGAATTACTTGAATAAGGCATTAAGGGGCTCGCAACAAATGCAAACTTTCATAAATAAAAATTGCACATCAATTAGACTCCCTTGTCTGGGTTTTTGGCAGTTTGGTAAGCCGAAGCCAAAGGGTTCGGGGCCAATAGTTATCCTCATCAAACTTTCCTTGGCTAATTTATCAACCTCATCATTGCCCCTCTGCCCTGGCACCCGGAAAGGGTAACTTTATTTTCCCCAATGTCAGACAGCCAAGGCACAAATGCAGTCCCAAACGATTCTGGACTTTATCGCTAATGTGACAATTGCCTTCAGTGCCACCTGGCAGATGGCTATTCTTCTACAATACCCAGCCTTTTTTTAAAATCTCCCTGGCACATTATTCAATAGCCACAGTTTCCGCTTGAAAGACAGTGGCATATTTTTCAAGGCTTTATGTATTCTAGTCCTTAGTTTATTTCCATAAATGCCAGCTTCTGACCAATATTTGGTTTTGGAGCCATCTATAAACCAGATACAGTCGTCATTAACCAGGATCCCTTTCTCCCAGTATGCTCTACAAGATATTTTGATTGTAAATTTTTTGTCAAAACTGAATTTAGGGGGTATGGCATCAGCAGGCATCCTCAAAGTTCTGTCTAGCTGAAGCTCCACTCGAAGCTTTAGTTGCACATTGTTATATGAGTAGGCTATTGGATCCTGACCCTGCATTAGCTGTTTTGAAGATAATGGAGGCTTGAGTAGACCTCTTTAAATAATAGACTCACATGGTCATGCCATGTAAGCTTGGAGGTAAAAATAACCGAGATTTTTAACTTTAGGACAAAACTAGGGGAGGCATTGCCACATTCTCCTCGTCCCTTTGTTACAAGACGGTTGAAAAGGAGGTGCGGTACACTAAAATAAAGGATTAAGGAATAAAGTTAAATTATTAAAATAAAAAGTATTTCTATACTGTTAAAAAAATATAAATAAATGCTGAGAAAGTTATATCCAAAGGATGCCTTTTTTTTGTTTATTTAATTACCCTGCACTAAACTGGAGGTCTCCTCCGCAGCAGGTCTATCCCTGACAACCTCCTTAGCGCACCTGGTGCTAAAGGGCCTATCGCTGGAGGAGTCTCCTTCCTGAAAAAGGGTGACCACGCCCCCACTTCCAGTCCACGTATCGCACGATCTCATGAGTCAGGACAGCGTTGATATGGTGAGGGGTAGGCAATTTGTACTAATAGGTTTATTGTTAATTAATAAGGACTGGTATTTGTTAAAGTTGTCAAAAAGTTTTGTCATATTTGACCATTGTTAGCCTGTAAAGATTATGACATGGCCTTATTGAAATATATTTGGATCGTGTTGAACAAACCGCTGAGAGATTTCATGTTTGCAACTTAAACTGAGTAAAGTTTCTAAGTGGTGGCTATCCAGATTTTGTGAAAAGGCAAATATATACTGTCTGACAGGAGTAAAAGTTGTGTAAATGAATAATGATTAGAGGTTTAAGGCAGATGGAATCCTCACCTTCATCCTCGTCTGGACCAGCCTGGTCAAAGAGAGTACATCGCACCAACAGCCCGAACTTCCGAGTATCGTTTTATCACCTAATTTGAACAATTTCGACTGTTCCCTCGTGTAAATTTGGAAACCCGTGCTCAAACGTGTGTCCGAGGCTATAATGGCATAGTCATCACCGGCCACGGCGACGATGCTCCTGGAAAATAACAAAAAGAACAAATGTAACGGGTAAAAATAAAAAAGGGATCGAGTGTGGAAACTGTTGTCCTTACCCTCCGTTATCCGAATAAGGGGAAAAAGACATATTTCTTGACTGAGAATCCCGACGAAGTGAATAAACGAGAGCAAAGTGGGACCTGCAGATGACCAAACAAGTTTATTTGAAACCAAACCTTCCCTAAAGGTTACCTCCCCAAAAGAGCAAGTCGTAACAAAAATGATGACGTAAGTTGGTCAAAAAAGAACGAATAATTAAATTTAACATAAATAATTAATTTAATTAAATAAAACAATAAAAATATATTACAATTTTATTATTCATTATTTCTACTATTTTTTTCTCTCGAAAGATGATTAAATTTGGTCAATCTTAGGTTTCATTTCACAAAAGATGCAAATTATTATGAAAAAGTAAAAAATATATAATTTGATATTTTTTTAAAGTTTTATTATTATTAATAATTTTTAAGGGAATTTTAACAGCTAAGGTGATTTCACATATTTAAAATTTAATTAAGATGATGGGTAGAAAATAAAATTCCTTTTAAACAATAGGCATTTATTACATGAGACGCATTTTGGAAAAAATATACGTTAAAAAGATTCCAATTAATAAACTGTTTATATAATTTATCATTTAAAATGTAATTTAATTTTATTAAGATGATGGGCAGGAAATAAATTGCCTTTTAAACAATAGGCATTTGTTACATGAGACGCATTTCGGAAAAAATAGATGTTAAAAAGATTCCAATTGATTAACTGTTTGTATCATTAATCAATTTTTTTAATTTTTTTAAAGAATGTTTTATTTGAAATTCTGCAGGATAATGAGATAGAAATTTGGTCATTATTAGGTATTATTTATTATTTTGGTCTTAATAAGTATTAATTAAATTCCATACTCATCACTGAAGATGGTGAGATGTCAAAATGCATCTGAAAGATCAACTCAGTAAGGATAGGCAGACCAAAACGATCAGTACCAACCAAATTACAAATCTTTTGAACGATAAAAAAAAAAAAATAATAATAATAGATATTTGTAAATATTACAGCGTTAAGACAAAATTATCAATTTTAATACTTAAATACTTGCAAAGAGTTGGGACCGCGGTGGCTGAATATTTACGGTATCTGACTCATATTTGCCATACTGGTGTTCTGGGTTTTAGTCCCATTATAGCCCATGGCTTTTTAATTGATTGTCATATTAAAAAAGTATTGTAAAGTGGTTTGATCCCTCATTCACAATACCAATGGGTTTGACATTAAGCCAGTATGACAAGAATTACTTTACTTCTGACAGTTGATAAATTGCCATTCTTGGAGAAAGATTGAAGATTAGAAACAATTTTTTCAAGGAAAAAAATTGTTAATCTTATTTGTCAATAACAAATTCAGTGTTTTTTTCTTGATGGTTATTTATGAAGATGGTGGGACATATTTATCTTAAAAAAATTACAATATTAAAAAAAAAATTTACGAATGTTGGGATTTTTGGTGAACGAATATTGCTAGGCCTTTCATTAAATGCATTTTTGAAGCTTAATTCTTCTCTTCAGGATATCTGGAATCCTTCATAATTACACATTTTAGTGTTTGGATACTTTTTAAAGTTAAAAAAGTTAATGATCAATCTTGAAGGAAGAGTTTGATATTTAATTCATAGCTAAATGTAAAACAAAGTATTTATATGAAACCACCACCCATGGCCAATGAGTGGGGGGTGGATCAATAATGGAATTGTTTTCGTTGAATTATTCCATATAAACAGGTATTAAATAAGAACATAAATATAATATTTAGCTCTGTGGATGAAAATAATATGTAATTTATTGTTGAAATGGACAAAGTAGTTGAATACAACTTCATCCCTCCGAGTATGTGGTGCACATGCTCATTCCGGGCTTCTGAGAGAACTAGATATAGGCAAATGTGTAAAAATTATTTGTAATTAGTTTATTTAGGATATAATTTGTAAACAGACTCCTTCAAACAGATAATACTACACTGTATGTTAAAGAATTTTTATTTTAAAATTGCTGTAATAAAATACATTTTGATTTCAGCTTTTTTTTCAGCTAAAAAATTACAATTATAAAAAAATGTGATGTAATTTAAACTCTTAAGTTATTTGGTCACAATTTGTCTAAATGCTTTAAATTTTGTGAGTTTGTATGTAGCCTGCTCTTTAAATTTATGTGTCCGGGGGTGGTATGAGGGTGAGGAGGGGTTGAAGGGGTTTGAATCAATATGAGCAACCCCCTGTGTTATTAAAGATTACTATTTCCCCCTTTTTCCAATTTAGTCTCATGTAGACAAATATAATGGCAGACACAGAATTTGAGGAGTTGAGGAGTTATTTTGAGACCGTACCCCATCACATAAAAGCATCGGTACATTCTTATACGTAAGTACGCTCATGTAATTTCCCCTGCCCCCAATTGGCATTGAAAATAGGGCGGTTATTGTCAGTTAAATTGCCACCCACCGACAATAATCATGTCACAGTTATTAAACATTTTTTTATACTATTCGCGATTTTGCAAATCGTCAATTTGATAAACTCGCTTTTTATGAAGTTCATGGGGTACGGTTTATTGACATATTGTGAATTCCTGTCTTTCGCTGACCTTTATAGGCTTGTTCCTGACATTTTACTCGATGAGGATTCACCCACTTCGACATCCTCGAAAAGCAGCGATTGTATCCTTGGAAATGAAGCGCAAACTAGTGTGGCTGAATTGAGAAATCCCATCACTGAAACTGAACATTTTACATATCAAGACAAGTAATTAATTAATAAATAATCATATCAAATCTGTATATATTTGTCTTATGCTTGATACAAGGTAGAATTATAAAGACAGATTGTAATAGTATAATGAAATGATATAAAAAATATTTATGAAAGTTTATTAATAATTTAATTAATAATGAATCTATAGGTTTTTTTTTATCTTACAGATAGTAAAACAATGTTTTAAATAGTATTAATGATTAAATTGGCAAAACATACTCTATTTTTTTCTTGACCTAGTTTTAGGTTCCATTTAAAAATTTTTTTTTTCAAGATTACTTATATGAATATGGTTTAAAACAATCTTGTGTAAGATAGACAATGTTTAAATTTTCCCTAATACAGTTTTTTTTTCGATATTATATTTACTCATAATAAAATTATAAATACTTAATAGTAATTTTATTGTATTTAACTTTATACTTTCTACATTGTATCATGCAAGTTTGTAGAAGTTAAACTTTATTTAAAACAAAATGCCTACCTTGAACATAAATATAATTTGCATTAACAGAGAAACTAAGGGAAGCAGTGAAGACAGCCCGGAAAGTAATGACAGTGATCAAAACTGGCCACCAAGGCCTCCTGGCGGAAGACGCAGAAGAAAGTTACCAGAGATTCCCAAACATAAAAAACGTATTATAAATTAAATTATTTATAGATTTCATTATAAATACAGTTATTAATACGAATTTAATTTTTTTAGCTTATGTTTTGTCTCTGGCGGATGAATTGGGAGACGCCTTGTCTCTTCAGCTTGATTACACGACTAGAAACAGCCCAAGGAATTTATTGATGCTGAAGTACCTAAGGGATGAAGATTTGTACGGATATGATGTTGATTCAGGAAATTCGACGGCTCATTCCCCTGATGGGCTTAAGTCTTCATCACCCATTCCTGTCAATACGGGTATTTTAAATAATTTAAAAAAAACAAAACAGTTATTTATTTGTTATTTTTTTCAGGTTCTACTACACCGGCTTCAACTGAAAGCTGTAGTATCCCTTGTGCACAGCTAGAACTGCTAGAAGCCACACATAGGGGTTTATATAAATTTATTCCGAGGCATAGAGATGAGCTTGATGTTGAAATCGGTGATCCGATTTATGTACAAAAGGAAGCCGATGATCTGTGGTGTGAAGGTAAATTTTTTTGTTTGTTTAAAATTATAGAAATACATATGAAATTTTTATGTAGGTGTAAATCTACGCACGGGAAGACAAGGTGTTTTTCCATCTGCGTATGTAGTTGATATGGATTATAACGATTTTGATCCGACGACGCCGAAAGTAAAAAGGGAACGATTTCTTCTCGGATATCTCGGCTCTGTGGAAACAATGTGGCATAAAGGGACTAATGTATTGTGCCAAGCGGTCAAAAAAATAATCGCGACGAAACACAAGCCGCATCAGTGTATACTTGAAATTTCGGATCAAGGGCTTCGCATGGTCGACAAGACAAGGAGAAAGGTAAGTTTTTTATTCTGTGTTTTTTTGCCGGTAAAGAATTTCTGATATGAGCAATATTGTAATTTTTAGACACAGAGCACACCATGTCAAGATTATTTTTACTCTCTGAAGAACGTATCTTTTTGTGCTTTCCACCCGTCGGATCACAGGTATATGGGTTTCATCACAAAACACCCAACCCTTCAGAGGTTCGCATGCCATGTCTTCCTGGGCAGTGAGAGCACTCGACCTGTAGCTGAAGCAGTTGGGTACGTTGTCAAAGTTTATTGATAATAAAAAAAAAAAAAATAACGATACACTATTTTCAGGCGAGCTTTCCAAAGGTTTTATATAAAATTCATTGAGACTGCATACCCGATTGAAGATATCTACATTGAATAATTTATCAATGCATTTTTTTTCATAAAAAGGAAAAAAAAAGAATTTTGTGCCATAAAGGCTCTGCAGCACTATATAAATTCCCCTTTAGTAAATCCAAATTATAGAAAAACCCTATTGAAAATTTAAAACAATACTTTAACTTTGAAGGGAAGTGTCCTAAAGATAATTTTAGGCTCTAAAATTTTAGAATAGACTATTATTACAAAGAAAGATGTTGATTCAAAAATAATCAAAAGGTTTGTTAAAAGAAAATTGGTTATTTACAAATGGAAGGAAGGTGTGTTGCAAAGTCTAGTATTTAATTTTTAACTTATACTGGTAAGTCATTCAAATATCTCCTTTCTTAACATCTTTACATAAGGGCAGGACAAAAGAAAATGCCCAGAACTTATAATAAAATTAAATCTAGTCAAATGAACTGATTTGAAATTTTTCAAATATTTTATTTAAATTTTCAAGTGCATGTCCAGTGTGGGCGGTGCATTTTGTCTGCTGGCGGTTGAAATTGGTATTTGAACCGGTCTGATTGAAAGGGAGGACATGTGAATGACCGATATGGTATAATAAGTTCAAAAATAGGCACAATAATCAAGTTAAAGACTGTTCTTATTGTTTTGGAACGATTCTTTTATACAGTGGTTCAATGCTCATTTCACGTATACACAAACTGTTATCCACAATTTTCAAATTATCATAGTAATTCATTGTTTTTGTTTTAAATAAAAAATTAACTAATGGGCTGTGATAAAGAAGAAGAGATTATAATTTTATTTTATTTTTTGTGTTGTTTTGTTGAAAGTCACTGATGGCTAAATTTTACATAAAAACCCAATAATATTTGGCCAAATTTAACGATAAAATAAACTTAAAAAAAAATTGAGGGATTAAAAAAAGGTGTAAGCTTTTTCTGTGTTAGTATCAAGTTCTATTTGTAATGGGAAAAAAGCATTTAAATAGTTTTATACTTGCTATGTTCTACCGATGCTACAATAGATTTATTTGCACTCAAACTGGAAAAGAAAAAAATTTTACTATTGCGTTATTAATTTTTAAGCGGAATTCTTAAAAAATAGGCTGTATTTAAACTTATAGATAAAGTCTCAGGGGTATAAACTTTTTTAATATTTAAATTTTAGGCTTTATGGGAGATTAATAACACTGTCGATGATAATAAGCCACACTTTTAGATGTTTGAGTTTTTAAAAAATATAATGAGATTAATATAACAAGATTTAAGTTGAAACCATTACTGTTTTTACAATTAATTACACTCAGTACAGAACTTTGGTTGGCATCTCAGATAAACTTTCAGTTTTTTATGGATTTTTTAAATATTAAATATATAGTTGTCGTGAAACTTGATTTTTCCTGATCATCCTGGTCTGGCAGACAAACCATGTTTATAATGATCAGAGATGATCAACGTAGAATCTCACATTTTGCAATTAAATTATCAGGCTACAGTTCCTTTTCAACAAATAAAACCGATAATTGCTTTGAAGTATTTAGTAATATTATGATCACATTTTGTAAAGTTCACCAACTAGTACCATACTACCTCGCCTTGCTCCAGATTCCCGTTTTGACAAATTTATTGGTGGTATTATCAGCAGCTACAGTGCTAGGACCATTCGACTAGGATTAAGGATATTGAGCTACAGTAGCACACAAAAGTATTTTTATGAAATTCATCTTCTTAATAGTACATTCTTATACAGTCATGTTAATGAAAGAAAAGCTTACAAGTTCTAGTTTTTTTTTTTTTTTTTTTTTTTTTTTTACTCTAAACTAAATCTTTCTTAATATTTTGAAACTGCTTTGTCTAGAAGGCACTTATAATTTTTACAAAGAGAGGTGCAATAATTTTTTTATATATAATATAGTAAACAGTTGAAATTTAAAAAAATAAAGCTTTTGTAGATTCTCACAAAACTAAAATGCTAAAACTATCTGTAAATACATATATGTTAGTGCTGAGAGAAATTGTAAATTTTTATTTTTACTACAAGAATTACGCTTTTCCCAAATCCATCTGTCATACCATTAATATTTTCTAACCTGTTAATTGCAGAAATGTTCAATGAATGTGAATAAAAATAATGTACAGTATCATGGAGGAAAGAGAAAACAATAAAATTGTATGAGCAAATAAGAACTTTTTTATATATTTATTTATTAAATACATACTATTCTATCCTTGTTTTTCCTGGGGGTCACTGGTGTCCATAGTCTTACTTTCTCCCACAGTGACCTCTTTCTTTTTCTGACCACAAAATAGATCTATTTTGGAATTGACCCTCTTTTTTAATTTCTTGAATTTCTTTATTTCCATACTCCAGAAAATACATTACTCTTAAGGTAGATGGACTTTCTGGGCTTCCTTGTTACTTAATTCCCTGAAGTGTTCTCAGGCTATAGGACAGGATGTTCTGATGTCTCTGCTGTTTCATGTTAGAGTCGGCATGTTTCTATCTCAGTTTTCCTATTTTTTAATTAAATAGGCAATGGCTGGTATAAAGGTATCTATTTTCCAGTCTCCTGAGAGAGGAGGTAGATGTATACTTTACTGGTTGAGATGTTGAGAAAATTCCTTGATTGTTTTATGCTTTGGGATGTACTGATTTGTGATTCTGGTCCAAGGGGCGTGAAGGCAGATCCTGTTTTTGATAGATGCCAGCCTATTGCCTTCAATCCCCTAGGATCCTGACACCCTGACAAGAATTGGTTGTCTCTTCCCAGGATTTGGATATATTAAACAGACCATCTATCAGCTCAAGGTATATTCTAAAGCATGCTATTTGGCTGTCTGAGAATACGTATATATGCACATTTTTTAATATTTCTTGTACACAAAGTTCTATTGTATGGCTCTCAGCTTGGAAAATTGATGGCTTCACTGAGTCAAAATTTGGGCCTTTAACTCTTGCTCCCATTTTAGATCCATCTGTTTACTTTTGTAATGCCACTCTATTTCTTTCACTATTCTTCCAACAATGTCTTATTTTTGTTTGGAAAGTACGTTTTCTTTTTGAAGACATGCCATTTATTTCATCCTTTTTAATATTTTATTATGGCTTTTTCTTAAGTCAGATTAATTAATTTTGTCCAGAATTGTGTGGTGATTAGTGACCGTTAATCAATATTTATTTAGAAATCGTTAGATGCGGTCTGGTGTGATGTAGGTTTCAGAAAAACATTTTCTTTATCGTGCCAACGTTTCGATTTTTATTGAGATCATCTTCAAGGCCTGGGATTTACAAACATTGTTTACATATTACAATTACATTTTGGATGTGGAAAAGTGAATTTATACAATGCAAAATATATTTTATATATTCAAAGTATTTCTACTCACTCAAAGTATTTGTCTTCTGTGTAATTGTACCATTCTTGCATGTCGTGCCGAGAGTGCCAGTGAGATTTTGCTATTTTGTGTTTATATACGTTGGATTTTGAAGGGAAAGAAAATGTTTTTCTGACCTACATCACACCAGACCACATCTCACAATTTCTAAATAAATTTGTCCAGAATCTCTTTGCACTTTCATACTCCATTCTCTGAACTTTGGCGACCACAGTGCAATTTCCATTGCTGAAATTGGGCAATTAAGCACTGCCTCTGAGGTGTTAAGACATGCCATGCTTTCTATGTTCTAAAAATTGGTTTTGTATCTCTTATTTTCTAAAGTTTTTGGCCACTATACTAGGACTCCAGAAGGCTATTTTCGGATTTACACCCATATTTTATCAAAAAAATTTAAGAAAGAGGAGATTAATGTAATGTGATGACACTGTTGGACCATTGAGTGGCAATTGCAAAACCAAAATTAATGGTCAGGGATTATATTGTAAGCTGGTCCCAGTGTAAGTTGTAATTGTTAAAATAATAAAAAAAACTTAGTTTAAAGGACCACCCAAAAAAAAGGCTGTAAATTTGAAAGGTGTCGCAGACAGGGGTCACCAGAAGGGTCTGCACAAACCTGGGGAACACAAAGTCGCAATAAGTGGACCGATCAAATAACTAACGTCGAGTTACTTAAGGCTGAGAGGTTGTCACTAGTGACGTGGGACCTCGTAAATCAGGGTTGTGTCAACCAGGTGCGAGACCCCTATCTTCACCGGCCCACTCACGGCTTGAGAGCTCCCCCGACTTTTGATTTTTCCTTTCCACTCCTACTCCGTTAGAGAATCTGGTATAAAAAGAGATGATTTGGAAATCATGGAAGCCAAAGTAGAGCAGTCTAGTCTAGTCCAGTCCAAGGGCTCAAACCGACTGCAGCCACACTGTATCTCGGACTCAGCCAGCAAGAGTCAGGAAGGACCAGCCATTGCGACAAGTCCAATCGTCAACTGCCGAGGACCCAGGAAGAAGATCCTGGAGGACGAAGGGATGATTTGGAAGCTGGTATTAGCAAGCATCGTTTGGGGTAAGTCCTTTTGCAACTAAGCTCAGCCCAGATTTAGAATTGTGGCTGACTTGGTAGATTGATTATGATTTTGTTGGGGTCGCATTTCACAAACGGAAGTGTGTTGAAATAAATATTGATGAATGTTCTCTCTGTTTTTCTTAAATTCTTGAACATCACCTTCCCCTACACAAGAATAAGTGCTTATGCCGACTACTCCCTTATTGCTTAGAAGAAAACAAATGAATAGAGAGAGATTATCCGATCGTAGCTCGGTGGTCACTCGTGTGCTTGCTCGATTATAAAACTATTAGGAACGATTATAAAATTATTAGGAATTTTTCACTATGCAATAACAAGAATTGCATAGGACAAAACAAAAACAACAATTGCACCAATGTTACACATTTATTATTATTTAGTTTAATTTTATACATGACACCTAAACAATTTACAATTAGTTTTTTTTTCAGTCTTACCATAGTTGTAAATAATATACAAATGAGCACAAATCACAAGAACTGAAACTGCTGTAACATCAACAAAATAAAATCTTTTAACAGACAGTTAACCAGCGTGAATTGCACGTACACGATAAACTTTCAACATAATAAAAGTGGATCAAGCACACTTACATAATAAAATGAAATTAAGAATATAAATTATACAAATATACAATAACAATATAATATATTGCTAAATATATAACCATCAAAAAATCAAGTCTTACTTTTGCACAGCTTAAAAGTCTACAATTTTATTTTTAGGGGTTTTCTTTTGACAAACCCATTTAATTATAAACAATAGAAGTATTTTCTTCATTAAATTGAATGTTATTTTTACTTTTTCTTTGCTTTTATTAAATAAAATACTAAAAAAAGATATAAAAAGCTCTTTTTAAAAAATGAAATAAACAAAATTTTAGTTTGTAAAGTTTAAAGAGTTTAAACAAAACCACATAAATATAAACTGAAGTTTATTGTTGCTAAAATTTGTTGTAGTCAAAAGTGTCAAAACTACTTTTTTTTATACACATAGTTAAAAGCAAACCTTATATAGTTTAGTATTATTATTACTAAATATAATCAGAGATGGTAAACTATACATCGAAGACTACATCAAGAATTGAACGGTGAAACGTTTAGCAATGTTTTATTAATTAAATAATAATTTAAAAAAATACAAAATTGGTATTCACATAAGTTATGAATTTGGTAACTATACAAACAGCTTTATTGCAAATTTTTAAAACTTAAATAATAATTTTAAAACAAAGAAACACTAATTTTGCAGTATTTTAATTACAATTTTTTCTAGTTATTTTTATATTGTCGATTAAACATTAAAAATTTGGCTTTTTTTTGTTTGAGAAAAATGTATAAATATTAACTTATATAATTTAGTATTATTGGAAACTACTAAGTTGAAATCATGAAGGCTCAACAAAAACTAAAAAAAAAAGAAAATTTTTGTAATGAAATCTTATTCTAATCACTCAAAGCTTAATTCTATTCATTATTTAAAGAATACCTTCTTATAAATGTTATACGAAATTGACACTAATATGCTAAATAAAAAAAAAAAAAAATTGGTATCTTACAAAACAAATTATTAAGATTATGTATACAGTTAATCAAATAGAAGTAAAAATGTCCTATCACATTTTATTTAAAGTTTGTTGCTGGAAAAGTAATAAAAGAAAAACAAATATCGACGGAACAAGAGTAATATCTTTATATGAGCATGTACTTTTATGTGTGCGCATATTTTCTAACAATGCCAATTTCATTTAACAATTGTTTTTAAAACAGTTCTAACAGAATTTGCATTATAATAAATGTTAATAGGCAAGCGATATCATAGTACGTTCACTTTTTTTTTTTAAATCACAAAAAAGGTTTTTTTCTTGTAGCGTTATTGTCCGGTTGATACAAATTACTGGATGCAAAATATTGAAAGTTTTCCTTAAAATTCAGCCTTTTTCGAATGACACTTAGAATAAAATTTCTAGAGCTATGGCAGTATTTTGTTGTCGAAATATGCAAATTTAATGGACTCATCCGACGGACGAGAAAGAGCCCAAAAAATATACTTTAAGAAGTCATTGACTCATTCTGACTCGTTCCCTTGTTCAATTCAGGCCAATAGCCTCAATCTACTTTTTTCTTTTTTTTTTAATAAATGCAATGCAGTGTCAAGTGCAAAAATACACTATTAAAATTTTCCAGCTTGACTGGAAATATACATTTTAAACTTTTTTCAAGTAATAAAAAAAGTATGAATTCTAAAACTGTATATAATACAAAATATGTATACAAATGTGTATAATTTCAGCTAAAAACACTAATATATATTTATATAAATAGTTTTTTTGACATCTTTTCTTTTAACTAAATCTTTACTAAATGCCTGAACTATTTCTGTATCAAATTGGCTAAATCGGAAGATTAATTATGCAATATACCTTTACACTTAGTTTTTTATTTTTTAAATTTATATAAGCCCATAATAAAATTGTACATAAATAAATAAATATACATATTTACTTATTTATTATATTTATTTATTCTTTGATAGTTTTTTCTCATAAAACCTACTGGGAAATAAATCAGGACAATACAAGAAAAAAAAATTGACTGATTTAATTCAGAAAAATTACGAGAGCAAATCAAGATTTTATTAAACATTTATGTCTTGAGCACCACAAATTGGAACCTGTTCCTTGCAATTTTGAATATTCTGATGGTCTTGTTGAAGTGTCTTTAATAGCTTATGTTGCTTCTCATATTCCGCCTTAAATAAATACATAATATTAGCAATTATAATAAATATGTGTATGTGTGGGTGTGGGTGGGGATATGTATGTTACCAGATATGCTGGTTGATTGTTGTTGTGTATAATAAATTAATCTTATTTATAATTGTTTTCATTTACTAGTGAAATCCCAAATATTATTTTTGTATTAAAATATTGGTATCTAAAGTATACTGCATGTTATTATTTTTCTTATTTTATTACTGTCAATGTATATTTCATTGTTTTTCATGTTTTCAATGTTCGTAGTCTTTTTGTAATTAGTGTAATAAAATGGGCTATTGTTCATAAATAAATAAAAAAAATTAAAAAAAAAAAATCAACTAACCTTCAGTTGAGACAAAGTTGAAAATCTCATTTGTCCGCCGCTTTCGAATTGTACTGACGTCAAATCTTCCTCAATTGCTTGGATTTGCGTACCCTGGTACTGAATGCGGTCTTCTAAGTGACTCTGTCCTCGTGAAACACCCTCTTCCAACGTGCTTATATCACTTTCCCATAGAGCTACCGTCTAGAGCGAATATAAACCAGAAAGTCAGTTAAGTATAAGGTATTCATCAATTAGTAAATTTACCATCAATACTTACCGGGACCTGCAGTGTCTCATCAAGTTCTCCTAAAAATATAAAAAAATTAAAAAAAAATTCAATCAATTAAGATCGAAATTATTGTAAATACCTGATATATTTATGAACGTCTCTCTGTCTTCAATGTTTAACAGATCGTTTGAAAACAAAATCTCCGAAGGCTGAGTGGGTATTACTAGTCTGTTGTCAGGGGATAGCTCATACGAAGCGCCTTGAAGAGGTAATGAGGATTCTTGGGGTGAAGCGATGTAAACGGGTTGCGGAGGAGAGTTTGGTTCTGCGACTGGGATGAAAGAAGTCTCTCTTAATATCGAACTGCCTGGATCCCCTTCAACATACTCTTCTCGAGCACGAATGACAGATCTAAAAATTACCATAAAATTTTAAAAAAAAGTGTGCTGATTAGTGACCATTAATCGATATTTATTTAGAAATCGTGAGATGCAGTCTGGTGTGATGTACGTTTCAGAAAAACATTTTCTTTATCGTGCCAATGTTTTGATCTTTATTGAGATCATCTTCAGGGCCTGGGATTTACAAACATTGTTTACATATTACAATTACATTTTGGATGTTGAAAAGTGAATTTATACAATGCAAAATATATATTTTTTTTATATAGTCAATCAAAGTATTTCTACTCACTCAAAGTGTTTGTCTTCTGTGTAATTGTGCCATTCTTGCGTGTCGTGTCGAGAGTGTNTCGAAGAAAAAAAATATATAAAAGGAGAAATACCTGCTAGTATCAGCCATAGTAATTACACTTGTTTCAAGTCGATGACGCTTAACAACAGTTGAATCATCTTCAGTAATAACTCTTTTTTCTTTAGCCCTAGTTATGACTGAAGGTCTTGTGTACCTTGGGCCTTTCTTGATCATAGGCATCCTCTGTACTCCCATCTTTTTTTTTTAATAAAAAAAAATAAATAAATTAAAAAATGTCAAATAGTCAACCTTATAATGTTCAACCTTGCTAGTATGGACCGTGACTGGAGGCATAGTCCTTGAAACCATTGCAGCTTTTGCAAATTGATAATCGGGTGCAGGGTCATTGGACGAAGGGTGAATTTGGTCGGAAGGAAGGTTGGACAACAGTTGCTCGATCGCTGTTTTCAATTCGGTCGGATTGTCCACCATGAGAGGCTGCAATAACGAGCTTCCGTTTCCGCTGTCCTGTACATTCTAGAAGACGGCTGAAATTAGCTCAGACTCAGATTTGAAGACGGATAAAAATGTACCTTTAAATATCTCGGATCGGCAATTCCGGAGACGAGGTTATCTCCCTGTGTCACCAAAGGTGTATAAAGCGATTTCATCGCTGCTATCTGTGCTTCACCTTCTTCTTGGCTAAGATTGCAATATTTTTTTTAAAATGGTTTTAATAAAGTAATTGTAATTAATTAAAGAATTGACTTTTCAATTTAAATGAATACTCACGAAACAAGTGTATTGATACAAATGAAGGACTGTACTGAATTGGTGTCTTCATTGAGCTCTAAATAACCATGCGTTCTGATGTAAATAAATTCTCCATTTTTACTCATTAGCCGATAACAACTTGATCCATAACTCTCTCCTCGATAGTACACTGAAAATTCATATAATAGTTAATTTTGTGCCCTGAAACTTTTTTTTATGTTATAGCAAAATGTTTTTTCAAAGGGTCACAGCACTAACACTAAGGCCAGTGTTGCACCTGGAGGGCACAAGCTATAAGAAACCGTCGAGAGAATTAAGGGAAGAGTAGGCGTGAGGCCGATTAAGGTGACATGGCAGGTCCTTAGGATGGGAATGTGTAGAGGGCTCGAGCAAGGGTTGGTGTGAAACTTTTTGAATTGCGAAGGGATCCGTTTGTTGATGAAAGGTTGTTACATCTTCCTTACTAGCGGTAGCTCAGTGGAGAAGGGGGGGGAACGGTTGAAGGGAGATACAAGTGATGGTCGGTGAGGAGGTGAAAGTTTATTTATAGGTGTTACGTTGAGCGCCACAGTATTTTTGGGGAAGGATAAATACCGAAACCAGGGGATAAAAAGGAAAAGAAGAGTAGAACAATAGGAAGAAAGGGAAAACGAAGGGTAGCGATGTAGCGCTTCTGGCTCTCTTCTTTCTGATGGCGCTTCCAACCAGGGTTATGATGGGAGCTAAATGATGAAGTTCTTCCTGCTTCTATCCGAGTTAATTCGTTAACACAAGCAAGATATCCTAAGGTATTATCTTACTTAGGGTTTAAAACTACGATTGAAAAAAAGAAAAAAGAAAACTAATCACAATTATTCTATTTACAAGTACATAGACAAATCCTTTTAAATTAAAAGCTAACAAAAGGCCGAAACTTATAGCTAATGTCTCTAGGCCAGAATTATCAGGCCTGATAAGAAATTGTAAATGTACCAACTCACGGGATCACTCCTCACTTGCTGGGATCAGCCCCTTTCTCTTCGTAGGAACTCTCCGATCAGTACGACTAGGATCACAAGCCACACAAACACATACAATTTTTTAAAGAATATTTTCTTTCCTCGCGGAGACCACCTCTTCCTCAGAACGTCTATATCCTACTGACCCTCCTTGCTTTTTCTTCTTTGTTTTTCAATCTCGGAGCCAGTGCCCTCCCGATCAGAATCTTGCAGGCCGCGAATTGCTTCCTGCTTCTCGCGCTTCTCTTCTCGGTTTGTCCCGCCACTATTTAAGCTTTATTAATTTTTTTTTCTCCCGAGAAGAAGGAAAAAAAATGTAATAAGGTATGTTGAGGTCGTGTAGATGGTGAGGTTAGTGCATAATGGAGGAGAGCTTTGACATTTTGTTTGAATACTTTTAAATGGAAGAACTGGACGCGCTGGATAGCACGGCTTGGCAGAACCCCTTCAGTCCAAAGCAGTTGCAGTCTTGTGAAAGGCTCATTTAGTTTTGACAGTCACAGAAGATTTCATTCCTAGATGTCTTCATAGTGTCCCAATCTTCTGTTATGGTGATGTCTCTTAAACTTTGTTCTACAACGTACGGGTCAAAATGACCCAAAATTTTTAAAAACGTGCGTGTGTCAGAGGGTAGTGATCGGAAGGGGTTGAGGCTTTGAGTAGCTTTCCTTCTAGTATTCCTGTAGATGTGGACACCACTGGAATCCTTTTCACAGGTAAGTGACCTTGTAATATTGGAATAAAGTAAGAAAAATCATGGTACGGGTCAATATGACCCCACGTTGTATGACATGTTCTTTCAGTTTTAGTTCAAATTTAATTTCTTTTCTATAAATTTAATTAGTTTTCTCGATTCTTTTCTTTGTAATCTTTCTGGATTGTTTCAGCCATGACAAATAGTTCACATTTTGTAACTGACGAAGAAATTCGACGTGAAATAGGAAGATCAGTGATAATGAAAACGAGGAATACTTTTCTGAAGAACTTACAGTGAAGATGAAAATGATTTGTTACCAAACGACAATGATAAACCTGTTGCTTTCGACGTTCTTCCTGAAGTCGATGCGCTCTCAGAGGACCACTTTAGCCCAGAAAATTTTTCATATTTAGGTTCTGAAGATATTGAATAAAGCAGAAACTTTGTGTTGGGCAAAGATGGCTGCACAAGAAACTATCTGGACTGATACCAATCTTTTACCGTCCAGAAACGTCAGATTAGCTTCAAAGAATATGATTACCCATTTGCCTGGTGCCAAAGGAAATGCTCGGAACTTTGTAGATAAGGACTAATTGTAATCCTTATTCATCAACCAAGACATGATTGATGTCATTGTAAAATATACCAATGAAGAGATTGATAAATAAAAACTCAATACAGTCCTGACCAGCGCTATATTGGACCCACAGATGTTCTTGAAGTTAAAAAAGAAGACAAATATGACTCATTGCACTTAAAAACAGAGTTGGGTCAAAATGACCTGACGTAGTAGTACACATCCGGGCGTTTCACGTTGTTGACCGAAGGTTAAGTATTGTGTGTCAATTCCGTCTGCTGTCTACGTGCAGTCCTAAGTATTTGACTTGAGAATCAGTATCTCTTTGTTGATGTTCAGACTGTTTTTNATCAGCGGGTTCAAGGGAAAGATCTTTCATCAAACTGATGTGAGTATTACGGCTTCTGTTCAGGAGCCACTTCTTACACTATTTCCTCTTCAGTTTTTTGCTTTTAATATATAAACAAACAGCAGCGTAGCACAAGAGATCGTCATCCATTCTGAGAAGGTAATTCACTAGATGATGTAAGGAGCAACTGGCTGTGGAGTGGTCATGAATGCCCCCTCAAATTTCAGGCACTCCAAATGGAGCTGGACGGCTTGGCGCGGTTCCATTTGGAGAGATCGTGAATGGCCACCATAAGAGTTCAGGATAAGATAATAAGGAGTGGGTAGGAAGCGTCAAAGTTTGTCAAGAATCCCCGTGTGCCAGATCCTACCAAAAGCCCATGCTACATCTAGGAATGCACCCAAGCAATACTCTTTGTTCTCAGAGATGATGTCGACAACTCTGAAACTGTATTAGACCAATGATGAACACTGAAGCCGAATTGAGAACGAATAATTTTATGAGTATCTAGGATTTTAAAAGGAATATTTCAAGGATTTTGGACATTGCAGGAACAAAACTAATCAAATTTAAATCAAAGTTACTCACTTTGCCTCAAAGCAATCATGACCCATCTGACATCATCTTGATGCATGTACCTGAATCCATGTATTCCTGTCACTTCATCTGACATGTAGCCAGATACGACTGATATACTAAGTAGAGAAAAAACCCATTAGAATTATTATTGATAGAAAACAATTTAAAAAAATATTACCGATGATCAGAGAACACAATGGTTCCATCGATAAGATGCCTGCTGACCCATTCTTCTCGTGTTGCCTCTATCAGAGAGTTCTCGGTGACACGTTTTTCTTTGAAGGGCTTCATCATGGCGACGAGTATAGCTTCATTTGATATATGAGTATCGGCTGAAAAAAACAACAAAAAACTTTTGAAAAAAACAAATCATACAAAATTTGAGTTTGTTTTACTTATAACATACATTGTTATAAACAAAGAAAAACATATTGTCTCTTTCATACAATGGCACACTGCTTGATATAATAAGTTTAACTTGCATATTGTCAAGATCGGCGCATAGTAGATCACTGCCCTCCGATCCCACAGCATAAAAAAATCGATGAAAGTTTATTTCACATGAATCGACTTTTTATTTTGTTTTATTTAATCTTTAAAAAATACAAATTTTGTTTTAAAGGAAATCAAATCAAGAGCAGAAATGATGTGCTTTAAATTTTTGAGTCTGAGACAAAGTTTATTTAAATGGTAAAGTTGACTTAAATCGTCCAATATTTCCACATTAAATTTCCTTATGTCCTTTGTTTTCTTTAAAAAAAAAAAAAAAAATAAAAAAATAAATTTAAAAATATTACTATATGGAACAAGATGTAGAAGAATTTTTGTTTTTTCTTCGCCTAAATTTATCTTTAGATGGATAACATACTTTTTTTTTTTAAATCTATCTTTCTGTTATTTTACCTAAAGTACAATAATTTATCGTATTATTTTTTATTGCATCGGTCTTTTTGGTGATGTTTTCCTCATTTCTTTAATGAAGATTTCTTAATTTTCCCAAGGAACTCCCTTTAAAATTATAATTAATAATTGGGCAGTCGTGGTCGGTGTCTTTCTCTGCTGTATTACCCGTAAAACTCTTCTGGGAATATTAAATCCTCAGTAATTTGATTTAAGTGGGTAATATATGATATTGGAGTAAGAAAGGACATTAATGTAAGTGCTTTCTAGCAGTACTAGAGCCAAACTCCCCGGGGTCTTATTGGCATCGCCAATTCTCATTGATATTCTGCATTAATAATTACAAAGTTAATTAATTCTACCCGAATAGGTAATTATATTTTACAAGTTTTATAACCACTTTTCATCAAAATATTTTGGATTTTCTTTGGTTTAATGGTTGTCAAATGATTCTGGTTATAATATGAGAGTTAGTCCTATTTTAATTTGATTAAAAAATCATTTTTGTTGCAAAATCTCAGCTATTCTAAAATTAGACACTTGAGACACTCATTTAATTCTGAGATGATAATTTTGAAACTAATCAGCAAAGATAGATATTTTTTTGTTTCGCCAAGTGTTTAAAGGAAAGAAAATGCAAAATGAATAATAGGAAGTATGAAGAAAACATGCTTTCAGTGGGTGTAATTTCAGTACACGCGGACTTTTATTGATGAAGGCAATTTAGTCTAATTCCAGGTTTTCCTTCTTATTCAACCGTCCTCCCTATTTAAAGTCCAATAGTAGGGATTTATTATTTTCGTATATGTATATATTTTTAGACGTCATTAGAAAAAAAATTAAGAACACGTGGACGTTGAGAAAAGGTCGTCAGACTCAAGACCGTTCAGATGTAAACAATCCACTTAGCTTCAAAAATTGTTAACAAACTACAGAAAAATCTGATACTGACCAAATGGATTTATTGAAAACAAAAAAAATTGTAAAATTCATTACAATTACAAATGACAAAGAAATATTGCCTGTTTCGTGAAAATGATTATAAAACTTATAAAATCCCTTCATACATGAGTAAATTTAATTTAATTGTGTAATTATTAATATGGAATATCGACGAGAATTAGCTCTGCCAATAAGGAGTTTGGCTAAAGTTCTGGTAGAAAGCACTTACATTAATGTCCTTTCTTACTCTAACATTATATATTACCCTTTAAAATCAAATTACTGAGGATTTAATATTCTCTGAAGAGTTTAATGAGGAATACAGCAGAGAAAGATACACCAACTACGACTCTCCAATTAGGAACTGTAATTTTATAGGGTTTTCCTTGGGAAAATTAAGAAATCTGCCTTGAAGAAATGTGAAAAACGTCACCAACAAGACTAATACAACAATATGATAAATTATTGTACTTTCAGTAGAACAGCAGAAAGGTAAATTTAAAACAAAAAGGTATAAAAAGTCTATCTAAAACGTAAGCCAAGAAAAAACAAAAATCCTTCTACTTGTTCCATGTGGTAAGATGCTCAGTTCCTAAGGTTGTAAAATTTTTTTAGAAAACAAAGTACGATGTGGAAGTTTAACGAAATGTCGGACGATCTAAATCAAGTATGCACTTTACCGTTTAAATTTTGGATGTGGTCCAATGAACAGTTTGAATTGTTGATTAGACCACATCCCTAATTCACATTTATAATTAACAATGGCTGGTAAATAACTACATTCTTACGGTTTACCATCTAAAGAATCTCATTTGCCTCCACGGGGCATATTAGGGTGGAGATATGGAGATGTTGACCAAAAAAAAGAGGAAATATGAATTTTCCAGGCTGCACACCCTATTGTGGCTTAGCGCTTTGCCACAAATACATCCAAAAATGAGTCCAAAACCTGGTGGAAAAATACAATTCTATAAGGGTCATCCACAAGACTTTCAAAGGAATAACTAGAAGGTAACCGCAGCCAGGATTTTGGTTGGTTTCAGCCTGAAGGTACATGCACAGGAGTGCAGTCAGAAGAAACACTGTGCAGATACTGCTTGCTGAAAGTGTCTACTTTCTTAAACTTTTATTCACAGTATTAGAGAAATAAGCTGGGTGAGAAATTTACGGCGAAAATTCCCATCGCAAGCTATTATCAAATTGAAAAGTTAACCATAATTAAGAAAATTATCCAAGTAGTCGAGCCATTACTGGATTTACTGCGGTATGTTTTATCCTCGTAAAACTAAGTAAAATATGTAAAATGAAATGCTATAAATGCACTTTATAATTTTATGGGTGAAGATAAGTCCTCTTATCAAACCAGTAAACCGAGTTGGAAAAGTTCGAGCAAAAGAAAGCTCTTGTAAAAGACGCAAGAGCAAAATTACATACCATAGTGAATTTTACAAAGTTCACAAATAAAATATTCCAATACAATTTTACATACTCTTATTAAATTTAAAGTTAGTTGCATGTTTATGAAATAGTTTGTTGCCATTGATTAATAAATATCATGCCATTTTGCAATTAAAGTTTACAAACAAAAATTCCATAAATAACATCACATAAAATTGTAATGAAAGTATTATAGTGTGATTATAGTACTAGACCAAAGTCAGAGTTATAACTGAACAATTTTAATTTGAAGATTCATTAACTTTGTCCACTTTTATTGATGCATAGATTGTTTATTAATTAAAAAAAACCAACACAAATCGACCCACAAGAATCCAATACGCCTGTATGGTTTTGGTTGTAAGTTTGCACATTAATCAATCGGAATCTTTTGTTTTTCGCTATGAATAAATCCAATCCTAACGAGCAATTAAGACTACAAATGACGATATGTTATCTCCAGAAGAATTATTCTGGAAGCTACCTCAGTTTTGAACACTTAATGGCCCAGATAGCGTGTTATCATCTTGTGACTTTCCTCCTGTTCATTATGGAAAAAAGTAAATCGAGATTGATTTATCGCGATAATTAACTGCAGTGCAATCTAAAATTAATACGGCAATATCTTATTTACAATGTTTTATACATTTTTTTACCATTCGATGAGGTTAGATAAGTCGAATATTAATCCTTTTGGGTTAATAAATGACCAGAGCTGTTTTGCGCATTGTTGAAACAACTAGAAAGATTTAATAAATAGTTCAAAAATTTCAACTCAAGGTAGTTGGATTGTAGGTGATTCTGAATTCAGCGGTTTTACCGAGATGAAGTTAATTTCCTGACTGCAACTGCATTGATGGGCAACACGCACTTTGAAAGTTTGAAACGTATTCTTCAAGGGGAACAAAGAAGCTATATAAAAGTGGTGATAGACTGAGGGAGAAATGTCCGGTTTATTGTATAGGCCGAGGTGAATTTCGGCTTCATTTCAAGTAATGTACAAAAACCCTCAAAACTTTATTGAAATAAATTAATACTTTGAAGGATTGATCATACGCGATCTACTCTTACAAAAACAAGCGCGCACCCAACAAACCAGGGTCGGTATGCTTCCATTCGCGGAAGTCGGCCGGAAAATGACAAGACATGAAGCCTTTTTAAGAAAATCTCTCTCGAATTATCTCGTCTAAGATTAGATTCTAACAGTTTGTCAGATGCCAAACCCAAACAGAGAGTCGGATTCTATAAACAAATAAGCTCACAAATCCAAAATATTTCGGAAAAGATCAAGTTCAAGGTTCAAGCGATTCAACCGAAAGTTTCGGAAAAACGTTTTAAGTTCATTGAGTTTTAAAAGTAAAATATTCTGATTATATCGAACGATTTATAAAAGCCATGTTGCAACAAGACTTCAGAATTGATATAGACAAAATTGTTGTGACAAAAAGTTTTGTATGTATGTAAATCGTGTAAATCACTGAAAGATATCCAATGGTATGGGTCATGCATCATACTAAAATAATAATTAAATCGACAGATACGCCAGTGCCTTCTCTATATCAGCCGGCTATTAGGTGAATATCCCAAGGCGATAGCTTAGGACCCATCCTAGAGACCGCCACCTTTTGCTCACATAAAATAAAGTACCTAACACACCCTTACGAAGAGTAACCAATCATTCTCAATAGTATTCTTCTAACTCCAGCTAATGTAGTTCAGTACATCGAAATTGACAAAAGGTTACACGGAACCCACACTAGCGACTAAAAAACAAGAACTAAACAGAGTGCTGAACGATCAAAACCGACTTTGAAAAACAAATGCCTCTTTTATAGCACCATTTTGAGACCCGTTTGGGCATTGAACTTAGGGTTCAACCAAACGTTTCAATCTTTACAATTCAAAATACTCCGAATCGTAGAGTCAATGAAAGACAACTTTTATGATTTTACTACGCTTCGGCGATGTATTTCGCTTTCTTCAGGACCATGGTAACCAAACCTATTGCATATCAAAATAGAATGTTGATAATCAGTAAGGATCGACCAGCAAA